TGCATGTTTTGGATGTTTCCTTGCTTCAGCTCAGGTGATTTCAATTGACAGGTGTTTGCTGAACTGCAATCAGAAAAGCAGGGAAACATTTAAAATGCAATGCCAGCCTTTGTTAGGAAAAAAAAGCCATCAGATGTCTTGTTTGATAAGAGCATTTATCAAACGTTTACCATGGAGAGGTCACCTCAAACAGTGGTCGGAGGAGACCTAAATAACACTGTTAAAGGTGGAAAGCTATCACTGCAATCCCAACATAACTTACCTTCTCCATTGTGAAACAGGGTGATGGCAGCGTAGTGCTGTGCAGCGATAGCAGAAATCCATCCCTACAGCATCTTCCCCTCTTGATCATCTTTTAGAACATGGAAGCTGCCCAAACTACAATCATTCATTCACATGGGAATGTGTTGGGAGCTACCTGACCTCATGTTGAACTAAACCAGCCTCTACTGCTGGAGTGGCCTAACGTTGATCTGCTTCCTGTTTCAGGAGTCCTTCAATAATGTCAAGCAGTGGCTACAGGAGATTGACCGCTATGCCAGTGAAAATGTCAACAAGTTATTGGTTGGGAACAAGTGTGACCTGACAACGAAGAAGGTGGTGGATTATACAACAGCAAAGGTAGGTACTTCAGTACTAGCGCTTCCCAGATCTGAACATAGATTTGGAAACTTTGTGCAAGAGTTGAAGATGCAGAGCCTCTTAGAGAAGGAGGTCTTCCACTTAACTGGATTGTGGCTTTATTCATATTTTTGTAGCAAAATGTTGTGTTAAAACTAAGTGTGCTTCTAGTGTCGTAGTGTTGACCGTGATCATACCAAGTACCACTGTGGGAGACCTGACATGCAACGAGCGGCGACATTTCCATCACTTCTGTTCTTCTCAAACTGGATAAACAATATCGGAACGTTGTCAATATGATGTGTCGCCATGAAACAGGAAGTCTATTAGGTCCGTTGTGTTGAGCCTTTGCAACTGCGTCATTGTAGGGGCCATGATGGATGTCAGGAATGAGGGAGGGGGGTTCTGAACAGAGTGAGGGAAAATTTTTCCCCAAGTAGTTTTTGCCAGTTTAACCATGAATTCTACTTGTTCAAATCAAGCTAATTTTTCTGTCTGTTGGTTGGAGCTCATAGACAGCGGTATTTACAAAAGTATGAAATAGCTAGTTTAGAAAACGACCCATGTCTCCTCTTACCTCTACCTTCGCTGCAAACCCACCAGTCATTATGATCGACTGCCGCCATCCATTGCCGCCATAACTTTTTCCTTAAAAAGTTATACATTAAAGTGACAAGTTTGGTTTTGTATGTTTATGTCGCCAACCTCTCAGCATCCTCCGACCATTTTTAAAGTGACACCCACTAAATAAAAGTGATGTTGAGCTACCAGACGTGTTTTTTGATGGGTTTTACAAGAGCGCATCAGTTGTTTTGACCTCCGTCATGACAGAGAGGGCTGAGTTCTGAAGAGCGTGATGTCAGTACTGTCTGATGAACAAAACCAAAGATTTAGAAGAAACGGCGTGATGCTTATGGAATTTGCTCATCCACATGCGGGCTATTGATGTGAAAGGAATCACATCAATAGACATTCCAGGCAGGAGCTGGAATGTCTGGAAGGAAGCAGCAGAAGAGATCAGTGGTGGAGAAACAGGGAGGGTTCCTGGACTGTCTGGAAAAGGGTGGAGAAGTTTTGAATCTGGTTTACATGTTTGCCAGGTCCCAAATAATCAATAATCCAGGCAGGTATTTTAAAGTTAAGGTTGTGTTGCTGTAAAAGTTGAAAAAAATGTCTGAAGGTTTCCAGAGAGTAGTGATCAGAACATTTCTCTCTGCCTTGCAAGTTATGGGAATGCTGTGCAGAAAGGAAGAGAAGGATAAGGAAGATTTTCTGTGTTGGACCAGTTTACAGCGAGCCACATGAAGGAGATTTTTTATCCACTCTGTTTAGATGCTGAGTCCTTTTTAGAATAGCAGATTTCTATTAAATGAAAGCCATCTGTTTCCCTCCTCCTCTCCCGGTTTGCCATTTTGCTAAACCCAGCGTTGTGTTTGCAGGAGTTCGCGGACTCTCTGGGAATCCCCTTTTTGGAAACCAGCGCCAAAAACGCCACCAATGTGGAGCAGGCCTTCATGACCATGGCCGCCGAAATCAAGAAGAGGATGGGCCCCGGGGCCACGGCCGGAGGAGGAGAGAAGCCCGTCGTGAAGCTGACTCCAGGCACTACTGTAAAGCCTTCATCAGGAGGATGCTGCTGATTCACGAAGCGCCACTCCCTCCCTGTACTCTGCAGGCCTCCCTCCCAAGCTCCACTGTGTCCCACACAAACCCCCACCACAGCAGACAGGACAGCGAAGGCTCGATTCATGTGTGTGAGAACAAGATGAAGTTTGTACTGTACATACTGCAGCCGCTCTACCAAAACCAACAGAATAATCTTTCTTGTCTTACTGTCCTGCTGTTGACTAATTAGGCTGATAGGCGATGATTCGACCGACTCCCCTTCTCAGACCGGTCAGAGACTTTTATTCGGCCCTGTGAATACAGCTTCATGAGAACACTGTGTGCATGTGCGTGTGTGTGTGTGTGTGTGTGTGTTTTCATTCCTGCAGCAGGGTTGGTAAACCAATTGGGTTCATTAAGGTTTCTGTTGCTTTCCTCTCTTTCTGTGATCGTTTCTCGTCTTACTGTCATCTTTTTTATTTTTTTTTCCTCAGCACCTGTCTCTCTGTCCCCGTCTGAAGGTGTTTTAGTTTTTTTTCATACCAACTTCTGCTCATCATCATCTCAGCTCATCTAAAGTCCAGTGCAACATCAGTATATGTACATAAACATTATGTATATATATATATGTACAATTGAGTTAGCCAGTTCTGTTGTGTCTGACACATTGATGAATTGGTCTTTATCTCTGCATTCGATTTGTGGCTGAAGACAATTGTAAGTTTCTTGCTCAACATGTAACACTTAAACGGAAAATAAATATTGTACTACCATACTGTACCACATGGGCTGATCTTTTTTTTTATTATTTCTTGATGCACACATTCATTCTGGACCAATATGGAGTTTATGGGTTTTCCACTTCCAAAAGTTAATCCATTCGGTTGTTCACCCGTTTGTCCATCCGTTTGTTTATCCCTTTGTCCAGCTTCTTGTTTGTTGTCCACCCATCCCTGAGTCGAATCATGTTGCCTTTTTGTTCATTCATTACTTTATCCATCTGTCTATCTGTCATCGGTTCTTCTGTTTGTTTCATAACCAAACATTCAGTCTGGCTTTTCCGCAAGTTCCACATTTAAGGCCTGACCGCTGGTTGAAAGCTCTACCATGTGTTAATAGTGAATACTTGATTTATTCACAAAAAGTATTTGTATGTTTAAAATGTAGGTTTGCACCAAGAAATTGGCACCAATTTTCTTAATTTGGGGAAATCTGTGATTGGCAAAGGTCTCAAAAAAACCTGCTTTGTCATTGCCTCTACATTTAACTTAAGAAACAAAATTGGTATTGGTCAGGCCTTTTTAAAGATCGAGGCTCGGCCGGAAAACTGCAATCGGTGCATCCCTATTGAAAAAGAATGGTTATTTGAGGAGACGTAGATTCACTACTCATCCGCTCTCTGAGTGAAGAAGTGAGATGGACATGAACAAATGCAGCTTCCTTTATGTCAGAGTTGGAGAGCTGCAAGATGTTTGGTATGTCGTTCGTGGATAAGAATGTCAGAACAGTGCTCCATTGTTCAACACAATAGCCAACCTCAAACTGAGAGTGCTTCAATTTGTTTCCGTTTCAAGGAAAATGCCAGAAAACTCCAGCTTGTTGCTGAACATGGAGTGAGAGAGGGCGGCACAATACGGGATATTTTCTGGAAAGTTATAATACGAGAGCACAGGACAAAACAAGGAGTAAAGAGCGGATGACATCGTTGTTAACCAACAATAAACAAAGATTTAAACATGAAATTAAATGATGAGGATAAATGAAAGAGGTTTTGGACTGAACTGGTTGGGTGTTTGGATTGACCTGGTCTTTAGTGACCTCTGCAGGCATTTAATGGAAACCGCAGCACGATGCAGAAGCTTGTTGGGAGAAATGAGCCTTGACTGGACAAGAAAGGAAGCAAAGGGGCAACTTCCATGAAAAAACACCAAGAACAGACTGAAATAGAACCAGGATGGGGCAGCAGAAGACGGGCTAATGGTCCTTTCTCCCATGAATCGTTCTCATTGTTTCAGAAAGACAAGAAAGAAAGGAACATTAAAGATGAGCGCCACCATGAGGCCAGAGAATCCTGTTCCTGTCCATGTGGAGTTGTTTCATATGCAAAGAAGAGAGGCAGCTGTACATGTCCTGGCTTTTTCTTTTTTTATTATTATTGTTTCTTCATCCTTCAGACTTTATAGAAATAAATCACGGATTTGGCACAGAGCTCTATAAACACAAATTCTGCTAATGCAAAATAATATCTTCAGAGCTGACTCCTATTCTGACTTCTTCTTGTCCTGCAAGCGTATCAATAAATCATTTTCGACGTGACGCCTTCGCGGGAAAACACCTGGCTGGGGTCTTGCATTTTCCAGAAAGAGGGGGAGACTCTTATCTCAGACTACAAAATATTTTTCCATCAGATCATATTTTGTCTAAAATTATACAGATATCAATTAGTGTCTGTTAAATGCATATGCATATTTGTGTCTAATTTTCTGCACGCATTATTTGGTAGATCTCTGACATCATCCACCGCGTGAAGTCATCCTCTTGTCCTGGTTTTAGGATAATGGTTTGTTCTCAACTGGCGGGAAATGTAGAAGCCCGCCCCTCCGAATGTTCCGCATCTGCACCAAGTGAGACAATTTTCCCGAAAGACATAATTCCTTGCCTTTCACAATAAAAGTCCATGTCGCGTAGGAGCTCGTTCTTCAACGAGGTGGTTTACGCGAACACTTTTATTTTGAAAGTCAGTGACCGGATGCGCAGCAAACGTTTGACGCTGTGCTGCGAGGCGGATGAAGTTTCTCTCGAACCAGCGGTGTGTTCGAACCCAGACTGAGTTTATTTAGCTATATGTGTTTCAGAGTCGCTCTCTTTGAGCTACGTTGTACATGTGTACTGTGGAAGCAGGTTTTTCTCGAAGATACAATTATACTTGACCATTCGGCAGCTTCCGACCCGGACAACATGGCTGCTTGAATAACCTGAGCTTGATACTAGGTTTGCTGAGCAGAAACTGTTCGTAAAGTTGTCAGAAAGCTGAAATTAGTCCTTTTAAAATATATTTATACAACGCAGTCGTCTTTCTTCGTCGTGGACCACAATGAGCAGGTAAGTGAATTTGTCTTTTACGTTTAAAAGAAACGCGCCTACTAATAGCTGTTCATAATAAAAACTTGGAACATTTTGACACACTAGTCGATGTTTGCATATTAGATGAGAGACTATTTAGGAGAAATGAATAGAAACAAAGATCTGCAGGGATGTGAAGCCTTATAAAGTTTGTTATGAAGTGATCTGTGATCACGCTCCTTTGTGCACATAGGATGCAGCAGTGTGTCACTGAAGGAGCTCTGGTTTTACAGCAGCTTCCTATATGCTCACATTGCTGCAGTATTAACAAGGATTGCAATTAACGGTTGGCATTTAGGCTTTAAAGAAGGCAAGTAAGTAAAGTTTCTTTCTAAAGAAAACTGTTTTCTAAAGAAACCAGTATCATCAACCTTGGGCCAGTGGCTGAAACTCAAACCTCGTGGAGGTCGATGAGATCGAATTATTGGCTGATCAGCCAAAGTTAAGAAAGTCAATTTATCTGTGCACACCGACCCGATACCGAATGTCCCCCTGGCACAACTCGGCTCTGTGAAAAGCTTCCAGCACTAAAGGAAATTGGAGTCTGATGAATGTTTTAAACCCAAATTTGATCCGAGAATGACATTATGCATGTGGTTCCACAGAGCCATTATGCAGCTAAAAGCCTATATTTACCAAACATTAACCACTGCATTGTTGAACCTCGCCCCCTTCGCTCATTACACATCCTGTGTTTTTCTTTCTATTCAGCATCAAGGAGGAAACTCGAAGTGCGTCCCCTCAGTGCCCCAAACCAGATGAATCTGAGGAGCCCCACGGTACGGCCATGGAGACCGCAGGGGGTCAGGCAGGTAAATTATCATGTTTTTTTTTAAAATGGATTCAACAGGCTGATTTAACTCTAAAGAAATTCACCACCAGAGGGTGTTCTGTTTTCCCGTCTCTAGATGGGAGTGTGAAGTCGGAGAACATTCACGAGGTGATCATTACCAAGGAAATGGAGGAGGAAGAGAACCAGCTGATGGAGGAAGGGGAGCGAAAGGAGAAGGAGATGATGAAAAAGGTGCACAGCTTCCTCCGCAAAACCACACATTTGCCGTTACTCTGCATGTGTGTGCAGATCAGAGTTGAGCAGCTGCTTGACGTTGTTTAATAAAATGTCTAAAGGCCCAGGAATCATTTGAGAGGGACTCGCAGGATGTGCGCTTAAAGAGACTCCAGCATCTGCTCCAGAAGAGCAACATCTACTCTAAATTCCTGCTGACAAAGATGGAGCAGCAGCAGAATGAGGTAATGTGTGTGTATAAAAGTTCAGGTGTTGCGACCACTGGATGCTAATGCCTGACTCTGTGTTTCAGGAGAAACTCAAGAAGGAGAGGCTGGAGAAAAAGGCCATGAAGGTGAGCAACTGGCAACTGGGAGTATTCAGCTTAGCAGCGACCAACCCGTCTCATCACAAACTGTTTGCTTTTTGTTGGTTTAGGCTGGTGGTGGTGCAGAGACCCGGACAGGTGAGCAGAGCTTTTGCTCCTTCAGAGACATCAATAGAAGATGTCGAAGATCCCAACCGTCAAATTTGTTCCTCTCCGTCTAGATGCCAAGAAGAAGAAGAGGAGGAGGGATGAAGACTTTAAAATAGCTGATGTTATGACTAAAGAAGTATGTCTATGTTCTTGCTCCTTGTTTTGTCCCGTTTTCCTCTTGACTTGACGTCTGCTTCATGTGCGTTTCTATTTTTCTCCTCTCTTTTTTTTTTTTTTTTTTTACAGGAAATCATGTCTCAAGCGAAGAGATCAAAAGTGGAGAAAGGGGTAAAGCTGCTTTTACTGTGACTGCTCCATCTTCTATGATTTCAAAAATACTTGTAGTTAGTCTAATCCTTTCATAATATTACATAAAAGACTAACTACCGGTCCGATGAAAGCTTTCTTTTGCAGTTCCGTTCACCTGGACAGAATATTTTGAAAATGGGATCCCAAAAACATAAAGTGCATCTTTATGTTGTTCTCATATTTGATCTGTAAGCCTCATTCTAAAATAATTTGATGAGTCAGAACTGTCATCCATAAGTATTCAGTCTTTTCCATGACTGATGAAGGCCAGATCAATCATACGTCTCAGTCATAAATTTGATAAATCAGGCCCCATTTTTTTTAAATGTGGGAACGCTGTGATTGGCTGATTGCAGTTTTCTGTCTGACCACCAATCTTTGCAAAACCTGACCTGCCGATTCTGATTTGACCGATAGCAATTTTTTTTTTTTGTCTGAAATGTTGCTAAGCGTAACAAGAATGTCACTTGAGTTAGCAGCAAGTCTGTAAACCTGCAGACTTGACCTGGTGTGTGTCAGCACTGGTTGATCGCTGATCTCCCAAAAGTGAGGAAGCTGGGACATGTCGAATAGTTCTGATAGCGTGCAGGAAGACGTAAAAAGCGTTCAGTCTGTGCCGATCGGCTCCATCACCTCACCGCTTTTTTCCAGAAGAAACTCGACGCCGAGGATATTGAAAAAATGAGCGATTCCAACGAGGAAATCAAGAGCCGGCTGTCGGAGACGGTTCGAGAGAACGCCAAGCATCTCCTGGACCCTGACAGGAAGGTGAACGGGCAGCCAGTCCCCATCCAGCAGCCCCAGCTGTTCACAGGCGGGGTGATGAGGTGGTACCAGATCGAAGGCGTGGAGTGGCTGAGGGTGAGCGGGTCCGGATGTGGCGGCGGCGGGTTTGGAATCGCTCTTGGTGCCACGCGGTTACCCAGCAGTCTCTATTCCCTCTGTGCTGCAGATGCTGTGGGAGAACGGCATCAATGGCATCCTGGCTGACGAGATGGGGCTGGGGAAGACCATCCAGTGCATTGCCCACATCGCTATGATGGTAGAGAAGAAGGTGATGGGCCCCTTCCTGGTGGTGGCTCCTCTCTCCACAGTACCAAACTGGATCAGCGAGTTTAAGCGCTTTGCACCAGAGGTAACGGGACGAACGATGGGAAGCCTCTCTGGGTCTGCCGGTGCCAGACTTAGAGCAGCAGTCTGATTTGCGTTGCGCGTCTTTCCCAAGATATCAGTGATGCTTTACCATGGCACTCCACCAGAGAGGTCCAAACTGCTGAAGCAGGTCCGCAGGTCTCAGGGGCCACTCAACATGTTTCCAGTTGTCATCACTTCCTTCGAGATCTCCATGATTGACAGAAAGTTTCTGCAGGTAAGACCTCCACACTAGAATCACCTGCTGGATTCTGGAAGTATTAGTGAAGACAGACTTTGGGAATCTCTGCTTTCTGCCTCAGCATCTCCAGTGGAAGTACCTGATAGTGGACGAGGGCCACAGGATCAAGAACCTGAACTGTCGGCTGGTGCGCGAGCTGAAGATGCTTCCCACCGACAACAAGCTGCTGCTGACGGGCACACCGCTGCAGAACAACCTGGCTGAGCTGTGGTCCCTCCTCAACTTCCTCCTCCCAGAGGTCTTCGATGACCTGAAGAGGTAATTATAAATCTGTATGTCTAGATCTGGGTGTAGAGTCCCTCTCAGCATGAGCAGCTCGGTTTTCTATCCTGTTTTTGACCAGCTTTGAGTCCTGGTTTGACATCAACTCCCTCGGTGAGGGTGATGACGTGGTAGTGGCAGAACGGGAGCAGAACATCCTGAGCATGCTGCATCAGGTGAGGCAGAGAGAAAGAGAGAGAGGCAGAGGAAGGAGCATCCTTCATCGTTTCCATGTTTTCTGTCTCAGATTCTGACCCCGTTCCTCCTGAGGAGGCTGAAGACAGATGTTACTCTTGAGGTTCCTCCCAAGAAGGAGATCATAGTGTACGCCCCTCTGACCACAAAGCAGGAGACCCTTTACAGCGCAGTCGTCAACAAGACCATAGAGAAGGTTCTGGGAAAGGACAAGGTAAGGGCTGCTGACATCTCTGGATTTCTCCACCAATAAAAACTTCCGGTGTCAGGAATTCTCCGGTTTTTCCTGTCAGAAAGAGGCTCCTGTGCCGGTGACGCCAGATGGCAGACCAAAACGTCGCACTCGTAGATCAGTGGACTACAGTGAGACGGAGAGCGACACACAGGCGGCTCTGATGAAGTACCTGGAGAAAGTCCGTAAGGAGGCCGAGAACAGGTCAGGAACCGACTGACGGGGTTTCCCCGAGAGTAACATAAGCCGATCCGCAGAAGTTTTGCATGACATCGGCATCTGTTGAGGCGGTCTGGAGAATGTTCCAGATTCGTTGCGTACAAGATGAGCTGAACCATTTCTCTGAACCTCCTCAGCCCATCACCACCAGTGCTGGACATTTCCACCCCGCCGGACGCCGACATCACGTTGAAGTTGCAGAATGTGCTGATGGTGCTGAAGAGATGCTGTAACCACCCGTACCTGGTGGAGTACCCCCTGGACCCGGTCACACAGCAGTTCAAGGTGACCTCGCCGTGTTTTCTCTTGGAGCTCGTTGAGCTGCAGACCAAAGTTTTTAGAGATTAAAGCCTTTTTTTTTTTAACTATCTCTGCAGATTGATGAGCAGCTGGTTCAGACCTCAGGAAAGTTTCTCATACTGGACAGGCTGCTGCCTGCTCTGAAGAAGAGAGGACACAAGGTAGTCGTGTTTCCAGAAGATATCAAATGTTAACGGCTTGTTCTGCCCGTCTCAGTCCTGTGTGGAGGCAGCAGAATCTCATGTTTAGTCTCTGACCTTCCTTCCATTCTGATCATTGCACTGTTTGACAGGTTCTGATCTTCAGCCAGATGACGTCCATCTTGGATATTCTGATGGACTACTGCTACCTCAGAGATTTCCGATACAGCCGGTTAGATGGCAGCATGCCGTACACCGAAAGAGACGAGAACGTAGGTTTGAAATGATGGAGAACTATTGATTTTATTATTGTTCTCTAAGGCAACAAGGTTTCCTGTCGCAGCAACAGAATTACAATTTTGAGACTGACTGGGGATACAAGACGGTGCTTTTCAAAACTATTCACACTCTTGTCATTTTTTTATTGTCAATTTATGTCACCAACTTAAATATTTCTGGATGAAATATTTCTCATATAGCACAATCAGTTTTTAAGAAAAGTTGAACCACTGTTCTGTTATTTGTGAAACCTGAATAACAGAAGTATGAATCTTTGTCTTTGGTATGTAACTACTTGCTTTTTGGGTTAATAAATTTGTCCAGAATCTGAATTTATTATTATTTTTTTTTTACTTTTTTTGCGACTCTGTCGAACGAGCCAGAAGTCACTCAGGAGTGGATGTGCAATGGATCTCTGCAGCTCCTCTTTGTTCTTTGATTAATGCTCTTTGCCCAGACTGTCGCTTCAGGTTAACGTGTGTCTCTTGATAGGTCTGCAGACTGGTGTCTTTTTTTTTTTTTTTTTTTTAAATAACTTGCCGCTTCTGTCACTTTGTGTGGATCAGACTCATGAAATCCCAATAAAATTACAATTGCAATGTGGCAGGGAGCCGTGAATTGAATTTTTGTATTTCCATTCAATGGAACACATGCTGCTGCTCTCCATCAGCTCTTTTGGAATCAGACGATGACGTTTGCTTTCTAAGCAGATCCTTTTCTCTTTCAGATCCAAAAGTTTTTCACTGACCCAGAGGTGTTCATCTTCCTGCTGAGTACCAGGGCAGGAGGACTTGGAATCAACTTGACAGCAGCTGACACAGTTATCATCTTTGACAGTGATTGGGTAGGTTGGAACCTGAGGAACGAGCTAAAATCTCTTGTACTCTAGTTTTTTCTTTTGTTTGGGTTTTTCTTTCTCCTCGTCGTCTTGTTTCCTTTTAATTTGGGAGGAAAACAAAAGTCTGGAACCCAAAGGCAGGGTTATGATTCCCTTTCCCTTCCTGCTTTAGAACCCTCAGGCGGACCTGCAGGCTCAGGACCGCTGCCACCGCATCGGACAAACCAAACCCGTGGTGGTGTACCGGCTAGTGACGGCCAACACCATCGACCAGAAGATCCTGGAGCGGGCGTCGGCCAAGAGGAAGCTGGAACAGATGGTTATCCACAAGAGTAAGCGTCGGCACGGGCACCTTTCCGCTCGTCACTGACCTTCCCTGACCTCACCTTGGTGCTGCTCTTTTTTCCCCCAGAAAAGTTCAAAGGTGGGAAGGCAGAGCTGAATCAAAGTAAGAGCTGCATCGATCTGGACGAGCTACGGGAGCTGCTGCAGGCCAGAGGCCCTGAGAAGTAAGACCACTGTGCCAACTCAATGCAGCGCAACCAGGTTAATGCTATAAACGGTCATATTGTTGTTTTGAAACCATTTTCAAGTAATATTAGTGCAAGAACACATTCTTGCAGATCAATAAACTTTATATTCTGATGAACATTTAACATTTTTTGAAATATCCACAATAAATTAAAAAAGAATCAAAAAGATAAAATGAGTCATGAAGTTTCTGAAAACAAGACTGTCCTTCAAAATAAGAGCTAGTCGAGACCACAGCACCAGACCGGAGACTTTTATCATCCAGTTTTTGGTAGAAAGAGAAAAATGATAAATTATGCAAGTAACGATTGAGTTTGTTTTAATTTATCATGCAATTAATTGATTTATTTATTATCGTGACAGGACTAAACACAACACAACTCAACACTGCATCGCAGTGCAGCAGCCTGCATGCAGTCATTGCAACAAGTATCTCTTTAACCCGGGAACTCTTGGTGTGTTTGTTCAAATTAGGGAAGTGAAATCCTCACAAGGAAAGGTGATCAGTGACAAGGATCTGGAGATCTTACTGGATCGCAGCGACCTGCTGGGTGAGGAGCGACCTCTCTCTGGTTTTCAGGATAAATTTCTGCGCACCTCCTGACATCTACATCAGACACAGACCTGTTTTTGTTTTTTGTTTTTTAACTGTGACTTGTCGTTTCCAGATAACCGAAGGAGCATGAAGGAGAAAGTGGGAGTCTTCAGAGTGATCGACGCCAAAGAGTCGTCAGAGATCACGCTGACCTGAGAGCCGTTCGACGTCCAGTCCGCTGCCACCTTAAGGAAGACAACCACGACATTCTCCGATGATGGAGCTGCTGTTTTGTTCTGTTGAGTTGCTGTAAGAATGCTTGTTTGTCAGTAAATGTTATAGAGATTGTGATATTAAAAATGTAAAACGACATTTAAAGGAATTTACCTCGTGTTTGTTCCATTTTCAATGTTGTGACCCTGTTGGTGGAAATTTAACAAAAGCAGAAAGTATCTCAATAATCAGCCACATGGTAACCAGATGCTGCAGGGTCAGAGGTCAGAGGTCTGTCCCTTGGATCAGAATGATGCCAGCGATTCAGTCCAGCGGTTCAGCGAAAAAAATTAGAATATCTTGGAAAAAGTAAAATATTTCTATATCTTATTTATATATGAGTGAACATCTGTGGACATTTAGAAAAAAACTTTGATCCATAAAGCTGTTGCATCTTTTTAATTTAAAAGAAGTAAAGCATCTTAAAGGGGAAGTATAATGTGCTCCAGTATCATTTTCAGGCACAATCAAGCAATTATGCCACCTGCAGTTGCTATAAAAATCCCCTAAATATCAAACATGATTTTAAAGAAATTTGTCTTCACAGCTTAAAGCCTTGAAATTGAGCATCATCAACTAAACATTCTTGCTCTCCTATTAACATCTTCATTAACGTAGGAAGCAATCCTTCACCGGCACTGCTTCGTTTTTGTGCGTCCATCTTCTCAAACCCCAGTCGGTCGCGACAGACGGCTGCTTGTACTGAACCAGGTTCTGGTCCTGGTTCTGATGGAGGTTTCGTTCTGATAAAGTGGAGTTTTTGCTCTCCACTGGGACCCCATCCATTCCAGGTACTGCGGGATGTGTTGCAGTAAAGTCAACAATGCAACCCATTTGATTGTCTACAACAGTCCCATTCTGTAAGATGCCTTTATGTATTGTTTTCCAGCCTCAGGCTATTTGAAAATATGGCTTGGTGCTTTAAGAGCGGGACAGGGTGTGTCCATGTCACCTGCTGAGGTATATTCATCCTGAAAAGACACACCCTGTGTATTATCTCAACGCGAACACTGAGGTTGTTTGCAGGAGCGGATCATCTGTGGATTTTTTATTTTTTATTTCTTTGCTAGAATCAGAAAAGGTGAATTAGGTAGGGGATCTGTCCTTTTTTTTATTATTCTCAAAGTCTAAGCCATCTTGTTGCCTTGCAACTGAGAATCATTTTTGTTTTCTACCCAAAGCTCAGGCGGGTTCATTTGATTCATGGAGCGTCTTAAGTTAGTCCTCCAGTACTTCCAGTCCAACTCTGAGTCCATCTCTAACGGGATCTGCATCGTCCTGGCTCTGGTCAGCGTCAAGCTCTACACCAGCTTTGACTTTAACTGCCCGTGCCTTCCTCAGTACAACAAGCTCTACTCTCTGGGAGTGATGACGGTCCCGCCCATCATCTTTTTCTTCCTGGGGGTCCTCGTCAATCGACATACGGGCGTCATGATGGACGAGTGGATGAGGCCGGTTGGGAATCGTTCCAAAAATCCTGCGGTGGTGAAGTGAGTAAAAGATTTCCTAACCGCAAAAGGTTTTTCAGGGGAAACAAAAGAGAACAACAGCAGAAATAACTGCAGCCTCGAGGTGATGGTGAAGGAGAGCTCTTTAAGAAGATTCACAAAGAGTGGACAGCGGCTGATGTTAGAACATAAAGGTCCACCACACAGACAGTTCCATGTCCATGGACTACAACCACCACAGACCTGGTGTTAAGTCGCTTCTGAACCGGGTCCAATTTATTCCAAGATGAAAGTAAAGTTCCCATTTGCCTTGGAAATGGAGGGTTACAGAGTCTGGCATTGAGAGAGACCAGAGAACCAGAGTTGAAGCTGCTGGAGGTCCAGTCTGACGCAGCTCTCTCATTTTAGATAAACTGAATGTTTAGGTCTCAAATGAACAAACTTCCAAAATAATTCATCTGTACCTGATGTCCATCCCACGTCTTCCGGCAGATACCTGTTCTCTGCCATGATCCAGAGGGCGCTGCTCGCTCCCATGGTCTGGATCCTGGTCACTTTGTTGGACGGCAAGATCTTCATCTGTGCTTTCAGCTTGAGTGTCGATCCAGGCCTTTTCTCAGGTAAACTTGAAACAGAATGACTCTATTTTTTATTTTTTCCAACAAGCTGTGCAACTGTTTGGATGCTTTGCCAATCTTGTGATTTCTCCTTAGGCGTGCCCAACAACACAGGTCTGGATGTGGTTAAGATCATGGCCAAGGTGCCCTGCAAAGAGGACGTCATTTTCCAGAACAGCTCGTTCCGTAAAGCGGTCTCCCGATATGTCCGCTGTTATTCTCAAGTGAGCTCTGTCAAAAAAAAATACTGAACACATTAACTCAACATTTTCACTCACTCTGTACATTCTCTATATAGGTGTTGCTGTGGATAGCTGTCAACTACTGATTTGAAATTCCTGTTTAGCATTCAGGGTTGTGAAAAAGTATGTGCCCCTTGACATGACCCTATTTTATTGTTTTTTTTTTTTTAATTACTATCCCATTTACATGCTCCAGTTCATCAAACAAACATTAATATCAGGCAGAAATAACCTGGGTGACAGCAAAACTCCGGTTGCAAATGAGTGGCTGCACGATGGGTAGCACTGTTGCCTTGCAGCAAGAAGGTTCTGGGTTTGAATCCCAGCCTGGGTTCTTTCTGCATACAGTTTGCGTGAGCTCCGATTAACCACATATTTTGGAAACTCATGCCTCGTTACTGCCAGACTTGTAGAATCAAGAAATAGATTGAAGGCATGAAGTCAGATGACAGATCTAAAAAAACAACAAGTGATTCCCAGATGTGAAGAAATTCAAGATCAGTTGAGAAACACAGTCACTGACATTCTAAGACTTTGGAAGAACTATTTACCCTTAATAAATAAAATGGTCATCTAAACTCAACTTTGTGTTTTCGCTCAGGTTATCTTGACTGATATTAACCCCTTTACTGACACAATGACACCAGTGTCCTCATGGACTCTTGTGGCAATTAAAGGGTTTTGCATTTGTTTGATGATCTGAAACATTTTAACGGGAGCAAACAGAATACATCTGGAAGGTACTCTTTCACATCTCTGTAGGTCAGGTGATTCAATGAGTAAAATCTGATACCAATCCTGTCATTAATAAGGCAGCAATAATGAGTCGCAAGACTTTTCAAAGCCTTTAGAGAAGCAAAATTTGGGGCCGTCCCTCTGAGAGGGGAGCAGGTTTGTCCATCCACATCAAGGTTGACAATGGTTTTGTGTCGCTTGCTTTCTACAACATCTCCAGGCAGTTGGCTGGTCCATCCTGCTGCTGCTGATCATACTGGGAGCGATGGGACGCCTTATCAAACCCTGTTTTGAAGACCACGCCGCCTTCTTACAGACACGGTACTGGAGCAACTACCTGGACGTGGAGCAGAAGCTTTTTGACGAAACCTGTGTCCTGCATGCGCGCGACTTCGCCCGGAAATGTGTGGTGCAGTTCTTTGAGGACATGACGGACGACTCGGTACTTCGTCTTCCACATCCGTCCTTTATCTCGAACGTCAATGAGGGGTGGCAGGAAGAAGAGGAGAGACTTCATGGGGTGACAAAGCAGGAGCAGGTGGACCAGCTGCTCAACAAGTGGTACTACGGCAAACCTGAACTGGATGTAACCAGGATTGCACACAGACCCAGGCCGTGTGTGACCTGGCAGGACCCAGGAGGGAAGACTTTATACTCAGATATTTAAGATGTTTTGGTGGCTGCTGTTTATTGCTTTGTTGCATTTTGTGCATTGAAGTAGGACCTTACAATTAGGGTCGGGTAATTTTATCGATTCTACGATATTTATTGATATTTTTTCCCCTTTTAAAGTATCGATTTTACACAGTATCAATATATTAAATCCTACTCAGATAACCCGTGTTCCCACTTGCACATGTACATTAAAAATGACATGTAACAAAATAACCAGTTATTATTACATTACATTATCTAATATAAGCGAATAAAACTAAAAAAAATTTCATTTTCTGTATTTGGGTGGCAAATACACAAAGCCACCCAATTAACATTTAAATAAAACAAATATAATACAAAAACAACATTTATTACACCAGTATTACACCATCAGTTCAATTAATTCAATCCAAGTCTGTGGAACAGTCCCAAAATGTCACCAAAATCACTCTGTCCCTCTAAAATCTTTTAGAAAATGGTCAAACTGTATTGAATCATTGACTAAATATCATCATATTGTGAGCAGAATATTGTATCGCATTGTATCGTATCGTCTGCGACAGACTGGTGACCTGTCCAGGGTGTACCCCACCTCTCGCCTGGAACGCAGCTGGAGATAGGCACTTGTCTTTCTCCCGGGCCCGTTCGGGAGAAGGGTGATTAGAAAATGGATGGATGGATGGATGGATGGATATATTGTATCGTGAGATTAGTGTATCGCAACAGCCCTACTTACAATGGACCAGGTTGAAAACATCAACTGGAAGAACCCTGAATTCTAAGTAGGACATTTAAATCAATCAATTGTCATCAATCCTGCCTTAGAAATCCAATATTTCTGTGACGACATGCCTGATCCTTCTCACTAGGATCAGGCACTCAGAGCTCGTTCTTCATGCTCTGAGTCTGCTGCTGGGCCTGCAACAGCTCCCCAAGAAAGCAGCCTGAGGACTTCAAGTCATGAATGAGAGAAACATACAATGGGAAACTGTTGTGCCAAAAAATGGCTGTTAAATGACTGTATTTGATCCCTGTTATGGATGATTCTGTGTCCTTCCTCTGTCTCTCGGTCAAGCTAACGTTGAAGAGATGTCGCATAACCCCCACAGAGCTGCTCTGACCCCGATATCTTCCAATCACATATTGAAATTGAAGTAAATGAATAAATCAATGGAAACAGCAGCCATAATGACGGATTATTGCCCCACACCATGCAGTTCTTACACTCAAACCAATGTCCTCAACATGTTCTGTTCTGAGCTTGAACCATGTCAAAAATTGTCATTTGAATATGTGGGTGTGGACAGACAAGCTTTGCATGGAGGTTTTCTCACAAGCACAGAATGATGAGTGTATGCAAACAAACTCTGGACCCAACTGACTTCCCCTACTTGCAATGATTTGTTTTTTGTTGACTTTGTTTTACGTTTATTAGTCAGTGTCTTTCTGATAGTAACTATGACTGTCATCAACTCTGACTCTACTTCTGGACAGCATCTCGAAACTTGATTTCATTTTCTGCTTATACACAGAGATCATAGGATTGTTTTTCAAAGTACTTGTGTAATCTTTTTTGCAGAGTAAATGTTTGTAATTGTTGTGCTCTCTCTTTCTCTCTCGCTTTTTAAGTGTTTTAGCACATTCAGTGGTTAATAGAGAAATGTTCATAATGTTTTTGATGCTATTCATAAACTTTTGGCTACAACAATGCAACAATGTCACAACAATGCAATTATGTTCTTCCACTTCCAGATAATGGCTCCAGCAGTGTGGTACCTGGAGCACAGAAGTTTAAAACTGCAATATCCATTGTCAGTAGTATTGTAACCGTAAGACGTTTTAATAAAGGTCTCTTGGCTTAATCACACATGCAATACCTTGATAATGAGAAACATTTTTTCTCCATCAGTCGATATGAAAGAAGCTGAGCTCAATTTGCACAGAGCAGCAGGAATACTTGATTTCAGCCGATTTCTTGGATTTCTGACACCATTTATATTGATTTTAAAGGTGAGTTTGTTAGTATGGTAGCCCGTTTTCGCCACTCTGTTAAAAAAATAAAATAAATGATCTCAAATTAATGAGATAGTATCTCAAAATAATGAGATGCTATCTCATATTAATGAGATAATATCTCAAAATAACGAGATACTATCTCATATTAATGAGATAATTTATATATATTTTTTTAACAGGGTGGTGGAAACGGGCTTCCATACGTTAGAAACAGGGTTTTAAAATGTTTGTCAAAGTGGTGGTACTTGGACGACTTTGCCATGCAGAAAAAGGTTCGATCCCCTCGTTCATGGCAGGGCACTCCTGACCAACAGATGGCGCTAAAGCGACTGGAACGACTGAACCGGATTAAGGAAGAAGCGCAGGTCTCGCGCTTCCGGGCGGGATGATTTGAAAATAAACAAGATGGATTTGATCGCTGCGCTGCAATTTCTGAACCTGAACCGAGCTCCACAAGGTAACGCTAAATCATTTAGCTGTATTCATCACGAGAGCTCAGGAGAAAGTCGTGTTCTTGGCTTTGTATCGGTTCATTCGGCTGCGGCTCTTGTCGCAGTTTCCGGACGGCAGAACTGTCAAGACTCTGACACCGGGCTGGACGAGATCAGATTTATTTACAAAAAACAAGCAAAACGGCCAACAAATGCATTTTCTGTTTCTAATGGGGCTGCGAGGCGGTTTTATTTTATATAACATAATATAATATATGAACTGATGAAGCACAAAAACATGGATACATATGTAAATAGTTTACTTATGTCTTTTATGAAGACAAAAGTGTCCAATATTCCTAATCTCCAAATTAAAGCTAGCTTTAAAGACTACAAAGAAGGCTTATTAATGACTTCTGTTTTGTGAAGACTAATAACTGAGCATCATCATAATGTTACTGGTTCACATTTTCACCTGCACTATTACCTGATTGCCTTGGTTTTGTCTAATTATTGACAATAAATGTGATGGAGGAAAAAAAAACCTCATCTTATAATGTAGCATTTATTCCCTGTTTAGAAAACAGGTGCTTCAGGAGAGGATGATCCTTATTATTTCTTATTACTCAGTATAATTTTTCAATGTTGATACTTTAAATATTCTGATCACATTCATGGTCTGTAGACTTCAACCATTTCAGGACAATAAACGGAATGTGGTTCAGAATGCAATTGATAATCATGTTGAATAGTTAGCATTTTATTGGCAATCTAAATAATTGGCAAATGGATATTTCTTGCAACTGACGGCCTATCAAACACCCAGTGTATTATAAGCCTGGCGGGCCACCAGGCTTCACTTGTGCCCCACCACGCTATGCATTACTTATTTATTCAAATCTTTTTAAAATGTTAGCTTTTTTTAAGACTCTATAATTGGTGTTCAGTTATTAATCTTTCAATAATACATAATTATCAAGTGATATTTTCAAATTTCCTGTCAACTTTAAACATTTTTTAACTCAAAAACATGACAGGCTGCTGCATGAATAGCCCAACCACTAAGCTCAGCAGGTTTTCTGGGGGAAACCTTGAACCGACTTGCCTTGGTTGCTACATTGACTCATCTCTTGAATAAATTTTTCTAAACATTGGACCACTTCAAGATGGCTCCTGGAAGTGGGGCAGGTGCCTGTTTACAGTTTTACAGGAACTTTTGAGATGGTTCCCAAACTCAGTTTTTCTAACGGTAATTAATACTTGCCAAGTGTCTGACTTGCATTGTGATTTCCAGACTGGGTGGACGCCGTGTGGGACTTGGAGTTCACGGAGAGGAAACCGCTGGACCACGTCATAGAGGACGAAGTGTGCGCCGGTGGAGAGAAGTCTTTCAGAAGCCTGATCCACTGTCTGCTGGAACATGCTGCAGATCAGCAGCAGCCTGCAGGCAGGAACGGAGCATCACAGGTCAGCTCTCACACCACTTCCCTAACAGTTTGCTCTGATTGCTGAGTGTAATGTATATCTGGAAAATGCTCTGGAGCTGTCGTTTGCTTTCTGCAAAAAATGAGTCTGCTAATCCTCCATCCCTGCTTGTTTCCAAAGCAGCAGGGTGTCTGGGTGATCCTTGGAGAAAACAGGGTGTCTGTGAAGTCTCTGGTGGCTGTTCTGTCCTCTTTCATCCTGGCAGCAAAGCCCAAAGGGGCCAATGTTCAGCAGAGGGTTTGTGGACTCTATGCGGCTTCTGTTTACCTGCTGCTGCTGGGGATCCCAGGTGAGCATATCTGGAAACTATTTGTTAGTTTCTGAAATGCCAGAATTTTAATTTGCAACTTGTTTGTGTTGTCTTTGGTCTTAAAATGTGTAAGCTATGCAATTTGTTTAAAAAAAAAACAGTCTGATAGAACAGCTCTTTAGCTGCAAAGGAGTCACAGAAAGATGAACGAATGGTTTTGATATAAAATATCAAATGTTTTTGTAGCTACTGTCTCAGTAAATCTGTACAAACTGTACTCCATAGACAAAATTATGGTGTGACTCTCGGTCCTGTGGGTTCTATTGGGTTCTGTTCGGAATTGAACTCACCACAGGGAGGCAACACCTGTTGGCCAGACATCGATCACTGAGGGACCGTCTGCAGTTTTTCCTATGGAAACAATGATTTACCTATTGGTCCACCATCACAACAGAGCTTGGGTTGCAATGGTGGAATTCAAATTAGTTCTGCTTGACATGTTGCTAAGGAAAAAAAAATCACATAAAAATCATGTTTCATTTTCCTCTTCAGTTAGTTGTATTTATCTTTGTTAGATTTTCATGGTTTGCTTTTTTTAAAAGGTTAGTCAAGGTTTCCCCCAGAAAACTGGTAAATATATGTGCCCTAGTTCAGGGGCTAGGGCACACTGACCTATGACCCTACTCTGAGGTGGAATCAACATTTTCTTTACTTTATAAATATCTGTGTCTTCCAGGAAGCATTGCCAACAAGGTTTTCCACGAGGTTTTGTTGGACACGTGTCTTGACCTGACCTTCCACTGCTGGCCCCAGGAGTCTGGCAGGAAGCGCAAGAAGGACGGCCCGAAAAGTTCCCAGGCTGACAGCAAACGCTCCAAACCGCAGCGTAAAGATGCTCCAGAGGTGCAGCACCAAACCACGAATCAGTCGCAGCCCAACAGATCATCTAGATCTGCTCAGTCCACTGAATTGTTGCAGCATGCCGCTCCGAATACACACAGCTTCAATGGAGCATCTGTCAAACTTTTGGGAGACAGTTTTACAAAGACACGCTTCACTGTCCTTCTCTCAAGCTTTCTGGTTTTATCACAATCAAATTTAATAGCACAGACTCTCAGAGATACAAGGCACCACATTGCATCCTTTTTTTTTCTTCTTCTTTCAGATGGAAATGGAGGAGGAAGAAGAGGAAGATGAGCTGCATTTTTCTGGGCAGGAGCTGACGAAGATCAGAGATGCTATTGCTGTCTTGGTTCAAAGTCTCCTCCGTCTCCTGCAAACTTTCTCACTCAAAGACAGACCACAGAGTGCCAGTAACTGCACGCAGGTAAGCCCCGCCTCCCCACACACACACTCACACACATAGCAAGGCTCTGTGCCACACTGCAACGTTCTTTCCTTCTCCCCAGATCTTCAGCAAGCTGCTTTACTTGGAACCTGTGTTGAGGGAGCTTACCTTTGCTGTCCCACGGTGAGGTTTCTTTCTGCCGCTGCCATATTGAAGAAAGGTCCGACCGTCCTGGAGATGAAAGCGAAACTGGTTGTCATTTCTTCACAGGGATCTCTGTGAGCTCCAGAGTGTCCCGGAGATGGCCTTCCACGGCCTGAAGCTGCTCTGCTCACCGAGACACGGAGAGCAGAAAGAGGTAGGATCCAAGCTATTTCACTGATATACACGCGTTACACACGGCTGGATCAGGACCAGTGTGTAAATAATAGAGCTTTACAATCAAAACCACCTAGCTCTGATCCAACAAAACCAAATATGCAAATACTTTAAACTTTTCTCTGCACTATAGGTTTTGATTACTAGTGCTTTTTTTAAATAATTGGACTGGACAGTTAGCTCTCCACTAGACAGACCCATTTTCATCCCTTGGCATGACAAAGCCACAGTGTTTTTGTGGGGTCAGTCTAGCCAGGTCTAAAAACCAGAACTGGACTTTTGGCTGTGGAGAAACAATTGTTTCCTGGAGGTGTGGACCGTGTTGAGGTTTTGAATTTCACTCCTTTGCTAAAATTTGCTTGTGACGTATTCGATGTGCCAATTTGACACTTAGAAGAAGCTTACCGGAAATTATCTGTGCTGTAAACGACCGTCCTCCACTGCAAAGGGAGAAAAGGCGGCGTGTTCAGTTTAGTTCACTATTTGTAATTGACACCATCGTGGACTAAACGGTTTGGTTCACTTCCTCCGCTGCCAAACATGGCTGGTTCCCCATATGTGTAGTGATCGGCAACTCTGCATCCTTCAGTCCCTGCGGAGGGTTTTCCAACGGCTGCTCTACGTCATCCTGATGATGAGTAAAGGCCACAGAGGGAAGCCGTCCCTCCTTGTCCCGAACCAGGCCGTCCTCACCACCCGGGACCAGGCCATCCACTTTGTTTGGTAAGCAGTTTTGTTTGTAAGCAGTGAACTTGACTGAACCTAGTGAGCTTAACTTGGAAAGAGGTGAATTGCAGGGGTAGATGACACCATCAACACATTGTGGAGCTGGCGTCTCTTTAGAGCTTCCAGCTCTTTTAGCATGCTACATTGTTCGTGCTTTTTCTGTTTTTGTGACTCCAGTCATGTGGTGGATGAGCTGAAAGAGCTGGCGACACCTCTCCTTCAAATCCTCCTGCAGCACATCTGCTTCCAGGTGAATCTAATCCTCGCCTTTCATTGGCTAATAATTGGTCGTCCCTCGCTTCCACGGCGATGGGAGAAAGGTCTAGCACTGCCTGATCACTCAGTTACTGTTCTGGTGCCGTGCAGATGGTGGAGAAAAGCGAGTACCGTAACCATGGAGCCCAGGCTGTGGGTATGCTGACATCTCAGATGAGCGGTACGGACTACGCCCGCTTCATAAAGTGGCTTTTCATCTTCTCTGGTCAATCAAAGGTAACACAAGACTGTTTTTTTTTTTATGTCTCCTCTTGAGACGTAGACTTGAGCAAGTTCTCAGCTGTTCTTGTAGTATGTTGTAATGTTAGTGGCTCCATAGAAACCATATAAAGAACGGAAGGCTAACTTTCTTGTAACTGGTGTTGCTAAAACTGGACGTCTTTCCAGTCTGACTACACAAGGTGCTGCTTTTTCTGCAGATGGTGCACCGCCTGTTCTCCGTGGACGTGGCTATGGTTTTGCTGACTCAGCCGGAGAGAAGCTTGGAGGAATGTCAAGATCCGGAACTGGCCAAGTTCCTGTCGCACAAGTTCCTGATCCAGGACCTGGTGTTCGCTCGACGAATGGACGAGTCTCCCACCGTCCAGGGCCACGCCCTTTCCTGCCTGGCTCAGTGTCTGGAGCTGCCGTCGCTCAATGTCACCCGGGCCGTGCACACGCTCTTCTCTGCCAGTGAGAAAACACCTGGACTCTAGCACTAGGCGATATGGACAAAAAATAAATTAATTCTACAACAACCACCGACTTTAATCTATGTACATTTTCTGTTTTAGCTGGGACACAGACGGTGCTGGAAGAGGAGCTCACCACAGGTACAGCCTGGCCGAGAGCTTGTTGGTGTGCTGGAAAGATAACTGTCAGCAGGAAACGTGCTCACTGTTAATAAGGGCGTTAATAATAAACACAAGTGTGTGTTTGTGAAGACGCATCACTGCACAGATCAGACAACAATTACATCTGTGTGTTTATTGCTTGAAGTTCCACAGCAGACGACGTGTGGACAATTTATGGGAAGCATTAAACTCCAAACTAATGCAAACTCATGATAAAATGTTAAGGATTTCTAAAATTGAATTGCTTAAAATCAATTTAAACAGGGTGGTGTTTAATTTGATAGGGTCTTAGAATGTGAAAACAGCTGGAACCCAGTTTTTTTTTTTTTTTTTTTTTTTTTTTAAAGTGGACTGAGCGACTGCGTGTTGATAGATGCCTCTGTGTTGTAGGATCTTCTAGCTCCCAGAAAACCTACCAAACTCTTCCCTTCAGGACGGTAGATCTCAGCAGTGGTGACAGCGCCAGCTGCGATGGTGAGCTTTCTTTTTCTCAGATGTCCCGGGTTGTCAGCGTATTTACACGCCGACGACTTGAATGTCAAATGTCATGTCATATTTTGGCTCCATCTATAGAGAACCTGGCCCTTCTCCTGCGCCGCGTCAGAGACTCTAAAACCAACGTGAGGAAAGCAGCCCTGCAGGTACTCCGATCAAACCGTCGCCGCACGGCTTCACGTTTTCCGGCTGTATGTTTTCCACCTGGTTCTGCTTCATCCATCTGTTCTGATGTCCGCTGTTCAGGCTGTGGTGGGTCTCCTGAAACACGGCGTAATTCCCACAACCCGGGAGAACCTAGAAACTCTGGCGGAGCGCAGCAGAGACCCGGCTGTGTCTGTGAAGAAGAAGGCCTTACATTGCCTGGGAGAATTGCTCACCGTGAGGCTGTCTTTCTCTTCAGAGGTCAGCTGAAAATGTGACGATCAGGAATCATGAAACGACTGCTTGATGTCACCACCAGGCTAAACCAGGGTGCGTGGAAGTCCAGAAGGCGTGGCTGTTGGGTGTGGTCCCAGCTGTGGTGGACTCTGAGAACTCTGTGCAGGATAAGGCTCTGGAGCTTCTGGACCAGGTTCTGCTCAGTCGGGTGAAGCCCTACTCTGAGTGGCGGCACCTGGACCAGAGCGAGAGGCTGACCTGGGACCTGCTTGACCTGCTGTGTAACGAGTGCCGGAACCTCAGGTCAGGACACTTCTCTCCTCATAAACCTTGCTGTCTCTTTTCTGAACTCCTGCAGAGACGAGCAAATTAAGCTCATCGTCAGTCGGCTGACGATGAGCTGTAGGATAGCTCAAGTAGGATAGAAATTTGAATTTTGCTAATTTTTATAAGATCAGACAAAAGTTTGACACATTCAGAGTTTAGAGGAATTGGTTCCTAAAATTATTCAAGACGAACTGCTTTCCAACAGGCCTCAGATCAACAACATATGGCTTATTAAGGTTTTCCACACGTTTGACTCATCGACGGCTGGCAAACATGGGCCACCTCTATAAAAGCAGGCTAATCGAGTGTGTTCCAGGCTTAGAACACACTGAGAGAAATGCTGAACATGTCAATGTTTGAATGTAGTGTGAAGCACTTTGCTGTCCTCTGGACTTGATATCAAAATTGCAATTCCACGCAAAATCTGCAGCTGATGACTGATTTTTGCATTAACGGCTGCAATCGCAAATTCCTGGAGTGACTATATTATGATATATTTCTCTCCCTGTTAGGAACCACAACTTTCACATGACCAAACAAATACCATATGACCAACCTCCTCTACTGCCCCTCCAGAAACAAATGGCAGCAAGATGGAAATAAATATCTGTTTATATTTGCCAAGTGGACCAATACATATATGTTAAAAACTGACTTGTGTCGGCCGATACCAATGTTTGTGTCGATGTATTGTGCATTCCTAAGCAGAACCTAATCATTCAGAGTTCTGTGGGTGGTTTTGAGGACAGATGGAATTGGGGTTCTAAGACTCAGAAGCACATTTGGGATAAATCAGAGGCAGCAGATCAACTCAAGCACCTCATCACCGCAAAGCATGGCAGAGGAGGCATGGCGGGTTTTAGTCCCACAATATAAAGTGGCATTACATGTGTAGTTGTTTGTGCTTTAATGCCCAGAAGTAGAAGAGAAGATCGTTTTCAATGAGATAAAGACGTTTGATTGTTGCATTTTCCTCCACAGTCGGTACTTCAGCAGGGCCTTCACCGTCTGGTCCAAACAGAACAAGTTCACCCCAACATTAATCTCTAACCTGATCTCCCACACGGAAACGGAGCACGCTGCAGGGGCCTGGCTGCTGCTCTCCAAGGTCGTCTCCTCAGTGTCCACAATACCATACGGCAAGATCCTGGAGGCCTGGGACAGCATGGTCAGGTGAGGACATCAGCCTGTATCCACAGTGTGAACATGAAATCCCTGAACATCCACAAGGTTTCCCCCAGAAAACCTGTGGATGAGGACACAATTAAAGCCTGGTGGCCCGCCAGGCTTATAGGACACTGGGGGAAACCCTGCAATCTACATTTTAATGTTGACTTTCTTCTGTTTCCATAGATCACATGACGTGAATGTGACGAACTGCTGTCACGTCCTTTCTGTTGTCGGAGACATCGCTGCTCATTTAAACGAGGACACCAGGGACAGGATATCTGGTGAGGAGCTGGACGTGAATCTGTCCTGGAGGACTCATCAGCCGTCCTCATGTCTCTCCCTCAATTTGTCCTCTAACTAGCTGATCTGATGTCGTGGCTCAAGACTTTTAGTCTGTCTCTGGAGGTGATCAGCGCAGCCATGCAGACGCTTTACCAACTTGGCTGTAGCGAAGACATCAAACAAACACAGGTTTGAAAGTGGGAAACATTAACTCTGCTCTTTCGTATAGAAATATTTCGACTCTAATTTCTGTTTTTGTAAATCACTGCAGAGCTTCAGAATGACGTGATTAGATCCTGGTTTATTTTACTCTTAGCTTAAACATGCTCAGAACTCGAAGCTACATTTCCTGAGGTTGTGAAATGGACTGATGCCTAAGAAAACCTTTTCTAGTTTAGCGAAAGTGATGATTTGCTCTAATTTTTGCTACTAATTATCTGACTGCCGCATTCATAGAAAATTCCAGTTCTTTAAATACATATAAATAATAATAACCCACACTTTGGGTGCCACTGACTTAAGGATAGCAACAAATATGTAAAAAAAAAATCCTTTTTTTTTTTTTTTATAAAGGGTACATACTGCGGCATTAAGAAAATAATTTAAAAAATAATTAGTTTTATTATCTTTCATCAATTCAAGAAAAATGAAGAATGTGGTTGTTTTCCTTCTCTTTCATCAGGCTTTCCTGAACCAACACTGTGGCGAGCTGGTGTCGATCTGTGAGACTTATTTAGCCGGCATCATCCTCAGTGAGAACGGAACCAAGAACCTCAACGAGGATCTGATGGTGAGGCTCCTTCAAACCTCACCACCCCCCTCAGAGTGGGAGTGGACAATTACCTGTCAGTACCAAAGCTGCTACAGTCGGCGAGAATACCCATTTCATCGTTGTTTATAGTAAAATCCATAACCTTAGACGTCACCGACATAATCGCAACGTTCAGGAGGAAATTACCACTACTGTAATTGTGACAGAAATCTCTGTTTTGAAGAGTCGAAATAAATAAAAGATTTCAGCTCCCATGCACCTGTAGCACAAATTATTTGAGTATGTTTCTTAATTGTGGTTAATAACAATGGGTTTCATTCTCTAGAAGAAAGAGCAGCTGTTCCTCGGTGGTCTGTGTGCCTCGTTGGGAAGTTGCTCCTCTGATTGCAGATGTTCTGTGTTCCAGATAAAGCACCTCCACACTCTCGGCGTGGCCTCGCTTCACTGTCCGGCAAAGGTTGGCAAGAGGACGGTGCTGCTTGTGGAGTCTGTCCTCTCCTCACATTCCGAGAAGCTGGCGGGTACGAAAGCATTCTGGACCTCACTGAGATGTCGGCGGATTGCTGTTGACCCGTTTACTCCATGAGCCAATTTGGCCTCCATTCCATTACCTACCTTGTCAAAGGTCTAAGAATCAACTACTGTCCTCTTTTGCTCTCCAATGAGAGAGGTTTGACTGACAGACAAGCCCACCAAATCCTGTCTGCACCTTTACAATTGACAATAGTGACCCCACTGTTGCCAACTCAGCAACTTTCTTGCTGTATTGAGCGACATGTCAGACCAAAAGGATTGGTATCGGCTAAAATTGGAATCGGCAAATTAGGCTTTTTAAAAGATTGGTAATCGGTGATCGGCCAGAAAACTGCAATCAGTGCACACCTAAATATAACCAATATTTATTTTGCTGACTTCTTTCACAGATATCCAATGGAAATCTTATTATTATTTGTTTTTTGTTGTTTTTGCCTTTTTTTATAGTCTAATAACAGTGTTGTAAGAAAAACATTTGTTCCTGACTCATCCATTGTGTTTTCTGCTGCTGGTGACCAACAGCCTGTCAGGAGGAGCTGCCAGCATCACTGCCTCTGTCTCAGTTCAGAGAAAACTCCCTGCCTACCAGGATCAAAGCCCATGGCGTGATCACGTTAGGTGAGCTCTCCCATTGCTCGATCTCACACACACACACACACACGTTTTAATCACTCCATCCTCTCTGTGTGGCATCAGGGAAGCTGTGTCTGCAGCACGAAGAACTGGTCCAGAAATACCTGCCGGTGTTTGCCAGAGAGCTGGAGGTCGGCACAGAGGTCGCGGTGCGCAACAACATTGTGGTGATAATGTGCGACCTGTGTGTTCGCTACACCAACATCGTGGATCACTACATCCCCAACATCTCAGCCTGCATGCGAGACGGTGAAGCCGTCATCAGGGAGCAGACTCTCATCATGCTGACCAACCTGCTCCAGGTACGTATGAGCGACTACCGCCGTCACGACCTTCCAGCTGCGCATCTGACCCTCCGTTCTGATTCCCTGTTCACAGGAGGAGTTTGTGAAATGGAAAGGCTCTCTCTTCTTTCGCTTTATGGTAGCCCTGGTTGATCCAGTTCCTGCCATTGCCAGGTAAATTGCAACAGGAAATCCTTGACTGTTGTATGTGATGAATGCAGCCCACGTCATGTCTGCTCCATTCCTGTTGCAGTCTGTGTGAATACTGCCTGCTTCATCGGCTGCTCAAGAAGAACCCTGAGATGTTCAGCCAGCACTTCATCGAGTGCATCTTCCACTTCAACTCATACAACAAACACGCGTCGTACAACAAGTTCCCTCAGAGTGAAAGGTAGCTGATTATTATTGTAGCAGAGGTGATGTCACACTGTGTGTGTTAGAGATGGAAAATAAGGGTTTTACCTGATTTTGCAACTGATATTTTAAGTAAGGCCAGAACTTTTAACTTGTTAATTTTCAATAATCAGTTAGATTAATTTTAATGAGTTAATATTTTTGCATACAAAAATCAACAGTTGTAACTTTTGTATTGTTTCTGGTATGCCTGTAAAACCGTCGCTCAAGCAACATCCACAAAGAGCAGCGATGTGCACCAGCAGACTTCTCCTATAACGATCTTTGCAGACCTGCTGTATCTCTGCTCACACACTGAAAGCCCATCTTTATTGGACGCGTTTTTTCTTTGTGTTTCTTCTACGAAGAGAAAAGGTCTTGTTCTCCCTGAAGGGCGCTCAGCACCGCGAGAAGCGCTTTCGCATCTACCGTTTCCTGCTGGAACATTTCACAGACGCCCAGCGCTTTAACACCACCAACAAGATCAGCCAGACCATCTTAGGTAGCCACACGGCTGCTCACAAATTACAGCCTGGAGTTTGGATCAGGCGCGAGAGTTGGACCTTTTTGTAATGGCTTTCCTTTCTTGTTTCTCTCCCAGCATGCTTTGCGGACGAGGAGCTGCCTCTGGATGCAGACGGTGCCGAGATTTTGTCAGAGACCTTCAACGTGTTGAGTCTCAAAGAATTGAAGCTGCAGGCATTTTCAGCACCAGCAGGGGGTGCTGGGAGTGAGGAGGCGGAGGAGGAGAATGTGGCCACCATGACTAAGGCCGTCCTGCAGGTGGTGCAGAAGAAGGTGGTGTCGCAGGTCGGAGCCCTTCCCATCGGAACTTTGCGGCTTTCTGCAGCGACATGCATTCCAGCTGTGCAGTGATTGAAAGTGTGGCTCCGCTGCTCTTGTGCCCAGGTCCAGAAGAAGGCCTTCATAGAAAACACAGTTCCTCTAATCATCAGCTTAAAGAACCTTCTGGAGCAGAAACGATCCCCTGTCCTCAAAGACCTCATGGCCTACCTTAAGGTTCGTGTTTTGCACTCGTATCGTTTATTTTTTTGTCGCTCTTCTAAAGAATTTCAAGCTTCACAAGACAAATCGTAAGTGCAGCTTTAGTCATCGGTTGCGCTCCACGTTCTCCATCAGGTGACGATGCAGGACTACCGTAACGAGGTGAAGGAGTTTTTCGCCGGAGACGAGCAGCTGGCAGCTGAAGTGGAGTTTGCTTTGAAGGCGGCCGAAAAGGAAAGAGCGATGCAGGAGCAGATGGAAAACTGCAGCGTGACGCCGGGCGCCCAGACGCCCACTGCGAAGGTGACCGAGCAGAGAACACGCGTCACAACAAACTCTTTCATTTGTTCTGGTGTAACATCCAGACGATCGTCTACCGCCACTGAAGGCGTCATCGCTCTCTCCTCTCTCCCCAGAGTTCGGATCCGAGGTCTCCCACCAAGAGAGCCCTCCTGCCCTTTAACTTCGCCACACCACAGCCGCCTCGTCCAAACACCGCCTCGTCCAGACTGGCCCTGACTGACAGGTAGCGTCTACTATTCTAGATCTCACCCCTGAGTCAGCACAAATATACAGCCAACAGAACCCACCTGTAGGTCCGCATGCAGGCCGGAAATATCGAGGGAAATGTATGCGACTGTGATTGTCGTTCTCCATCAGGCGAGCAGGTCCACCTGGGCAGGAGGAGGAGAGTCAGTCCAAGTCTCTGACTCTGGGGAGAACAGGTGAGAACCGCTGAAACCGTCCTTCACCATCACATCGGCTTCCTTCAACAATCAGGGAAACGTTACTTTTCTTTTTCTCGATGTTTTCTTACAGCGATAGTCAAAGGAGAGGTCAGCAACAGAGCCTTCAGCACCCCAAAAGGTAAGAGTCCTTCCTCTGTCGTTTGTACGTCGGTTCAAATGTTCAACTTTTACTTTGAAGGGTCAACCTTTCCTGCTGTTCTTTTTGGAAACACGGAAGCTGAATATTTGCGTCTTCCACAGGTTTCAGCCTCAGCCTCACTTTTAACGAAGGACTCAGTGCGATCTTCAGTGACCAAGGAGCAAGTAAGATTTTCCCTGTTTGTTTGTTTTTTTTTGTTTTTTTTTTAAACTTGCCTCTCTAAATAAGACTGTTTCTGTGTTTTAGTCCTCAAATGGAAGAGAAGGACACTCTGTCCTCCTTAGGGTTCCACATGTCCCAGTTTGTGGTATTAAGCTGTTTGCTCTGTCCTTCCAGGTTCTATTGAGGAGTCCAGCATTCTGCATGTGAAACCAAATGAACAGACGTAAGTCTAACTTTTCTTTTTTTTTTTAAACCCCATACACAGAGATTTTTCCAAGGTTTCTCTCATAAAGGTCGTACTAAAGCATTTGCCCCCTCACAGATTTCTTCTGTTTATGCCTTTTTCCTCGTGTTTAAATGTTTCAGATCAAATTGTCGTTAAAATTCAAAAATAACGAATAAATGCAATCCTATGATGACAAAGTGATCCACTCAGCCATTTTGACACACTTGGCTTAGCAGATTTGTTTTAATGCAGGCATTTGCAGCTGCATGGTGTTGAGAAAGAAAGATGCTCCTGAACGTCTCCAAACATAGCTGAGGCTTACAGCTGCTCACGTGGATCAAACTTCCTCTGGGAAATAAAAACAGTTATAGTCAAGCATGGCTTATTTTCTTTTTTTTTTTTAAATATTTTTTATTTTATTTAGAAAGACAAGTTTCAATCACATACAATAATTATAGCGTTACCCATTTGAGGTCGTACATGTGGTGAAAGCATGGAATCCAGGTGGTTTTGTCCATATTGCCTTTCTGGTATTTTTTAACAGTTTTAGTTGTAAACGGTAATAAATTTGAAGAAAATTGTACACACACACAAAAAAAAAAATAATAATAATAATAAAAAATAACTAAAAATTGGGAATCGCACCACTTCAAGCAATAGAAGATCTCAAGAATATCGAAGGGTAGCACACATAATTCACAAGAACAATCAAGTGAAGTCTGATCTGATTGGTTTTACATATTCAGTCCATTTGGTCCAGATCTTATAAAATTTACCTTTTTCAAGTTGAAGGGAGAAAGAAATCCTTTCCATAGCATAAATCCGATAAACTATTTCAATCCATTCATCCATAGTAGGTGGGTCCGGTTTCAGCCATTTCTTAGTGGCTGCCAGTAGGATAGCCAGCAGCTTTTTGTCTGAATTGGTCCAATTGTCCAACCGCAAGTTGCCCAGATACATCGTTTCACATTTAAATGGAATGTTCACATTAAATATATTTTCAATGTGTTTATGGAGCTCTTCCCAATATGGTCTTATTACCTGGCAGTCCCAAAAAATATGGAAATGATTGGCACCATTAAGCCCACAAAGTCTCCAGCAGGAGTCCCCATTGCTTTGATATCTTCTCTGAATGGGTGTAACAAAAAATCGTGTAATGTTTTTCCAGCAAAACTCCCGCCATGTATTTGATCCGGTCGAGACCCATTGCAACTGACATATACCCTCCCAGTCCTCTTGTGAGACTGTTGTCTTCATTTCTTTCTCCCATTTCCTCTTTATGTATTCTGTATTCCCCTGTTTAGATAGCTGTATAACGTTATATAATTTGGAGATGATTCTGCTTTCTGACCCAGGCTTAATTAGTGATAGGAATACACCCATGAAACTGGAATCACTTTCTCTCAACCCCTCTTTAAAATTTGTATTAAAATAATGTCTCACCTGCAGGTAAGCATGGCTTATTTTCTATTGTGCTTTGGGGCTGATGAAAAGAATCGGTTGTATGTAGGGCTGTGTAATTTTATCGATTCAACAGTATTTGACAATATTTTCCCCCCAGAAAGTATCGATTTTTCATCTGCGAGTATTGATGCATTAAATGTAGGAGGTCAGCGTATCGCCACAGCCCTACTTGTTGGCTCTATAATCCCATTGCGGGAAAAACGAGTTTAAACAACGTAAAAATTTAAAAAGTTCAACACTGAAGCGCAGTCGATGCTAAAACCATACCCAGAGGAGCATGAAGGTACACAACACTCACTTTTAGACCAATGTACTGTAACGCAAATACTTCTTTTTTTAACTATGTTGATGACAGAGGTGGTTTTCTCAGACACAAGTATATGGTTGTAATCTCTCTTCATTGAGTCTGTAAAGCGACTTTAACGCGCATCAGGTTTTATTTCATTTATTAAAGGTGAACGAAGCACCGTTTTTAAACTTCGTGCTCCAGCGTGAATCCTGTGAAGAGTTGCTGTTCAGTCCTCTGACTGGTTGTCTTTCAGGGCTCCGGGGCCGAGGCGGTGGAACGTGCGGTCCCCTCTTCAGCAGAGGAAAACATCGTCTAGAGTTTAGATGTTCCAGCTTCTCCATGTCACATTCTGTCTTTAATACTTAATCTTTTCCTGTTTCCAGTCTATTCAAGCTTTGATGTTTCTGTCACTGTTTCATTTTATATGTTTGCTAATAAAGGAGATCCAAAACGAGGCGTTTAGTGTACTTTGTCTACGTATCAGTTGCAAGCCTTTAAAATTGTGACGATTTATTTTTTTTTTCTCCAAGGATTTTGTTGGCTCTAGTGACCCATATTTTTTTAAAATTAAAAACCTATATTTTTTTAAAGTAGGCTGACAGGAGAGAGGGGAAAACATGGGCAAATGTCACCAGGGCTGGGAGTCGAACCCGCGACGAGGACTAAGGCCTCCATACGTGAGTTGTGCTAAACCCCTGTGGCATCACAGCACGCCCCAAAATGATGGCGCTTTTGATAGGTCAGATAGACTCCAAAAATTGTAACAGCAGCTGCATGGGAGGCCCAATTAAATTTTTTGTCATGGGGGACTATTCTGCTAGTACCTTCCACTCACACTGCAAGGTTTGGTCTCGGTCAGCGTTACTGAAACGCTTTTCCTTCTCGTGTTTTTTGAGAGCAAAAGGAAAGATGCAACATCTGTGATCCTATCTGCTTAAATAACAGGGATTTCCTCTGGAGTGGTCGCAATTACTCCATGGACTTAAAAGGATCCAAGAGATGAATGGCTTGAGGACATACGTCTGTCCAGAGCAATTTAGCCCAATGGAACGGTTGAGTATCACGATATGCTAACAATTCCACAGTAGCATGTCTTAGATAAGGTATACATCAGTGCAAATCCACCTTATTGGCTTTTGCTGCTCCTCTTCAAATGTCTGTCTGTACAGATAGATATGTTCAATCAGATCAAAGTGGAAACGACGTCAAATTCCTTGTTTATGTGCTCAAATTTGGCAGAAAAAGGTGAATTCTGCCATTCCTTCAGCCAAGAAGACTTTAGAAAAGCAGAACCTGCTGTGGTTTTCCGACAGATTGCAGTCTGCCTCATTCCTTACATAACGGTGATGAAATGAATCTTGGTAAAACATTTCTCCTGTCTCGGGTTTATTAGTCTAGGAACTGAAGCCTCTGCGGTTTGAACTTTGGCAGATTTCACTCGGGGTGTTTTTGTTGCTTTAACCGGCTCTGCTGGAACAAACTGATTTCTCAGAAAACCCATCAGCTATCAGCCACCTGGATGAATCTTCCATAATGTCTCAGGGTTTTGAAAGACTGTTTTTGACTCTTCAATCCAGTCACCACGTTTACCCGGCATTAATAACAGACTGTGTGCTCAAGCAGTGAAGTCGTTTCTTATTTTCAGCAGTTTTTTGTTGTTGTTGCTCTCACAAACAAAACTCACAGGTTTCAGTTTATGCTCTAATCCTTCATGTGTTGTGCTCTGACATGCAAAACCGATCATGTAAGCAAAGCATCACCGAGGAAAAGAAGAAAAAAAACAAAAGAACAGAAAAAGCCTTAAAACAACCAAAGGATCCTAATAAGATGTTAACAGTGCGTTCAGAGTGATGGTTTTGAGCCACGCAATTTATAGGTCAAAGGTCATTCTTTCGCCTGATTCTTGTTCAATACATGGCTGCCGTCTGTTGTGGTGGAGCTCTATGGTGTGGTGTGATGATGGGAGGAGTTCGTAATATGATTATTATAATTTTTTTTTTACCGCTTTTTGAACTTAAAACGTCAGATTAAGTCAACTTTTATTTTCAACAAAGTCGTAGGAGATGTGTGTTTTTTTTTTATTTTTTTTACGAGGAATAATATATATTCCTCGGACGCGTCTCAAATTCATGACTGTTTCGTGTTGGTGTTCCAGGACGAAGATGATCGCTGTAGAAGAAGTTCCAGAAAAGGTTCCACTTCCATTAAAGAGTCAATATTTTTGAAGAAATCTGATCTTTAGATAACATCAAGCCAAGTATCGTAACAACACGGGGATGAGGGGGGGGGGAAGAAAAACAGAAAAAGAGCAACCTGTCTGTTGGGATGAAGTCTTTATCACAACATCTGAGCTGTGTAGTTCAGTGTTGCCCCACGGCTGGTAATTAAAGACAGCAGTGCTGCTGCGCCCCTCCCCCCCCTACTGCTGTTCAAATATTTCACATCAGTTCCTCAGAGAGACACTAACTGGGTGTGGACAGAAAGAAAAGCACTTGGCTTAATCTGTAGGATTTATCACAACTGAGCTATAAAGACACAAAATTAGGCATCGAGGATGCAGCTGACAATACAGAGCCACGCAAAGGTGTTTAATTTCGCCGCCAACCTTAAAAACGACCCGTTTTTAATTGTCCAAAATGTCCCATTGTCTATTTATGGAACAGGCCAACACAAAGTAGCGAGTAACTACAAAGAAAAACTAATTTTTAGAAAAGGAAGAATCAAATATAAGTGAAAAGCTGAGCACATGCATTCAGCCCCTTTTATTACTTCTCAATAAAATTCAGCGTGGCCGATAGCATTCAGAGGTCAGGTGCATCTCAAGGGATTTCCAGTGTCGTCTTGTCCAGACGGGCAGTCTGTCATGCAGGAAAAAAAAAAAAAAAAGAAGAAGAAAGGAAAGGAAACAGACGTCACTCTTTTCAGAGATTTATAGCTAAAATAACATTGAGACCTGCGTATTATCTTCCATTCACTTCATATTGTCTTCCATTTTTTGTCAGCAAGTGTCTGTATGTGAAGTGACAGTAAGAAATGTTACAAGGAACTAATTTAAAGGAGCGGTATTCAGCAAAGTTCTGCTGACTCAGAACCCAGAACGTGCATGGATGCAACTCGCAGCTCCAGTGAGGAGACTCCTTCTTGATTTCCTCCACTCCTCTTTGGGGCTGCAGAGAAACCCGTCCTGATGTTCCCTCCTTTTCCTCCTCCTCCTGCTGGAGTCCCGCCCCCCCACTCTCCCCCCTCCGTGCAGCTCAGCTGACGGGCTGCTCACACAGACCAGCGAGCCGCTCCTGGACCGCAGCAGGACCCCGGTACCACAACCAGCCTCCGAACCGGAGGAGACGCCCAATGAGGAATATCTGAAAAAAAATCTGATTTCTTTTTTTTTTATTTTTAAGTTTGATTATTTATTTATTTATTATTCTTTTATTTATTCATTTTTATTTCATCAACATGAGTGTGAAAAGGAAAAAGGCTGGGCTGGTCATCAGCTGGCAGAGATCTTTCTCACTTCTGGCTCCTTGGAGAAAAGGTAAAGCTCCTTCAGCTCCTTCCTCAGAGACATTGTCTTTACCGTCACAGCTTGCTTTCATTTCTTTCCTGTCATGGTCCTGCACCACCTGCAGACTCATCATCCTCTCTGTCGGCACCCGTTCGCCCCCCGCGGCGCATTTGTTGCCGTTGTTCCTCAAGATGACTCCAAACGTTCAGGGACTCGGTGATGAGGTGACTGTGACCTGCAGCCTCTCTTGTTATTCATCAGACAGGGTCTGAGGAGAGTTTCGGGCTTTCAGCTGCTGTTGTTGCCACTGAAAGCAGGTCGGCGGTCTTAAAAACTTCCCTGGCCTCCTCTTGTTTTTATTCCCACTCCCATGAAAACCGCGAGCAGCAGTTTGTTTTGTGGTTGCCACAGTGTGACAAAAAGAAGAAGAAGAAAAAAACAAACAGACGTGGACCTCTTCCTCCTCCGTGGGACCGGAGGGAACGTTCAGACGTCACAGACAAGAAGTGTGCGGAGAATCACCCGAATCTGTCTGAGCTCCGACAACCTGCGGCCAGATGTTTTCTGTCACGCTGTCTGATTTATCAGGGGGAAGGCAGCAGCTGCTATTGACTCATCTGGTCATGTTAACTCCTGGATGACAGCAGGATCTGGAAAAGAGATCCAGCTTAGAGTCTGCAGCAATTTACTAAGCGTGTTCAGTCAGCCCCATGTTTAACAAAAAAACCCCTAATATGGCATATCAGCACAAACATATACGAAGCACGGCGGTGGAGGGCGATGCTTTGGGCTGGTTGGTGGTCAATCAGACTGTGAATTCCTCCAGCTGTGAGTCCAGCAGTTGAGGTTCTGGTCTAGACCGAGTCATCAGTGACTAACTGCAGCAGCTGCTCAACAGAATGACTGAAAAAGAATGAAGGTGTCACTCGTGGCCTATTCAAAGTCGAGAGCTCGGCCTCGATTTAAGATGCGGTGGCGGGACCGTAACAGAGCTGTGCAGGAACAAACAGTGGTAAAGCTCGATGAGCAGAAGGAGCGATGTGAAGGATAGAGGGATGAGATTCCTCCTCAGTGGCGGGGCAGAACCCAACCCGGACTGTTAAAACACGATTCCCTCTCTGATCCGCTCTGGTCATGAACAAAACTGGTCCAATCCTCTACTGAACTGATTGGAGCTTTAAGAAATTAAGCCATCTGGATGAGGAGTGAAACGGGACATCAGTTGGGTCAATATTATCCTGTATGTGTAGAAATGACTGTCTATAGGATGATATCAACTGGGGCTGCACCGATTGCAGTTTTCTGGCCCGATCGGCGATTTCCGATCTTTAAAAACCCGAACCCGCCGATTCTGATTTATTTCCACCTAAAATGCTGCTAAATTTGGCAAGAAAGCCATTGAGCTGGCAACACTGGGGTGATGATTATTAACTTTAAATGTACAGGCATGACCTGGTGGGCCGGCCTGCCAGTCAAACGTCTCTCAACGTGAGATCGATTTTTAGACTTTTGCCACGGTTGATAAGTTTGGCTTCAGATGTAAGAATCGGCCGTCACTGATATGCCTGATATTAAGCGTGGTCCGGGGGTCCCAGGGCTTCTTTCTGTGACCCAGTCATCCACGAGATTTGTGCCGACTTATTTTTACCGCTGCCTGTTGCCCGGGTCGGTGCTGTAACTCAGAGGTGGCTCTTCGTCGCCTCACCTGGCCAACTAAAGGTCCGACAAAATCAGAGCAGCCGTGGTTTGTGTGAAAAAGCGTGCAGCAGCACACAGAGCTTTCTTATCACGGCGTCAGGTTGCTCTGCATTCCACAGCTGAACCCCAACTCAGATATCACTGTCAGATTATTTACAGTAGGAGATCCCCCCCCACACCTGCTGCAGAGCAAATCCCACAGATGCCTTGGAGTGGGAGGCGTAGTAAATCTGCCCATTGTTGCCGCCGTTCAGGAGTCGCTTTGCTCTGCTCCACAGCAGACACATTGTTTGCCGTGTTTCTTAGAGCAAGAAGAAAGGCCTATTGTGCGGACGGCTGCGGACGGTGCAGCTGCCAGGACGACTCCTGTGTCTCCGGCGTTGTTTTTATCGCAGATCACATTCAGGGCGTTAGGATCTCGGGTGTGTTTGAGTTTGTTTTGGGTGTTGTGATCCTTCATGCTCCTCAGTTTCTGGTCTCTGTTGGTTCTGCCTTGTTACTTCAGTTCCTTGCTAGTGATTCTGTTTGTTTCCTGTGTCAAGTCCTTTCTTAGGTGCTGTGGTTTTATTAAATGTCTTTTTCTAGTTATTTTTGTCATATTCTTTTCCTAGTCCCCACTACTCTTTCCCTCACCCGCTGTGTCACTTCCTGTCCATCTGTCTCCCTCTGCAGCCTGTTAACTCATCAGCCCAGATCCATTGTTCCAGCATTCATTCCCCCAGTATTTAATCACACCTCCTTCATTCACTCCTGGCTGGTTTTCTCTCTTGGATTTATGGGTTTTGTTCGGCCCCTGGCTCCGTTTTTTTTTTTTATTTCTAAATATGTCATTAAATATCTCAATCTACTCCGTGCGTGCCTCTGCTGTTCTGCATTTGGGTCCACCATCAAGCGCCACTCATCAAACAGCACACAGGACACAGTTTGGCCTTTTCCAAACCGCAACCCGACACAATCGCCTGTAAGGGCGCTTCTGTTCTACAACAGTTCAGTTCTCAAGAATTTCTCCGAGAGCGTCCTCCAAAAACATTTGGCAGGACAGCGGCAGCATTGCCTCGGCCTTCACTTTGAGGGATGAGCTGCTTCCATCTTCAGCCGTTGGAGGGAATTATTCCCAGGGAGTTTTTGACTGAAGCCACAATGCTCCTGCACATTCCTGTCTTATCATAATGGTGTCTGGCAGGACAGAGCAGTGCTGGGGTCATGCATTTACTTTGATAAGTGGAAGGGAGTCTGGTTAGCATCCTCAGAGCTGATGACATTACTCTCATGATCCCAACTGCGCCTCACGTTGAGGTGCAGCTGTGGCTGACAGCATGGTTTAGATCGCTACTTCTATTGCTGCTGATTTTAACCACAACTTTTTATGTCGTCACCATAAAACCCCACAAAAAAGCTGTGATACCATTTCGAGTCTACATCACCCCCCTCCCTCTGCCAGATAGCAGCAAGGCTCTATCTTGGCTTAGAGTATTTCTTCGCAAATAGGTAAATGTAGCAATGAGGAAATTTAGAAATGCATGTGATATTGTTAAAAGAGATTATTAGTGGCATTACCTTATTTATGTCCGAACCGACATTCAAGCACTTCGGCCAAGTCGTACCTCTCACTAGGCCTGTCACAATAATCAATAAATCACTTAATCGCACGATGAATTAAAACAAGACTCAATCATTTCTAATTTTACGATTTATTATTTTTCTCTTTCTACCAAAAACTGGACATAAAAGTCTTCACTCGGGAGTTTTGGTCTCAACTGACCCTTAAATTTGTTTCCCGAAACTTCATAATTCATCCAATTTGTTGTTCCTGAAGTTTGGTTGATTTATTTTGGATATTTAAAGAGTCTTCCAGTTCCAGTGTTAAATGTTAATTGGAATTTCAAGCTTCTTGGTCTTTGAGAATGTGTTCCTGCATTATTACCATTGTAATGCTGGCAAACTGTCTCAAAACAACAATATTATCGGTTATCGCCGAAACGTCTGGGACGATAACTTTGGGGTATTTAAATGAACTGTGTTACTGATGTATATATTATTAATTAGTCTAATCCAATGCTGGTGTTTATCTTAGAGCCTGGTTAACTTTCCCAGTCTGAGTGCCAGGTTCTTTCCCAACCCCTCTTGACCCCTTCTAGCCCCTGCACGAAGGGTGTGTTTTACCTCCAGCCGTGGAGGCATCGCTGAAGTGTTTTTCTCATGCGGTATGAGCCTGAGGCATCGCAGAAGACAACAGGTCAATCCACCCAGTCCTTAAGACGTGTCCAATCCACCAGTTTGGGTCTGGAATGTCGGAATGAACCTGAGGGGGTAGGGGGAGGAAACGGCAGACGGATGTTCTCGGACAGAAGCCAGGCTTCAGGATGATTTGTGTTGTGCGCGACTGGAGATCGGCTGAGTCAGCATTACTCTCAACGATTACAGGACGGAGCTCCTCCTGTTTGCGAGGGATGAGCACCGCCAGGCCCACGGGAACACCTGTGCAGCAGGCGTTTACCGCGCGAGCGGGATCGAAGGGACGCTTTGGCGAGGATTGTGTCACAATAGCAAGAAGTCAGATTACACAGCCCGGCCGGTCGGATGACTTCAACGTGTAATTAAAGGCAACCTGCTCCCCTTCTCGGTCTGCTGGGGTTTCACAAGAACAGACACGTCCTGAAGCCTCGTGTCAGAAAGGCAGAAAAAAAGCTCCAAGCGTCTTTGTCTGGCCTCAAGAGTAACTCGTTCTTCACCCGACAGTTTTACCAAGTGTGAATCGTTGTTTCCAGGCGCGAACATAAATTTTTCCTCCAGAGCGAGCAAAGCTTTACGGCAGCATCTCTCTTAACGCCGGAGTCTTGTATCCGTACCTGTCTTTGTGGCGCGTTAATCTCTGTACATTACGGCTTGGCTACCAGCGTGATGGTAAACACTCATTTGTGCCACTGCACAGACAAACACACCTTGAACACTCCACACAATGTGACCCGTGAGGTCACTGGGAAAAGAAAGAGGAAAAACAGCAATCCAGCTGCTAACGTGCCAACCTAAAATGCATACAATGATTCAGCTGTTTTCTTTTTGTTCCCATCATTGGGCAAAAACAGGAAACAGGAGTTTTGTGGGCTTCACAGAGCGAGCAGCATGTGGCAGACAAAGCCAGAGAGAGAGAGAGAGAAAAATAACTTATTTCAGACCGCACCTTTCCTACTGTTTGAATGAGACTATGTCATGAGTTCATGTTATGAGGATCCAAAGAAAATACAGTTTTGAATTCAGAGTCAAGAACAAGAGGCAGAGCCGTCTATTATAAAAACAAATAATAAGCCTTTCTGTCCGGGTGTCCTGTATGAACACCCATGTCACAAAAACAGGGAAGATTCCCTCATAGGTTTCTGGTTTTCATCACTTCAGGTAAATGTGAAAACGTTTCGTTGACCCCAAAGGGAAGTGGAACGGCGTTGCTCGTTTTATCGCGTCGTCACTGTGGATGAGGCAGTGAGTTTGGGCAGAAGACTTGTGAGGGTCGAAGCTTTAGTGAAAAACAAGAAACTCAATGTTTGTGCTGCATCTTGTATAAATAATGTTTATACAGAAATAATGTTTTTTTTAATTAAATTTTTTTTTTGCTGTCTCTGTCTACCAGGGAAAGGAGACAGGAACTCAGTCCTGGACAGCGATGTTGTGCTGACAAAAATGAAGCTCTTAAACAACTTCAATGAAAAGCTCCGGTCAGCAGAAGACGCCGTCTCCTCTCTCTGTGCAGCACCAGTTTCTGAACCCAATGCTCCAGAGGCCTCAGAGGTGAACTCCCATCCTGAAGACGGGTCTCGGATGGATTCTGGCACCGGATACCTACCGGTGCCAGGCATTTTCTCGGACTCCCATCTCTCCAGGCTGTACAAGTTTGAATCCGAGGACTCTGGAGTGGAACTGCCCAGCGGAGCCAACTCTCCGTCTACCCCCACAGGCTCAGAAAAGAGCTTTGCGGTCCACAGCCGAGAGTCCTCCTGTCACTCCTGCAACTTGGACTCTGACTCTACCTCCTCCCCCGATGCGCGAGCTGCAAAGAACCAAAACTCCAAGGAGGCAAACGGCTTAAAGAACAGCACCAATTCAACAGTGGATGCCCAAGACGACGTGTTCACCGACAGAGACGACTTTGACCCTTCAGTTGCAACAGTAAAAATGTACATAAGTGAGGAAGTGGATCAAAGGGACGCTGCAGGATTTTCCTGTGAAGATGTTTGCGACAGATCCGAACGACGTGATGAGAAAATCTCTTCAGATGACACCAATGGCTCGGAGAGCGTAAAGCTCACGGACGAATTCTCACCAGCACAATGTGAGGACGAGACAGACGAGGACGTAAAGGCTGAGTCTCTGAGGACAAGTGGCTCCAGGGACAGTCTGGAGGACTACATGGACACATGCTGTAAGCTCAGTGAGGTAAGAAAACCATTGTTTGATGATCCATCCATCTATCCAGGTCATGGGAACTCTTCATACTCTAAAGTTGACCTGATGCGGGTGAACCGCTGACGTGACGACAGCCCGACTGACTCTTCTTGCTCAGAGTCATCATGTCATGTCTTTCTGTGTGATGCCCACTCTCTGGCTCTCACTGGATGGGTCTGTGGGAGAGCACCTGGCAGCAGTCGAAGCTGCACAGTCACGTTCAGCCGTTTGATGTTCCTGCATGAGGCTGTGAGGACGTCTTTCATTACCAGCAGCTATTACAGAGAGGAATGTGAGCAAACGTTCCGCATGAATCCCCGTTGTTGTTTCGCAAAGAGGGACGGGTTGGAGAAGGATTATTAACAGAAGGCGCAGAACGTCTGAGTCGCGATGGCTCTTGAGACAATGTCGAGTTGGAAGGCCTCTCTTTACATCGATCGAAATGAGACACAAGAACCTAACGGTCCCTCGGACAGAGCCAGTTAGCTGAGTATGATGCAGCACTTTATTGAGTTTGCTGAGGTACTGGAAATTTGACAAAGGGATACTGTTGATGATCGGCCGGCCTTTCCCTCTCTCAACCCTCCTTATTTTCCGAGCCCACAGGTTGGCAGCCGGTCCTGCTGTATGCAGTAGGTGTTGAATGTCTCAAATTACCCACATATCTACAGAGATAATGCTTCTTTTATACCTTCCACGAAGCACCAGAGAGGCCATTTTCTGGTTTATAATTTTTTTCTACGTTAAAAACAAATAATAACTATTCATAAAATAGAAACCAAAGCCCTTTCTGTAACACTTTACTTGACGGGGTGCGCATACATAAGCCTGACACGACACTGTCATGAACACGAAGGAGTCTTCATGAATGTCTATGACTGTTGCTGTGATGTGTCATTTGGTAAATAATGACATTTTTAAAGCAAAGCTGCTCTAAAAGTTGGATTGAAAGTCCATGAAAAGTGCCAACTTTGCATCAAAGTGTATACATTCACCAAATAATGCAAACTTGGCACTTTTAAAGGAGCTTTGCATTAAAAGTGTCATTACTTACCGAATGAACACGCCCTCATTTTCAAAACAGATGTCATGTCAGGTTTATGACAGCGTCATGAGTCTTGTTCCGCACCCCTTCAAATAAAGTGTTACTACACTTTCCTACTGTGTGATCAGTCATATAGAATTTCTTAGAATGGGAATAAACGGATTATAAAATCACTGAACGCTTCGTAATTCTAAATCTGGATGCATGACTGAGTGCATAGTTTTCATTTTTCTCATTGCCAGGCAGCAACATATGGACTCGTTTATCTCAGTCTTGGCATTCATTTTTATTGTGGTTAGTTTGAACTTAGTTTAAAGGCTGTTTTATTTATTTATTTTTCTTTTTATTGACTTATTGACCCCCCAGGCTTAACTAATAAAGAAGACACTTTCCAGCTGGGACCCACAGATGTTCTTTGTACTCCTGAGTGTGTTTTGGAACAGCTGGAGTAGAATGAGGGTCTGGAGATCACACAGTGGGTTAGCAGCTGTGAAATGGGGGCCCGGAGCGAGCGGGCCCCCCGCTCTAACCAGCAGCAATACTGTCAGTGATTCTGCTGGCTTCCCCACAGTGAGCCCAAATCAAGCCCAGATGTGGTTGGTTCAATTAGCTGACACACGAAGCTCCTCTCTCACAGTTATGCCCTCTGAACAGATTGGAAAAGCAAACTGTTTACAGAATAACTCACATTTAAAGTATAAATAATTTAGCAATTAATTTAAGAGTCCTACAGATTTAAAGGAATCTGAATCTGTTGTTTGGAAGTGTTGAGAAAATATTCTGTTTGGCAGCATAAATAATGTTCAACGACTGCTTTGGATTTCTTAAAAATCAGACATCTGTGAACTGATTGCCAGCAGGAACGGAACATCCAGAACATCCAGAACAAAACAATTTGAAATTTTAGCAATATATTGTACTTTTTTTTTTCTTTTTAAAAAAAACCAAGCATCCCAATTGTTTTTGTTGTCACGGCTATGGCAGCTTTCTGAATGCCAAACAATACAACACTGCAAGCAAACTCAAGGATTACTTCCTTCCTGACTTCATAAATTAAATGGAAACAACACCACAGTTATATTTTACAAGGAGACACATTTCCCATATTGTTTTTGATCAGGTGTTTCCAAAGTGTGGTCTGGGGGCCACTTGTGGCCCTGGGAACTATTTTGAGTTGCCCACTGAGAATGCTCCAAATTTGACCCTTCAGGAAGCTTTTATTATTTTTAGCACAAGAATTTAATTCTTTACAAATTTAATTTCTTCTTTAGTGGGAAGTGGAAGACACAAAGTATTTTACTTATATGCAAATATTTTTATTGTAACCTGCAACTTTTTACTTGGAAAAAAAGTCGACATTTATTCTCTTAATAATTTGTACTTTAAGAAAGTTTTTCTTTTGCTTGCTGGGAATAAAATAAGATATTTTTCAGACCATACAAACTGAGAAGCATTACCCATAAAGTTTTGAAAACTGTCCGCCTTTCACTAAGACAAAACACTTGTCACTTTGTTTCATTAAAATATTGCATATTTAATCACAGGTATTTAAAACAAAAAAAAGAAATTGCTTTGTGTTTTAAGTCAGGAAAGCAATATGTATTTTCACCTTTTGGAAAAGAGTTTGGATACCAATCTTTCTGATGATTAAAGCAGATATTTTAAGAAATGCCTTTAGAGAAGAGGAAGGACAAAAAAAAAAAACATCACCCAGATTATTTGGAATAGTTATTAGACAGGAGTTACTGGTGTGAGAATTTAACATCTCTAGTTTCAAAACTTCTGCCTGTAAGTAGAAGCAAATAATCATTCAGACATGTTGAAAACCTGAACCAAGTAGCACTTCCTTTATGACACAAAGTGTGAGAAAATATTGCAAGGATAGAGTATTGCACTGTGATCTCCAGAAGTGTCCTTCTTCATCCGGGTTGCTTCATGTCTCATTTCTGAGCTGCGTCTCTGGGTCTGGTGGTCCCATCAGAGGTTCTGTCAGTGACTACCCCATGACTCAACGCAATTAACTGGAGGCTGGAGGAAGCAGAGCAGGGTGTGTCTGTTTGTTTGCACTGGGATTGCTCACTTTGCACAAAAAAAAGGAAAAAAAAGACGTTCCTCCTTACTCCCATTCCTCGATCCAAGCAGTGGGTCCCTCAGTGATCTCTGAGGAAGTATGACTCGGACCGGTGGGAGACCCAACACTCCTCAAATTATGGACCCACACGCACTCACTTTATCTGCTGGCAGGAAAAACAGTCCTGGTCAGAAGTTACTACACACTCATCATGTTCGTTCTTAGCCATTATTTGTTTAGTGGCGAAAAATGACACAAAATGCAACTTCAGTCTTTTTTCCCCCCACGAAACTAAATTATACACATAAACTTCAATGTATACCTCCATATGTCCTGCTGAGAAAGAACATCTTTTTCTAAATGTCAACAAACTTGTGCTTTTTAATCAAACTATGATTAGAACCATAAACCTTTAATCAAGCGGGTCAAACTCAGTTTCATTTCGGGCCATATCGAAAACCCGAATGTTCTTAAAGGGCCGGTTGTGCCAGAACGTGTTGATAAAACCAATTAAACTGTTAAATTACTATTAAATTGCTGTCCCTCCAGGATTTTGTGATTGTTTTGGTGGCTTTTGTGAACAAAATCGCATATTTCGCTAATTTAGAAATATTTGTAAGGATTTTTTATGATATTTGTGCGAACATAATGATGTCAGATGTGGCTCTTTATTTCTTGCCGTGTCGGTCACGGACGAGCCAGATTTGGCCTTGAGTTTGACACATGTGCTTTCGATGAATCGGGTCATGACTGAAAGAACAAGGTCACATATACAAACAGCCGAAATGCGTTTTCGCCGTAGCGTCTGGACTCTCCCTTAGAGAGAAAGAGAGAAGCTCAGTCATCCAGGAGGGACTCAGAGTAGAGCCGCTGCTCCTTCACGTCCAGAGGAACCAGTTGAGGCTCGGGCACCGAAGCACAAGGCCCAGATTAAGACCCAGAAGAGGCTTGGGATTCCCCTAGGGGAGCTGGAACAAATGGCTGGAGAGCCTCCCTACAGAGGCTCCTACCCCCACGACCCGACCCCGGATAAGCAGGAGCTACTGGAGGGATGTATTCATAGATCTGAATCTCATGTATTATTTCAATCTTGTGTGGATTAGGAAAAATTCACTTGAGAAATGGACTCGCCTGTGAACAGGGAAGAGGTTCTGGGCTGTCGTCAGACGCGAGATCCTGTGTGATAAAATGTTTTTCTCAGAAGGGCTGCTTCTTTTGTGCACTTTCATACACACGCAAACATTTCAGTGTTTTTGAAGGCAGCACAACGTGCGCAGATGTTCTTGTTTCAGAACCTTTTGTGATCCAGGAAGTATTTGTATGTCAAAAGAAAAGAGTGGTGTCACCTCAACACAACTCCAGCTTCAGAGCCATCAGCGTAGGAAGTCTGAGCTCATATCCTGCTTTTGTTGGGTCAAATTTAGGAATGTTGATAATTGGATAAATATTTGCTCATGATTTCCTCTTATCGCCCAGAGTGCCTGTGTTGACCTGGTGCGACCACCACCAAGAGAAGACTTTTTAAAAGTTGAGAGAAAAGGAATTTATTTTTTAATTTCAAGTGAAAGTCACTCCCAGATCAACGATGTTGCTGATAAACTGAATAAATAGGTTATTTAGTGCACAACTTTTATATTTCTGTGAACATTTTGACATCTTGGCATAACTAAGCAAAACTACAGTGAAAACAAATGTCAGACTCACAAAACCAATTAATCAGAAATCATGACTTTTTCTTTAACAATAGTATGTACAAGTTAGATAAACAGTAACTGAAAGAACAACAAGGCTTAAAAGAGCAAAAATCACAAACAGAAAAAGGTTAAAAACAGTAATCATGACCTTGTTCAGCAGTTCCACAGCAAATGCGTAAAAACGTAAGAGGGGAAAAGAAAAATTGACAGACTGAAAAATGTAACCCGCAAAAATATTCAAATATTTGCGCAGCACCAGCAGAGAATACATTTACATTTATTTTGAAGTCCTAGACACACTCAGGACATTAAAAAAACGTATGGAAGAGCTAATGATGGATTTTACATATGGATCTCTAAGGTCCAGTTTCTCACATAGAAACAATTTCACAACTTGTAGGACCAGATTTGTGGTGATATAAACAATTTGTAACTTTCTGCGCTTCGCTTCACTGTAGCTGGTGGGCGCGAAAAATGTTACTTTCCCTTCCGGCCATGAAAAAGAAAGAGCAGATAAGGAAAGACTTAAAATTTCTTTCTTTTATTTCACATTTGGAACGAAAAAAAAGCCATTTTGCCTGACTATAAATCGTTTGATCGACATCAAATGAGTTGCTCTGTGTGGCAGACAACGACCACTGCACATAAATTGTAGATGTGAAGACGGATGGAGCTAAATGGCCCTCTGTGCTGTGAAACTACAAATGCTCTGTCTTCTTCCATGTTTACTTCTCTGTGGTTGGGAGCAGCCGATCCATCTCCAATCCCCTCCCTCCATGTTTTCTTGTGTCTGTGATCTCGTCCGACGTGCACATGTTCTGTTTCCGCAGGCCCAACAACAGAGATCCAGTCGCCTGGGCTCGGGCGTGGGTTACCTGGAGCACATCTGCCAGCTGCTCGAAAAAATTGCTCGTCTGCAGGAGGTGAACCTTCGTCTGCAGAGGCAGGTCTGCAGCCTGCAGGGGGACAGCAGGATGAGAAAAACCAAGGAGGTGTGTGAATGATCTTTGATTCCTCTCAGGCTGGGCTTGAAGTTTCATGCAGAAACTGAAAAATAGTGGTAGTTTTTTTCAGTGATTCTCAATAAAAGATAAACTTCAATAACTTCTAAGTTTTTTATGGTGTTTGGAAAGAAAACTACTGAGCCTACTTCATTTTTTCTAATAGCCTAATATTAATTTTCTCTAACTTTCTACATTAGATCATAGCTGTGTTTTGATTTGGACCAATTTTTTCTTTCCCTCCACATAAAAATGCAAATGTAAATATATTGAGATTTAATCCATTTTTTCCAACACTCCCTATATCCTGTATCACAAGTAAACGAAAGTATGCATGTGGTTTCGATTAGAGGTGCATCGATTGCAGTTTTCGCCTCTCACCGGCGTTTAAAAAGCCTAATCGATTCCGGCTTTGGCTGATGCCATTTTTACTTTTTCTCTGAAGTTTCGTCATCTTGTAATACAGCAAGGAAGTCGGTGAGTTGGGTGACTGTTGTTAACTACAAGCGTGCAGACATGACTTGGTTGGGCCAGCATGTCGGTCAAACCTCTCACGTGAGAGCAGAAGAGGACAGTGGTTGATATTTAGACCTTTGCTGATCTCACTGTGTGTGTGTCCATGTGTGTGTGTGTTGTGTCTACGCAGGAGTGTTTTCAGCGGTACTGCAGCTGTGGTTCTGCCACGTTGGCCTTCCAGAATTGGCAGTCGAAAAGTGACTTTCTGTCTCCGAGTGGTACTTCCTCTGATCTGTCCACCATCCCGGAGGTCAGCTGGCTCCCGCTGCTGTCAGCCAGGAAAGGTAGCATGAGGACACATCCTGGTCAGGAGCTGATGTGACAGACAGTAAAGACAGCCAATTTGCGGAATAAACCTTACTGCAAATAATTGAATCGCGCCGATTCGCGACAAATGTCAAATGTCAGATTCTCCTTATGGAAAGCCATAAGCAGAGCTCTGGGTGGCATCAATGAGGCCATTACTTTAACTCAGCCAACGCCGTGTTTGACTGAAACTGATTCAGAAATAGCTCTGTCTACGTGGATGTGGGGGAGAATATGACTGCAGGTCTCCTTCAGCCTCTACCCTCCACACTGATCCCCTCCTTCTCAACTCACACAAAGCAGCGTCTACCAGACAGCTGCTCCTGCAGTCCACCCTGATCACCTCAGAGCGGTGTCGTCTCAGGGCAAAGGCTCTCAGAGGAAGCACGGCCAGATATCAAATAAAAACAGCTCACAATTCATGACTCCAGCTGCCGCTTTCCTCTCCCGGAGCTTGACGTGTGACAGGCGGAGGAAGGAATGCTCCTCCTCTAAATATTACGGAGGCCTCTTCGTTGTCTTCTTTTAAAATCATTAGTTAACACTTGCTTACCTCGCGCCCCACCCTGTTCAGATCAGACAGAAACGGTGTCAAACGTTTGTGCAGGAGACGTTTTTGTTTGTACTGCTGTCATTTATAGATATTACGAAATGTAACAGATGTTATCACCTTCTTCAACTTAGACAAAACTGATGTCAATCAACTCGACTACGTTTGTCCAGCGGTTATGTTTGTGCTGCCTTGAAGATATTAATGAGCGTTTAAAGGTCAAAAGATCAACACACACACACACACACACACACACACACACACCCCACACACCCACCCACACACACACACAACACACACACACACACACCACCACCCACACACACCACACACACACAAACACACACACACACACACACTATTACATAATCAAAATGACCTTTGAAATTTCATGAATATCTTCATAAATTTACAGTGACAGAGTCAGCCATGTTGTGTCTGATTTGGACAACGTGTTGGGGATGACGAATTTGAAGAGCCGGTAACAGAAGTGTCTTATCTGTGATTAATACTTCAGGCACGAGTAGTGAGGATTTGTCAGCCACCCCAGAAAGGAGGAGAAGCCAAAACCGAAGGAGCTACGCCGAGAGAGAGCCCCATCTCTATGGAGACCGCACAGAAGGGAGGAGTCCTCCGATGGGCCGCGTGAGTGTTATCCATCCATCCATCCATCCATCCATCCATCCATCCATTCATCTAGGACATTTAAAGACAAACAGCTGTCCTACTGTTGTGTTTCTTAACTTCAGCTCAGTGAAAACTACATGTGGGGTCGAGTCAAAGACCTTGTGAGAAAAAGTAAAGGGAAGAACCAGAGTGGTCTGGGACTGACGTCGTCTTCGCTGAAGTTGTCTTGTCCTCAGCTCTACAGGTGAGGAATATTCACTGCACTCTTCATGACCGTTGCAGCCCTCCCGTCCCCACAAGGGATAAGCGGGTAGGACAATGGATGGATGGAAGACATCGAAACACATTTAGCACTTTGCATGATTTTTAAAAATAATGACACTTTAATGCAGAGTTGACAGCCGTAGACATTCTTGATGAAATGAAGAACATCACGTGACATCTGCAACAACTCTTTGAATTCCAGAAACTGGGAATTTCCCTTTGGGATCATCAAGTATTTTCAAACTGAGTTAGAAATAACTATACCATATGCATCAGATAAATTAGCTATTGCTTTGAAATAAATGTGTTTATTGCGCAGAATATGCATTCTGTTCTGAGTGACCTGTGGACTTTGCCGTCCTGCCGTTCAGTTTACCACCAGACACCGACATGCTAACTGTTGTAGCTTCAAACTTTCTAAAAGAAAGTGGCAATGCGGCTAGAACCGTGTATTTTTTCCACAACAAAAGTCCAAATAATTTTGCTTTAGTATTTTTTATTTTTTTTTCATTTTTTATTTGGAATTCAACATTTCTCCGACGTGACTAGCAGCTGCTGAAATCCCCATAAAAATGTGCTTATTTCCTTTTTTTGATAAAAGAAAAACAGTTTAAAAAGCAGAAGGAATGTCTGTCATTTGACCGCAATTAATAGAAGAAGGCATGGGAGGACGAAAGACATTCAGCTACTTGTGGGCTGCGAACAGAGACTTCCTGGCAGGTGGAGATAAAAGAAGCTATGAGCTTCATTTTTCCTTGCGAGGCCAGGAGATTCGGTAAATGTGAACTTTACTGTTCTTGAAAGCTTGTACTGCAGAGAAGTCTCACAGAGGGTAGGAGGGCTGCTGGCGCTCTCTCTCCTGCCTGGAATTCAGTCCAAACTCAGAGAACCAAAGGACGGGGTCAGCGAGTCAGACTTTAGGTATGCATCAGAGGAATATCTCAACCTGATGAGCCATAGCTGCAGTCCAGGATTCATTAGAAAGGGCAGCATCCGCCCGCTAAGTCATGCATGGCATCAGGAGGGATGCCAAATCCAAGAGCAGTACACTACAGTTTCGTTGGGTATTTATACTGCAAATTTATTTTCAGCTTTCAGCCCAGTTAACCCCAAACGTTTTTCTTACAGGCCTGATGAAGAGCAAGCGAAATGCCTGACCAGAAACAGGAACTCCATGATTGCCTTGGGCTACCAGAACAAACAAGAAGACATCTCTTGGCTTTAGTAAGCATCCGGGTAGGTACACGTTTATTTTTGTCTTTCCCATTTGTCTGAAGAAAACAGCAATGAGCCATAGTCACTGGCTCTGTTTGGAATAGCCATCCACAATTACAAGTGGTGTTCCCCTAGGATTGGGTCTTGTGCCCCTTCATATTTTAGTCACCTATACCTTATTCAAAGGAGCACAATATTCATTTTAACATGGCACACAGTCACACCTGTCAGCCAACCTTCATTCTGTGATTGGAGGTGGTAGGATCATGGTGAAGGCCTCTTTTTCATTCCTGTGGTATTGCTTAATCTAGATGATTAAAATCAGGGAAATATAACTTGGACATAGCTGACTTACCAAGCACACATCAGAACTTTTGAAACAGATAAGCATGACAATATTAGGTTCTGAGAATAGCCTCAACCTCAGCCCGATTGAATATGTATTTACATATTTACCACTTAGGTGACAGAATGGTTGAAATAAATCAATGTGGAAAGATCTCCAGTCATGAACCCATTGTTCAAACAAGACATCGCTACAGATGATCTTGTGCAACCTGTATCACACACATACACACCCACACACCCACACACGCAGGCACGCACGCACGCACACACACACACACAACAATCACATTACATTTCAGTTTGACATACATATCTGTTGTTATTTTTCTTCTTTGTGTTCTGCTGACATCAGATCCAAATGGGCTCACGCTGAGAAGAAGACATCAGGGGGTTCTACTAAGAAACTCTGACAGCTTAAAGGAAAGAGAAGAAAAGCAAAGAAAAGAGAAGAGGAGTGTGAAAACAGAAGATAGGAGAATGTTGAAAGAGATGACTCTGGGACAATGACATCAGAGTGTGTGTTATACTCTGTCCAGAGAAAAGTCGGACGGTACCACCGCATTGTGACATAATATATTTTCTGCAGAATGTAGAGTTTTTACATTCTATTATTGAATCTAAGCTTAAATATCTTTATAATCTTTACATTTGGTATATGGTAGATACATTACAGACAAATGGCAGCTGTTTTTGTATACAGTGCGTGCATGCGAAGCGTTATTAAAGGATGTGGGGAAAGGATTTTCTGTTGCGACGTTCCGACGTTCTCAAACAGGTCGGGAAGAGTCCAGAAACGTCTCAGATAACAACCAGCTGCTATTTTTTCCCCCTTATGTAATATTTTCAGAATGTCGACAAATACATCTTTAAAGGTTATTCCATGATGCGCCTGTTTCAGTATTCTTTTCATAACCTGGATTCGGTGAAGAAGAGCCACACCTGGTTTTGTTTCAGGTTCATGTGCCATGCATTGGTCAAATGATGCTAAGATTTTAAGAACATGAATGATGATGTTTTATTAGTCTTGTTATAATAATAATAACAAGAACTCTTTCATAACTCTAGTTATGAAAGCATGATGCCGCACCCCTCCAACTCATCTGAAAATAAAACTAAGAAGCGTGCTGCACATTTAAATCACTTCTCACGGCTTCCGTTCAGCAATGACTTGTCCACTGGTTTCCCCACCTGAGCTGTGGATCTCTGCAGCTCCTCCATTGTTACCATGGCTACTCTGTCTACATTTGCAAGTATGTCTGTACAGGACAGACAACCATGCACTTGGTTGTCTGTACAACCAAGTGCATTACTCTGATATGCCATTTTATGTGGCATATCAGAGTAAAGGGGGTTATATACTGATGCATGCCACACGTTTCAAATTATTTAAAAGAAAACACATTGAATATCTTTTGTCACCTTTATTCTTTATATTTATCATTTAAACCCCACCAAAAACAAATACAGCTCTGGGGTGAAAAAAAGAGAAAAAAATTAAGAGACCACTTAAAATGATCGGTTTCTCTGATTTTACTTTTTACATGTGTGTGGTTGAGTAAAGTGACCATTATTCTTTTATTCTATGAACTCCTGACAACATGTCTGAAATTCAAGCAAAAATTTGCATGAAACACTATGGCGTAAAAGATGACATAACAAGGGTGATGACGTCAGACAATTTCAGGGATGAAGGAGAAAAACTTTCAGTGACATTACAGAATGAAGGATGAAAGGAAGCAATGATGAGAATGTGGAGAGTAAATGGTTTGTTTCCTTAATCTTCAGAATGAAACTGAAACGCTTTTCAAGATGACAATAAATAAATAAATAAATAAAAACAAAAAATAAAACACAGTACCCTCTGGTGGTCAAAGTAGGGAATCGCATTTTAAATGCCTCCGTAAAGTCGGTCGGCTGACGTACAACAAGTGTGTTTGGGATGCAAGGTATTTGAAGATTGCAAATAGAAAAGTGTGCTGTGCTTAAAGCCACCGGACATTGTTCACACAATTTTGGAAATGTGGCATTGTCCGATATCTTACCCACAGCGTCCGATCTGATTCAAATAAGAACTAATCCCTCGTATTATTAATTCTCCCCTATGCTTTGAAAAGAGCAGCAATCAAATCACTGCTGGAAACAAACAATCAGGACAAATCAACAATGCAAAGTTGCAGGTCGATCTCTCGCCTTCCATTCATCAGGCTTGATGAATGGACGGCATTCATCTAGCCTGAAGGCATTGTTTGACCAGCCTGCAAGTGGTTGGTCATTGTTTGGAAAATGAAGCTTGTCAAAGTGTTCAATGGTGCTTGTATAAATATGGATGCCGGAAGAACCACAGTGGTGGCTCTGTTGGACCTCAGTGACGCATTCAAGCCTGTTGACCATGACATATTATAGAAGCAACTGAAGGACTGAGTTGGAATGTCTGCTACGGTAGACATAGCAGACAAGAAAAGGGACTTTTTTATAGGAATAGGTGACTTTCATAAGGGGTGACAAAAATCACATGCAAGGTCCCTCTTGGTTCCGTCCTCGGGCTCCTGGTATATAACATCTACTTGCTTCTGCTCAGTCAGATTATAATAGGTAAAAAAAAAAGGTAATAAGTTAATTTACCATTCCTATGTGGATGATACACAGCTCTACATTACAATGTCACAAGGTGACGACCCATTCAAGCACTGATTGGATGTGATTAGTTGAACTGATCACTGCTTACTGTCCTCACAGGTCCACCTGATATAAAACGGCGCTGGATCAGATATTCACACCAAAACTAGGTTCTAAAGTCCTTACGTCGGAGAAAATACTGTAAAAATTATGTTGTTAGTTTATAAGTCACTGAATGTAATCGCCAAAAATACATTTGAGACCTGTTGTTGTTGTGGTATCAGCATTCCAGACCACTCAGGTCTTCTGGCTTTATCTCAGTATCTTCCCCAGTCAGAACAAAACATGGAGAAGCTGCATTCAGATTTTATGATCCACTAATCTGGAATGAACTTCCAGTAAATTGCAAAACTGTTAAAATATTATATATATATATATTAATCTGGGTTAAAACCCCATTTGTGTAGATTTGCCTTTGTTTAATGGTTAATTTTAGTCTCTTTTCAACTTTTCCTCTCATTTATTTTCCCACCATAAGGTAATGTGTCTGTTTAATTTTTCATCACGTAATGCACTTTAAGCTGCTGTGCTGCTGCATTGCCCTATACAAATAAACTTGGATCGTGTAACGTATTTTTACATGAGTCTTTTGCTATTTTGGACACTCAAGTGTTGCTGTTGGCCGTAATAATTTATATTTTCCTCAGGTTTGCCAGCTGGTATTCAGTGAAAACAAACAAACAAACAAAAAAACAACAACAAAAAAAACAAAACAAAACAAAAAAAAACAGAGAATGACAACCAAAACCACAACATCACACTTTGACTTGTAAGAAGTAAAGTATAATTTTTTTGTTTTACTTTAGTACTCCAAAATAAAAGGTTTCATTTATGTATTTATTATTATTATTATTATTATTCTAATAAACAGACACAACTTCTGAAAATAGTGGCACCAGGGTTATAATCTGTGCTCAGAGGTTCAGTCTGTCTCAAATACTTTCTTTGGTGCTCTGTGGTTCCACAGTCAGCGTGTTTTCACTACTGTGAGGTGGGGCGGAAGAAAAAAGGGGGGGAAAGGAAGAAAAAAAACTCTGAAAACTAAACAATATAACCAACAATATTTCTCATGACAGAAAACACGTGATTTGAAAGCTAATCCACAGTGTTGTTGTTTTGTTGTGTAGTCTGTAAAAGAACGAGCAATATGCCTCCATCAATGGGTTGAACATAAGCGGAAGTAGATCACCTGCCTTCACAAAACAAAAGCATGGAGCTCGTCACTGACGGCAGAATTAGAATTTCTGCTGTCTATCATACCGCCTGCTCTTCTCTTCTGGCCTGTAAGTAAAGCACTGCTGCTATTATCCACATTCGAAGTGGCATTATAAAAAAAAAGTAATAATAATAATAATAATAAAACGTTAGTTGTTTAATCTTTCTGGTTGTTGACATGATCAGTTGTCATGTAAATCCTGACAGAACAAAACTCCCAAAACTGACAGATGAATATTTTGTTTTCATCAAACAAAAATAACAAATAAACCATTAACTTTTTAGATGCTAAACTATTTCTGGTTATAACACATACACACAAGAACTGTCCAAAACAAAAAAAGTAAGTGCAAACACTATTCCAACACATTTCCTGCCACTGGAGGCCTAAGTATATTAAGCGGCTGCCATGTGATTGGCTGAGTATGTTACAGGTGTACCTAAAAATTACCAGTATTTAGTCTTGATTAGTATTCCAGTTATGCTCCCAATTTCCCTGCTAGCAAATCCGACCCAGGAGGGCGTTCCGGTTGATTTTCCGACTGGGAAGTCGGGATTTCCCAGTTCTGACTAGAACTGGAACGCAGCACTCTGACCCCAAAATGTCAGTAGTTTATTTTGGGAAATAGCGGAAGTTCTGTGCGTAGCACCGGAAATTTACATGGAGACAACAAGAATCCGTGAAGTTGAGTCGACAACCCTTTGGGAATATGGAGGGAGACTGTTTGGAGGTTTCACTTGACTGAACCAGAGTTTGAACGAGCTACTTTCACGAATGCGAGACAATTAATTCATGGACATGCGGGGGTGCTTCTCCTCCTCGGTGAGGTGGAGGTTCCTTCGGTTGGCCAGCAGCGCTCTCCTCGGTTGGTAAGTTAGACTACCGTAGTTCTTCCGTCCTTGTTGACTAAACTGCTGCGGTTTGGGTTCTGCTGTCTCGTGCACTGCCTGTTCTCCGGGGCCCAGTCCCACGATACGCGGCTGACTGACTGTCCTCTTCCACCACCTGCTGCTCCGCGAGTTGACGTAAAGATGAAGAAAAGCGCATCAGTCGCGGTCGAGGGTCTTTCACAGCTCACGCTGACTCAACTCATGAATCAGCCGCGCTCAGTGCCACTTATTACAACACAAACCAGGAATAACTGTTGGGACACGAAGCAGCTGCTCCTCTGTCCCAGCGAGGTGTCTGCATTTTTCAGAGTGCGTCGCTATTATTATGAAACTACTCATTTGCAAGGAACACCATGCCGCAGAACCTCATGCTGGCGATACAGAAACGTATTTTGGGCTCATTTTCAAGTGTTTAATTTTCTCAACTCCTGAGCTAACAACAAACTCTCTGGATTATGTTAACAGGTCACCTGTTCCAGGGTTTTCCTCAGTGTACAAGCCTGGCGGGCCACCAGGCTGTACTTGTGCCCCCACCAGCATTGCTTATCAGTTTTGTTTTGTTTTTCTTCGATTGCCTTTTTTCAAGACTTTATGGTTGGTGATTACGTATTAATCTTCCAAAAGAAGCATAACTATCAAATTTAATGTCAACTTTAAACATTTTTTATCTCAAAAACACGGCGGGTGGCTGGATGATTGTCGTAGCGCCCTGAGCACCGAGCTTAGCGAGTTTTCTGGGGGAATCCCTGTATCCTATAATAATACAATAATAATAATAATAATGCATGTCATAAAAATGAACTGTTCAGAACACTCCAGGTTGCTGTACAGTTAAAAGCCATTATACAACAATTGAAACAATTGGAATATAAATATGTAATAATTAAAGCAAAGAGGAAATGAGCTGAAAAGAATGAGTTACTCTCAAAATAGATTTCAGATTATATTTAAACAGTGAGAGAGAAGTGATGTTTCATAGATCAGGGGGTGGAGAAAGGAATTTGAGGATCAGTAGGTAGTTCAGTTTACTAACCAGGTGGATTATGGAAATGGGTGTGCAGAGTTTGCCATGCTAATAATTCACAAGCGCGCCTGATAGTTTACTTTGTTTGTGTCTCTCAGGTTAAATCAAGTCAGTCACATTTATTGTCAAATTCTCCATGTTCCAGGAAGGCAGCCTTGCTGCCATTGCCTTCCTATGCAATTCCACTCGATTCTCATCTCCCAGTGCTTTGTCTGGGATTTCTCCCATTTTATCTGTAGACTGGTCATACAGACACATGCACATCATGTCCCTAACAGACAGTCTGTCAATGACTTGTTTATTTAAGAAACGGGAGTAGGATAAATCTACTTCCCTTGTACTGCTTTTTCAATCTTCTCGGCAATCTGCTAATGTGCTCAGTGCTGGTACTGGTACCACAGGAGACTAATGCTGTGTTCTGCCTCAGCCGTGACTCACGGGTCAGGAATTCAAACGGTGTATTTCCTGAAAGGCCCTCTTAGCCTCTGGATCATCTCCAGGATCACTCTGACCACTTGTGCACCACTTGTTGATTGACTAACAGTTCATTGATAAGAGCCCATTATCTTCAAAACCTGAGGATTTTCAGGTCTACCATCTTTCCATTAAATACAACGTGATTTAATTTTAACATTATTTTGTGACGGTTGTTTTAAATATCAACTGATTGAACTGAAAATTGTGGTTTTCTTACATTATTAAACTGGCTTGTCAACTAAAAGTAATTTTGATAGCTCTAACTTAGCATTATTAGCTGCTCTTCCGTCCATTTTTTTTTCAATCTGGTGGATGTGTCAACCCAACCACAAGTTGTTCCACACATCAAGACAACCCAAAAACAATTTCCTCTCTTTTCGAAATAAGAGACTTATTCATAAATTCAACAGAGCCATGAGCTACATGACTGGAGCTTTAAATAATTGTTTTTAATTATTTCTCTAGACAAATGTTTCTTCTGATACCTGTCTTGCCCTTTCTGATACAGACTATTCTGTTAAGAAATGTTGTAATATACAGGCAGAGGACGAGGCATAAACCTTTCGAAACATACAAAAAGTATCAAACAGGTTATTTTACTTCTATACAAAAATATAAAATGTTCTATATTTGCTGTTTTCATAAAAAAATTACAATTCTTAACTAGTGGAATTTTTTTTTTCTCCTTGGAGACTAGTACATCAGTTGAGAAGCTTAAGTTACTTTCTTAAAAATGAAATTGCAAAATGAAATGTAGTAAAGATAGCAGAATTTGGAAGAAAACCAAATGTGCTGATTGTGAAAGTTTCTTGGAGCTTTGTTGGGGTAAACCATTTTCCCTGTAATTTCCTGAATCAACAGGCAAGTCTAAACCTGCTGCTTTTTCGTCTAGGCAGTGGGATGGAACTTCAAAACGATCCTAAACCATATTACCCACTGAGACGCACTCATCCCGAGCTGTAGACAAGACGAGAAGTTGATCCGACATTCTGGTTGTGTGGAACCATCTGAAGACGCAGAACAGTCATCCCAAGCAAACGGAGAACCAAAAGTCCTGTGTGATGATGCGAGAAACCTGCGCATTAAAACGGGAAATTACTTATTACTGCATAAAGGTGCTTCTACAAGCTTTGAAATCACAGCCTCGGCCCTTTTCTCTCCCCTTTTCTTTCCCTCCCTATTCTGTTCTGGGGGAATTCATGACCGCTGTATCTGTGAAGTTACCATTCACATCAGTTCTGATAGAACAGAACTGAAGAGCTTCAAAATCTGACATTTGTGTTGAATCCAAGTCTATTTCAAGATGCTTCTTAATATAGATCAGGTATGTAATCACAGGAACTGGGTTGACAGTAATACTGCTTTATATTTAGTTACTTGCGTGAAAAAGACAGTATTTCCTTGGACTGGAAGTACTTGAGGGAATCTGTTGGGCAGCCAAGATTTCCCCAGAAAACTTGTTAAGCTTTGCTTTTGTATTAAAAAATGTTTTGTTGACAGGAAATGTTAAGTATTACTGGGTAATTAAATGATACTGGAAGACATTGCTGACAGTTCTTAAACACACAATTATAATCTTGAAAGCAACAAACAAAAAAATAACACTAATACTAAAGAAATAAGTTTTTACACTTCTGTTAAACCCAAGTAAGTAATCAACCAGTGGATCTAAAACACCATGTAATGCTGGTCAGATTTAAAACCTTCCCATGGCATAAATAAAGTAAGCAGCTGCTTCAGGCCCCCGCAGACCACCAGACCCCACCCAAAAGATGCTAAGGCAGACCATAGATCTAGAACTTTACCATTAGTTTATCGAGACTGACAATGTGGTCAAATTTGATTTAACGGTTTCAGCAGGGCCTGCCACCTTGTTTTGCTCTAACCTGCTACGGGGAGTGATGTGACTCTTCTCATGTCTTACAGTGAGGACTCTTCAATGACGAGTCCCTTCCTGACAGTCAGTGGTTCTTCAACTTCTCCAAATAAAGCAAGAGTTGAGGGTTAACCAATGGTAAGAGTCTCACCACTCACCATTGATAAAACAGACTCTGTCAGGTGAATTCACATGTTCATAAAGTTTTCATTAAATGAGAGAAGTCAGTCACAAAGCTTTATATTATCTCTTTTTCTGTTCAGTAAAGTTAGTTTTCCTTGCAAATTAAAAACAAGAACGTTGAAATTAAAAATGTCAACGTTCTTGTTTTTTTTTTCTTTTTGTCTTCATATTTAATGTCTTGTCTCTTCCACAGACGGCTCAGCGACAAAGAGACAACATGTCGATCAGTCCATCCTGTGAGCAGGAGAGGAAGGGCAGTTTCTTCAAGGTGTGTGAACCCTGAGTAATCAGGAACATCTTTCTGTTGTTGAGAGCTGTTCTCTTTCATGAGGAGAATCTAGGATTGTTTTAAAAGCTTGGGATGTGAATGCAGATCTCTTGCTCCTAGTATGGAGCAGCAAAGGTACCAGATAGAAGAGAGAGGCAGATTAACCTGCCCACTCCTGCTGCTATTTTAGTTAAATTTGAGTTTTTTCTGATTTCACAACCCAGGCTTTTTTCATGAAGACAAATAGCTGTAAGCCTCATATTTATGTTACAGGAAGAAATTAGTCTGTGGTCATATCTGACCAGTTTGCAAACTTAAGAAATTTTGACTGATAAAAGGAAGTTTCACATCATGTGTTAGATATGATTAAAGTTCTTCTAAAGCGGGGGTGTCAAACTCCAGACCTCTGGGACCACTGTTCAGCATTTTTTGGATGAACAGTGGTCTAACACACTGAACTCAAATGGCTGAATTGCCTCCTCATTTTGGAGACAAGTTCTCCAAAGTCCTGCTAATGACATTAAACACACCTTCCAGGGTTCTGGTCCGACGTGGCGGCAAACTAACTTCCCACTAACGCCTTCCGTTCTTATTCTCATTACTGACAACATGGAAAATAAAATGAGATATTTCAGCTTGCCAATCATTATTTCCTCTTTCTCTGAACTTGTAAACTCATGATAGGAGTTCCTCTCTGCCATGATCGCTGCCCTCCTACCTATGGGAGGGGGGTTTTGTGGATCTTGAGGGTTGTGTGCGAAATTGAATTCCCCAAGTCAACTGTTTGACTTCAGCCTGACCATATATGCTGGAGGAGGAAGAGAGTAACAGAGGTTAATCTGCTGTGAGAGAGCATACATAGAATAAAGCCCAGTTTGGTTTTGGAGATGAGCCAGGCTCACATTCTTTCTTTCTTCTGATTGATGGATTGTTTTTTTTCCCTCCCCAAGTAAAACTGGTTCTGCTGGAGTCCTAGCTGCACTCTGCTTTCACAAAAGTGGCTTGTCTTTACACACACTTGTTATTATTATTTTCTGTCTCTTTATAACTTCATGGCTGTTTTTTTATTTTAATTTTTTTAACAAAATCATATAAATCAAATAAAGTTGCTCTTTCTGTTGTGACGGAGGCCAATTGTTGAACTGTATTGCATGTTCCGTGGACCTGAGGTTCCACTGAGAATACAGCAAACTGGCTGATTCCCTCAGGTAACGTGATCATAAGGATTTGGAATCGATGATTTGCTCTGGAACGACTGAGCTCCAAGCTTCCTCTTTCTGCTGAAGCTGTTGGTCAACAGAAAATCTGACCAGTCAGCTAAAGGGGAAATGAAACAAATGTCAATCTACAAAGATCAGATCAAGATCCACTGAACCACGCACAGCAAGTACCCACAGTCAGTGGAAACATGAAATCAAAAGACTTGGATAATTGTCCAGCGTGAAGCTTTTTGATGAGGGCAGCTTGATACACAGGTCAGTTCTGCTGGTTTTCTGCTGTGTTTCCACACCTGTAGTTATGCGTGTTTCAGAAGAACATTGGTGGAGCGGTCTGCTCAGTGAGTCAGAGCCACATTTAGTGAATTGAGGAGTTTTCAGAAAGATTTCCTCTGAGCTTGGGGGAGAACAGGGTTATGAACACTCTGTACTCCCCCAACATGATTTAGGGTTGGTTTTACAGAGTCAAATAGCAAATTATTTTTAGCATAAATCCCAAAAAATTGGGTAAGCACAAAAAAAATCCACATTTATGAAACTATGTGTATGCATTGATCCAACAGTCCCTTCATACAGTTAGGGCCAGAAATATTTGGACAGTGACACAGGTTTTGTTATTTTAGCTGTTGACAAAAATATGTTCAGAAATACAATTTATATATAGTATGGGCTGAAAGTGCACACTCCCAGCTGCAATATGAGAGTTTCCACATCCAAATCGGAGAAAGGGTTTAGGAATCATAGCTCTGTAATGCAGAGCCTCCTCTTTTTCAAGGGACCAAAAGTAATTGGACAATGGACTCCAAAGGCTGCAAGTAACTCAAAAGGCCTTTCCCTCGTTGACCTGTAATCAAGTAAGTAGTTAAAAGGTCTGGGGTTGTTTTCAGGTGTGTGGTTTTGCATTTGGAAGCTGTTGTTGTGACCAGACAACATGCGGTCAAAGGAGCTCTCAATTGAGGTGAAGCAGAACATCCTGAGGCTGAAAAAAAAGAAAAAATCCATCAGAGAGATAGCAGACATGCTTGGAGTAGCAAAATCAACAGTCTGGTACATTCTGAGGAAAAAGGAATTGACTGGTGAGCTTGGGAACTCAAAAAGGCCTGGGCGTCCACGGAAGACAACGGTGGTGGATGATCGTCGCATACTTTCTTTGGTGAAGAAGGACCCGTTCACAACATCAACTGAGGTCCAGAACACTCTCAGGAAAGTAGATGTATCTGTCTCTAAGTCAACAGTAAAGAGAAGACTCCATGAAAGCAAATATAAAGGGTTCACATGTAGAAGCAAACCATTCATCAATTCCAAAAATAGACAGGCCAGAGTTAAATTTGCCCAAAAACACCTCAAGAAGCCAGCCCAGTTCTGGAAAAGTATTCTATGGACAGATGAGACAAAGATCAACCTGTACCAGAATGATGGGAAGAAAAAAGTTTGGAGAAGAAAGGGAACGGCACATGATCCAAGGCACACCAGATCCTCTGTAAAACATGGTGGAGGCAACGTGATGGCATGGGCATGCATGGCTTTCAATGGCACTGGGTCACTTGTGTTTATTGATGACATAACAGCAGACAAGAGTAGCCGGATGAATTCTGAAGTGTACCGGGATATACTGTCAGCCCAGATTCAGCCAAATGCTGCAAAGTTGATCAGACGGCGCTTCACAGTACAGATGGACAATGACCCCAAGCATACAGCCAAAGCTACCCAGGAGTTCATGAGAGCAAAAAGGTGGAATATTCTGCAATGGCCAAGTCAATCACCAGATCTTAACCCAATTGAGCATGCATTTCACTTGCTCAAATCCAGACTTCAGACGGAAAGACCTACTAACAAGCAAGACCTGAAGGCTGCGGCTGTAAAGGCCTGGGAAAGCATTAAGAAGGAGGAAACCCAGCGTTTGGTGATGTCCATGGGTTCCAGACTTAAGGCAGTGATTGCCTCCAAAGGATTCGCAACAAAATACTGACAAAAAACTTTTTTGTTTGGGTTATGTTTATATGTCCAATTACTTTTGAGCTCCTAAAATGTGGAGTGTTTGTAAACAAATGTGTACAATTCCTACATTTTCTATCAGATATTTTTGTTCAACCCTTTAAATTAAACGTTACAATCTGCACTTGAATTCTGTTGTAGCGGTTTCATTTCAAATCCAATGCGGTGGCATGCAGAGCCCAAATCACAAAAATTGTGTTACTGTCCAAATATTTCTGGCCCTAACTGTATATGGCTGTCTGTGGAATTCAACATAAACAAATGAATACCAGACTCCTCCCTTGACATGTGTCTCTGAGTAATGAAAACAGATTAAAGAAATCCCTGCAAGTGTGATTCAGTATCATGTCTTGATGGAGGAAGAAACAATCGAAACGTATGTCGAAGGTTATCCTAAATAAGGACCCAAAACGAGGACAGAGCCATCATCATCATTTCATGTGCAGAACCTTGAACACGCCTTCCACTTTTTCACAATTCGATCATTCGATCATGGAAATTCACACTCAAGTTGGAGGATTTTAAAGGGGTTCTTGCTCACCTGCGCTCTCATTTCCAAATTTCCTCCATGAAGGCTCATTTTAGGAGAATACGGCACCAAGGCATGCATCAACTATACGTGCTATAACGCTTGCTTTTCTTGTGTGCACTCAACGCCGACTTTCTGTGCACAACAATAACTCACCCTTAAATTTTTATGGCCATCTTTTGGACAGCAGAGGCCAGATTTCTCTGTAGACTCTGGCGTAAGCTGTTGTTGAAGGTAACTTCAAGAACCATTGTCTGTGGTTCATTGAACTAAGGCGATGAATTATTATATTGAAATTCAAACTCAGAGGGATCATTTATTTGAATAAAGATGTATGTAAAAGCATTTTAATTTCTTTAGGGTCATTTATTGAGTAACCTTTTGTACTGTAATTGTGTTCTTGCTTCAAGTAATTCGTTTAGTTTTCATGCTCCATTCTTCTTAGGATGTAACCAAACCAACCCATGCTCTGGTCAGAGGCACACTCAGTCACTAACCATTCAGAGCATCACACTTCCTATCAGCAGCTGTAGAATGACAGCAATTACTAGTAAGGACAGGATGTCCTATTTCAATCTCCAGTGTCTTGATAGGCTTTTTTTTTTAATTGTAGACTGCCCTCCACTTCAGTCTTGTCTGACTGTCAGTCTTATGGTGATAAAGTGTCATAGAAAAGTTGTAATTGTATGAAACTATATCTTTCAAACATCCTCAGTCATGTTTGTGTCCTCATAGCTGATTGACTCGATTGTCTGGGAGATCGGCACGCTGAAGAAGGAGATGGGGAGAAAGACAGAGACTGCGGAAGACAACCGGGAAACTGATGCACATGTGGGGTAAGCTCCTACTGTCTCTATGACATACTGTTATGAATGCTGACTTCTTTCTATCCTAGGTCTTGTTTGACTTGTGCAGTCCCAGTTGCCACCAGCAGAGAGTGCTCATGGCAAGTCTTCAACAAGAGCTTGAACTGGAGTTGTCACTGTGGTCATTTATTCCCCTTTCGTCTCAAAGATTTCAGAAAGTACCTGAGAAACGTAGAGGAAGTGGCAGAGTCTTTGGCTTTGTTTGGAACGCCGCTGTTCGTTCCTGTTACTATCTTACTGTGTGGAGTCACAAAGAGGGAATGTGTGTGTCTGTGTGTGTGTGATCAACGGGTCTATATTCATTGCTAAAGAGTTTGACACCAATGTTCTTGTTCACATTGTTTATCAGTAATTACACAGACCTCGCTTAATCTTAACTTATTTAACTTTTACTATAGTGATGAGACACAATCAAACATAATTGAATTAATTAATTAAGTTTGTCAGTCAAGTTGGCAAGATGTCAATTTACTTCAAGTCAAGGCAATGTGTCATATTCTTTTTTTGAGTTGGGAAACTTTACTCATAAAGTAAAATTTATGGGTGAACTTCACTTTATGAAAATTAAAGTTTTACTTCACTTTTCATGAAGTAATCTCTATTCGACACTACCAAGGCAACTGGGAAAGTTTTACAGTTAAATTATACCGTACTTTAGAGTGACTTTACCTTCAGAAAATGTTACGTTGAACTTTTATTTCAGTTATTGCGCAGGAACCTGGCATGTTTCTTTGTTTTCATAATAGACTAATTGTGATTTTCAGGCTGAGCGAAGAAGTGGGACGTCTATTTCTTCAAGCCTCACCTTGTCCTGGGATGGGAGCCGGACCAACCAAGGCAAGAGATTCAGGCTATGACTCTCTCCACCGTCGGCTCAGTGTTCTGGAGAGACTGATGCACACACATTCTGTGTGGCTGCAGCTGGGCCTCAGCCGCCAGGATGCAGCTGGAATACTGCAGAGCCAGCCCGCTGGGGTGAGAGGATAGCAACTAGGGTAGCTTCTTCTGTAACCATGCACCTGTCTGGCAGACAAACACAAAGCACCTTAAACCACGTTTTACTTAGGGCAGTTACCTAATAAACCAACCTTTTTTGTGCGAGGTAAATTGTACCTCTGTTGGAAAGTATTGGTTGAATGAAGTGCTTGTAGAGCAGTGATGATGTTCTCTAAGCATTATCAAGTGATCTGTACCAGATCAAGCTTTTAGAAGGTGGATAATCAGCCAGAAAACCGCAAACTGAACTTCTGATGGCCAGACTTTATTAAAATATGCTGTTCACTGTGAGCCTTCTCTCCTCCGCTTTCTCTCTGCAGTCATTCCTGGTAAGGAGGTCCACCAGCCTGCAGAAGAAAGTAATTTCTCTACGTATGGACAAGGACTCTGCAGAACCCATCAAAGACTTTCCAGTCAAAGAGAGCCTGTACAGTAAGTTACTACCACGTCTATTCTTAGCGCGGTCTCAGAGGTTGCGCAGCAGCTTTACAAAGAGCCTGTTGAGAATATTCAGTCAGTGATGCAACAGAGAGCTACAGAAGCAGGCAATGACATATGTGGACACCGGAGTCATTGTTAGAATAAGGTGGTGTTCTTCTCGTTCCTCTGTTTTGCTGTTCACCAAACATTAACACACCAATCTTCTTTCTCTCCTCCTCCCTCTTCCTTTTCTTTCGCTCTGACTCGCCACACCTTCCTTCATGTCTATTCACAGTGGAATTTCCCCCCTTGTCTCTGTAATTGCGGGCTGTTTCTAACCAGAATGAAAATTCCAAATGCTTACTGGTGAATTGAGAGGACAGTCGGTCAGGACCAGTGGCCAGAGTTCAGCACTGGAGCTCTTTAACTCGCATGTTGACAAAGACCAAACCTTCAACCCAGAGAAGAGCTCCATCCTTTTCTGCACCTCCTTAAGTGCCAGCAGCATTAAGAAGATAGAATTTTACATAAATCCAACTGGAGTGAATACATTTTTTGGGGGGGTTACACAAACAACAAGAGAAGCCATCTTCTGAAATGCCACCACTATAAACACAAGTTCAGCACATGGAGACAGGAGAGCTAACCTCCACAATCTTCCCGACTTCTGCTGCTGGGGACAGAGCGAATCCCTGACAAGAAAAATAAATGGTGCTCCTGGATTGACTACTTTATATGTGCCAACTAACAGCAGGTCAAGTAGCATTGTTCCCAAGTAGTTTCCCAAGCTGCATTTTCTTTTGAATATTTGAGATATTCTCTACGTTAAATTAATAATCCACAAATAGGCACATCACTTGTAAATTATTCTGAGTTTTGCTCCCCAGGAAAAGCTGAAAATACTAAACCACAAGTAGGTTGGGGTCTGCAAGGAGGATTTGCCTTAATGTTGTTTCAATAGACTAAAGCAAAGTCATGAAATGAAGATTGTGTTTGTTTTCAGGTGCTTAGTATTTTTCTAATTTTTCAGTGTAAGAAGCTGTGTCAGCTACAAGCAGCTGTCCAAACATTTTCTTTTAACACAATGAAAAGTGAAAAGCTGGCAGAGCTTGGCAACCGGTGGGGGAGGGGAGACGCAAATATAAACACTGGACCCGGACTGCTGTCTATAGAAATCCTAAATCCATGTCACTAAGTGACTTTAGTGAAAGTCAGTACATGAGTGACTTTCTCATTTAGTGAAAGTCACTAAATGACAAAAGATTGACTGTCTGACCTCTAACAGCCTCAACTCCATCAGAAGGCAAATTTCTAAGGCGGCCTCTAATTTTAGACGCAACACCTCCATGATCTCCTGCTGCTGCTTCATCAGCTTCTGAGAAATGTGTCACAGTGGTAGTTTTTCTGTTGCAGAAGCAGAAATTTGTCAGTGAAGGCCAAAGTTGGAGTTGATGTGGAGATGTGCTTTTTTTTTCTTGCTGTCTGGAGTCATCCTGCAATTTAAGCATACGCAACGGTAGCGATTCTGACAATAGCAGACAGAATAATAACAATAATAGACAATAGTATTCTAACAATAGTACAGTAGCGATACAACATCGTATTACAGCCAGGCTAAAATAAAATTTAGTTACAAGTACAAACTTATATTATGAGAATATAATGGTAGTAATATAAGAAAAAATCAATGTTATGAGGATAAAGTTGTAGAAGTATGAGAATAGTCATAATATGAGAAAAAAGTCATATTACCAGAATTAAGTCTTAATACAGACAAAAACCTGTACAAACAATAAAGATGGGAAAAAAAATCAAAACAGCTTTTTTTTTTAAATGAGTTTCATCTGGTAATATTTTTTATTTTACTAATATTGCTTCAGTTTGTTGAAGTTTGTGTGGGTTTTTTCTCCCGCAGCATTCTCTCTGGAGGGATCAGAGCTGAGCTTTGCAGACCTTTTTCGCCTCTTGGCTTTCTGCTGCATCAGCAGGTGAGTTCCCACTGAGTCACCTCTCACTCAGCTCCACTGTTGAAACTCATTCAGCTGGAGATGGCACTCCATTGTTCGGTTCCATCTTGTCCTGCAACTGTCCAGTTAAACATGCTGAATGATGGGGGATGTTAAAGATACAATGGAAAAGGTTAAAGGTCCCAAATCTTTATGTGATTGAAACCAGAAGATTCTTCTTTTGACTTTATTTGCGTGTCAAACAAGAATCCACTGTGTTTCAGGTCTGGCCTTGAAATGCATGAATAGGTGTGCCTCCAATCAACTCAATGAGTCAGTTTACCTATTGGGAGTTTCCAAAACTGTGACATCATCATCCTGACTTTTCCTCATTCTTTAACAAGATGATAATTATTCTGTATGTAAACTTTTGAGTTTGACAACATGGATGAATACATTTCTCTCATTTTTGTGCCATTTAGTTGAAATAACTTTGCTAATGCTAACTGACCAGAGGAGGCTGGTCTGATTTAGCTTGAAACGATGAGATAAAAAGATGGATCTTTTTATTGAGTGTGTGTAAATTTTTGGTTTCAGCTGTACACATCGAACATGAGCAGTTGAGCTTTAGAAGAAAGTAGAATATATCTTCTCCTCCAATAAAGCAGCAAAGATGCTCCTTTGATGTATGTTTAGGTGAAATTGTTAACAGCACAAAGCAGGTTCAGCAGAGTTGGGCTTTTGTCTGCCCAGCTGAACCCGATGAAACCTAAAACCTACTTCCAGCCAACAAATGAGACAACGCAGCTGTGTCTCCTCCAGGTCTGAGTGAGAACAGAGGACAGAAAGAACGGTCGTATCACTCATCTCTTTCTAACAGGCCTCGCAGGAAAACCTGTAGATTGGCCCAACACCAGCGTCCACATCCATCCATCTGTCTACCTGTCTGTCTTGGTTGGTTGTCCTGTCTTCACGGTCTCACCTTCTGCTGGTCTTTTGGCTGCTCTTGTCTCAGGGATGTGCTGCCCTTCACGCTGAAGCTTCCAGAGGCCATCTCTTCTGCCAGAAGCTTTGCAGATCTTGAGAAGGCTGCTAAACTGGGAGCAGGTTTGTTCTTATTTTTGGTTGCACTGTGTCAAAATCTGCAGAAAGACATGCCTTGTCCTTCATTTTCATCTGTGCGATATTTAAACCGCTAAGGAGAAGATCAGCCGCACGGCTCACTGGTGTCACATGAGCTTCTGACCAAGTACCTGGTCGTCATCCTGCAGGAAAGGAGGAGGGGCTCTGCTCACTTGGAGTCATTAAAAAAAAACACTGACACTGGCCGGGCTGTATAAGTGGCTAATTTTAACTTCATTCTGAGTTCTGTGGGAAGAAAACAATAATTTATAGTGTTTAGGTGAGCAGTGTTTGTCCTCCACACCACTTCCCCTTTCCACAGCCACACAGTGTCATCTGGTTCTGCTGCAGTGACTCAGGCCTGAGTTTTTACAGGCATTTGGAGCAAAGAGTGAGTCCCTTCAGAAACAACGAGGTTCAGGGCTTCCCCCGGAAAACCTGCTCAGCCCGGTGGTGGTGGCACTACAGCAGTCCACCACCATGTTTTTTCTGTTGTTTTTTTTTAGTTAAATTTAGTTTTTCAGGAATGCTGTCTTACTGGAAGACATTGTTGACAATACTTAAACACAGAATTATAGTTAAAAAAACCCCAAAACAAACATATAGTTGTTATGCATTCCATTTTGTGCACTTTAGTTAAATCCTAATTAAGTAATTTAAGATCAAGCCGATGGTCTTTAAACAAGCTAATTCTAGTCAGCAGCAGCTTAGGGCCCCGTCAGACTATCAGGACCCTCCCATAAATGCTTAAGCATGTATGTAGACCATAGAGCTGGAATTTTAACGTTTGATTTGCAATTGGATTGTGTTTGCTCTCTCCAATAAATTCCTCCTCAAGTTGCAGGTAAATCAAAACTCGGCTGCAAACACCTTTCAGTAATCACATCACTCCCTCTCTGGGGCAACTTCACTGGCTCCCAGTTAAATCTCGTATCATCGCCCAATTATTTCTACTCGCTTTGAAAGTCTTTAGCAGTTTTTCCGACCCCTCCATATCTGTTGAATCTTCTAGGAATCAGATCAGATCAAACTCCGTCCTCCTCTGTTCTGTATGTCCGTCTCTCCTCTATGGGGAGCAAAGCTTTAGCCACCCGGCTCATCAACTTGGGAATTTATTGCCCCCGATCTACAAAATAACTTTCTATAGTGTTTCCATAGGTCAGAGTGATGTCAGCGCACCTACGGCAGCCATTTTGTTTGAGATGCATGTTTAAAACTGGTCTGAAAGTTTTAGATGAGCCTATTTTTCTTAGCTTCACTGACACGCCTTTTTGCTTTTTGTTGTAGAGCAACCTTGAGTGTCCTAATAGATGCTTTTAAATAAATGTATTATTATTATTCTAAATTTACTACCACTGTTTTTATAACACAGTGGTGGCCGGACGGGCAACAGGCAACAAGAACTTTGGATCTGCTTTGACTGCACAGATTAGAGCACTTCTCAAGCTTCAGCCACTGACCTGACTGGACTTGCTGAAATAGTTTTTTGGCAGGATGTCGAGATAAAAGACCTTTTGCATGTATAACAGTACACCATGGTTCATTTCTCATCTGAGAAAGTTGTGTCGAAAGAGGTGAAGAGATGAGAGGACAGATTCTTGATGTGCACAAACTTGGTGAACAAACCATATCGAGACACTATGTATTTCTATGGTGAAGAATGTTGTGGTTAGCATGATGTGGTTGGGTGTTGCATGTTCTCTAATTGGAAAAAAGACGAGATGTTTTTGTTTCCAACCAGCCAAACAATGGGTCAGTCGAGCTGAAAATTGATCAACTCCGGTCAGCTGCTGAGTTCTGCTGCATCTCTGATTATAAGTTTTTCTAACCTTCATCATTCCTGAGAATTCCTCCTGTCCTTGGACCTGCCAGAGTACTCAGTGAGGAGCATTTTGTCCAGAAAACTTTCTAGAGTGCAGAGGGGTAGTAGTATCTCGAGCCCCAGATCGGTTATTTGCCCTCAAGATTCTTTTATTTCCCGATTCTTCTATCATCGCTGTTGCGCCTCTTTCCTAACACCTTATTCTGCGGCGTGCATGTGCATAAACTAGTTAGGGTTTGTTTCACTGTGTGCATTTAGCATAACTGTCAAGAGGGATGAAGTCAGAGAGGGTGGAGGAAATCTGCTCGTTTGCCAAAGCACAGGGACACTGCTTTACTGAGAGGGGGAGGAAGGGAGGCGGAGACTGTGGGCTGAAGTTCCACCCATTCTCTCATTACACCAAGTGAATCATTGTACCGGCTGAGGCAGAAACCAGAGCAGTTTCAGCCTTTGGAGACACAACAGTGTCCTCTTACCACAGGGAATATTACATCAGCAGCTCGCTTGGGTCCTTCAGCTCAGGAAGTCACTGTAAGTATTGTCTGCTGGAGCAGCTCTGTATCTGGCACGTCTGTTCCTCATGAGCTCGTCTTTCCTCTGCTGCCACTCAGGCTGGAGACGCTTGGCGTGGCATGACTCAGACAGTGAAGGCTATCATAAAGCTTTGTGTTGCCTGCTATTTTTTTCTCCCTCTTGTTTCCTTCGATAAGTGACCTTACCAGGCTTTTTCTTTTTCCCTTTACTGACAGCTTTCTGTCAGGCATGTCCGGCAGTTTGCTTTTCGACTATTGGTAGAGCTATTATTTAGTTTGACTGAAGATTTGAAAGATTACCCAACATAGAAAATGTAAATGAAAATGGTATTTTTATTTATCCGTTTTGTGATCACCAAGTCTAAAGTTGCCTTCTATAAAGCTCAAAGTATTTCTAAATGTTCCACATTTTCTTCAAAGCTATGATTTGTTTTAGTTTATAGAAGCTGTTTCTGTATGTGTGAAGCACACGCTGGTGCCACAACAAAGTTGGTCGCTCTGAAATGACAGATTTTGTGGTTTGGAGGGGTTGGACAAACTCAAAAGATTTGATGTTTTAAATTGTTGCTTTTCCAACTCCAGTGGTAGTGCTGCACTTTCTATGTCAGCCTGAGATTTTGTTTTAAGTGTTAAATATATTTTTTTATTCTCCTCCCCCACTAATGACAAATAACTGTACCACCATTACAACTCTAAGTGAAAAATCAATGTGTCTCTTGTTGTGACACTTGGTTACTTTTAAGTTTCGGCATGCCAGCTACGACTTTAATTTACCCCATCAATGTAGTGCCATTCACACAAGTATGTATTTGAAACCACAGCAATATTAAATCCAGTACATGTTGCGTCATCGATTTCCAGGTCACTTGTATTTTTTAGGTCGTGTGTGTTTGCATTAAGCAGGGAACAGTAACCTGTAGCTGCGCAGGCAAAGTGGCTCTTTGGACTTTCTGCATCGGCTCTGAAGAACTTCAGCAAAAATAAGCAAAAGAACCAAACAATGTCTTTAATTACAGCCATGATAAGATGCAGGTTTTAGCAGTGACTCATTGAATGATTGCAGTGCATTCCTAGAACAGAATGACACTGAAAGTCAGTAATAGTTTTTAGAATCTATTTTTCGCCAGTAATTTGAAAACTGAGCATTTTCTACTAATGTAAACATCACACTAAAGAGAATCTGTCATTCCTCTTTAATTTAGAATCTAAAAATGGAAATAAAATTGCAGTTTTTTGAAAATGAAAACTTATTTTCTACAGTAGACATTTATGAAAAGTTATATTAGAATGAAATTTTTTTAGAACAACAGTACAAGTTGGTGATTCAGTGCTGGAGTGACTTGTTTTGACAAAGTAACGGAATTAAGTAACACTGTTTAGTGTCTACAAGTGGACATAACAGATGAAGTACATTTTCAAAGACTGTCTTAAGTGTCCAGATGTTGGGCACCAACTAACAGAGAGTATCTCAAACACAAAGTGACACATCTTTTCCTTTTGTTGTGCAGGTTTCTGGGACAGTAAGTTGTGCAGGAGAGCAGTATCCGTATCTCTGCCAAAGACGGCGGGTCCTGATAGACCACCTCCACCTGCTCTGAGACCGCTCTCCTGTCCAACTACCCCGACATGTCCTGAGCTTCGAATTCGCAGCCCCACTCAGCTGGACTGTTGCCTGCCTAACGGCGCACTGTGCTTCATCAACCCCCTTTTTATAAAGGCGTATCAGCCAGATGGTGGCAACCAGGTCAGCTCTGCCAGGACTACAAACCAGTTACTGAGAGATGAGTCCAACAACAATATAAGTCTCACCAATAGGAGCAAGAGAGGCTTGTGTTTGGAAAGACCTCAGACGTACAGCTCAGACCTCGGTGACGAGAGCCAGCGACCTCAAGAGACCTTAAGGAGTATAACCACAAGTCCATGCAGTAAAGGACAAACTGGTAGCAGCCAGGCGTTGGGTGTCTTTCCATCCCCTCCTCCTCGACCCCCACGCCCCCGTCTTCCCAAACACCTGCCTGCGCCTCTTCTAAAACAGCAAAGCATGCCAGAAAAAGTCGCCTGGATTAACATTCCGAAGGAGGAAGAGAAGGAGAAGAGCAGCAACCTGTTTTCACGCCTCGGCTCCTCGTTGAGCATCAGTCCATCGTCCTCACCTCCGAAGAGACTCAGCATCAGCTCCCCAATATCCATTCCCCGGCGAACCCTGCCCCTCCCTCTGACGGCTTTCTCCTCCTCTCCACGTCGATCCAAAGCGTCTCCTTCATCCAGTCATGAGGATGCTCAGTGCCATCTGGCGTTGGAGGAACAGACAATTGAGAAGGCCATCCTAAGGACCAAACTGTCAAAGCAAAAGTCAGTTCAGTCTACAGGCCAGGGCGCCTGCAGTGCTTCAGAGCCTTCGGTGATGACAGGAACCAAGCTTTCAGAAGTCACACCTGGTGAAGCGTCTCAGGAGGACTGTACCGATGGGGGCCAACGACTGAGTGACATGAGCCTGTCCACAGATTCCTCAGATTCCCTAGATTACTCCCAGTCCTCTGCCTTCTTCATTCCTCCACTGCATGATCCCAGCCCCCCCACTGTCGCCGACTTCAACACCCATCTCCCCCTCTCCATCCCACCATCCCACTTACGTTACAGCAGCATAAATACAGACGACGACGTTGATGACGACGACGACGAAGAAGAAGAACCTGACTACGGCGTTAGCCTCGAGAGTGAGCAAGACCAAGATCTTACTATGCTCCCACCCGGGGTCAACACAAAGCGGCGCCCCAGCGCCAGCGCCTTGGTCCTACAGAAAGCCCTGCAGGGAAAATTTCGGAAGATGAGCGGCGTTTTCAACTCGCTGCTCACGCCAGAGAAGCGGGCGATCCGTAAAGTCCTGGAGATGTCCAAGGATAAAAACTCATACTTTGGCTCCCTGGTGCAGGACTATCTGAGCTACATGGGGGAGGGTGCTGGCGCCCAGGCCTGGCAGGGCTACACCTCAGGACTTGAGCTGCTTCAGACCATCCGCCAGTTCATCACTCAGATGAAGAGCTATCTGCGACAAACCTCCGAGATGGAGCCTCCGATTGAGAGCCTCATTCCTGAAGATCAGATTGGTGAGTTTGGGTTGAAATCCTTCCTCCTTCTTTAAAACTATTTCTGTCTTGTCTAACTAGTTATCCAGCAGTCACGTAAAACATTAATAACTCCACCTCATGCACAGCGCATTCAGTTATAGATTGGAACTTTGGTTCACCTCTGCAAGATTCCTGCTGACAACACTGCTCACATTTCCGCTCCGTAAGCCTTGTGACCTCATTGTCATCTCCTCTTGGAAGGCTGTGCAAGTCATTTCTGTGAGCCTTTTTAAATAATTGGGTAATTATTATTGGGAAGGGTGAATGATGACAATATCAATGGAGAAATCACAGTATTGTGGAAACCGTGAATGCGGATACAGCAGTTTCACATCTCTGTTCTGTAAAAAGCATAAACATATTTTTTTTCTAAACTGCTTGATGAGTGACTTGGTGGTTAATGGTGTGTTTTTGTTGAAAACATTCAGCTCTTTGTGTGTGTGATAAGGTTAAAAAATGTCTGAGCTTAGTGATTTATAAACAAAGCATTATTTTCCTTTTAATAGCAGCTGGCCGTGTAGGTACAGTCACACACTTTGCTCTCACACACGCACACACACACATGAATATACACTTGCACATACACTTGCACACGCATGCCTACACACACACACCTCATTTACACCTGCATACACACCCTTGCCAGAAGAGCAGTTGCAGAACTTTGACCCAGAACCTGTTACTGTAACAGACTGGAACAGAACAACATGCAGACGGAGAGAATCGACGGTTCTCTCTCAGGGTGAACAGAGCAGGTTAGCTTGTTCAAACACATCAACAATGTTATGTAGTCAGCAAAGTCATAAACAAATGAAAATGAGTATTTTTACTAGAATAATAGGTAAACAAACGCCGTGCTACTGACATTTGGACCTTTTAGATTCACGTACACCTTTACTGTAGCACTGTAGTCTCTGAAAACAATAGAATGCTTCCTGTTTAAAGTCTAAGCAAAGACATACAGTCTTTAAACAAAGGTTCAAGTCAAAGCAGATTCTGAAAAAAAAAAAAAAAAAGCTAGATCCATTTTCTGCATGCTCCTGTACCTGCTGTTAAAAATGAATGGTCCAGTGAGTGCAGGCTAAACCCAAAAAAACAGACCATCTGTCTGAATAAAGCTGAAAACTACTTGATTTTGATCGTCAGGAAAACGTTTGACCGCTGAAGTCCATACATCCACCTGCCCAAGTGGATGTAAAGTAGAAACCAGAAAAGCAAAAATCCTGGAGTCAACAACTTCTCAGGACAGATTAATTTCAGACGTGAACTAAACTTTCTGGATTATATTCCTGTGGTGATTCATACGACTGGGATCGGATTTAAAATGTGGAATCATTAAACTCCAAAACAAAACTCTGGTTCTTTTTAGCGACGTTCATGAAGCTCCTGTCGGACCTTTCCGTTCCGTGTATGAAGAAAGGGTTAAACTGAGATGTGCAGCTTGTCCGTTTTCTGAATGCTCTTGTTTTTTCTGCAGCACTGTTTAGTTTCAGGGCAAAATTGCCCAGTATTTTCCTGCGGCGCCCTCAGAGAGCCGCTTCTGTTTGGCTCAAAGGCCGGCTGCCCCAGATGCATCTGGATGGCCCGCCTCCAAGTCGTGCAGACGAGTATGTCAGACTGCGGCTCCTTTTATAGTAGCTGTCCAATCAGAGGCGGAAGATTAGAGGCAGGCCCCTACACAGGGGTCGCTCTGTTTCTGCCGTCATTGTCTCTTCTGATAAAAATATGAAATGAAAGAGGGATGTGATCCTTAGAAGGATGAAGAAGAATAAACCTCGATTTACTCATGTAGCAACATACAGAGATCACTTATTCAAAGAAACATCCTGTTTCCGTGGTACGGACCAAGAAGCCAGGAAGTAAACAATCTCTTATCATTTAGAAAATTGGTCTTCATCTGCAATCCTCAAGGGTCAGAGTCCTGCACTTAAAACCGGATGTGTAAGGGACTCAGAACCACAGAAACTTCGGCCTTAAAACCGTGCCGTAGTGTCTCCTTTCTCAGAAATAAGCAGAAGTCACCCTCGGCCTGTCACAATCAATAAATCAGTTAATCGCATGAATAAATAAAACAAACTCAATCATTTCTAATTTCATGATTTACCGTTTTTCTCTTTCTACCAAAAACTGGATGATAAAAGTCTTCAGTCTGGACTTTTTGAACCTTTTTTTAGAAGCATAAATCTGCTTCGTGAGACTTAGTGATTCATTTTGTTGTTTTCTGAAGTTTTTTTTAAATTTTAGATATTTAAAATGTAATCCAGTTCCAGTGCTAAATGTTCATTGCAATTTAAAGCTTATTTATCTTTGAGAACATGTTCCTGCATTATTATTCCATTATTACCATTATATTACTGGCAAACTGTCTAAAAAATATATATATATTATTGGTTAACGCGATAACATCCGAGACGATTAATGGTCCAGAAACATTGGTTATTGTGACAGGCCTAATCAGAGGAAAGGAAGACGATGCGCTGAAGAACCACCGTATCTGTACCTGCTTCTTTCAGTCCTTCCAGCTTGTTCCTTTAAATTTTTACCAGAATTAAAGACTGATTGGCTGTTACAGCCTTGATCACTGCTTGCGAACCCATCAATGATGCAAATAATAATACAAAATAATTAAATCGGTGTCAGTAAAAAATCTATCTATAAATTATGGCAACTGTGATTCTTAAGTCGTTTTGCAAAGTTCCCAGAAACAACAACAGCAGGCTAACTCAAACAATGCATTTGGCCCCAATCGTTTGGGAATCTCTTTTGATGCCTCATGTGTTGTGAGTTTCAAAACCGGATCTGTCGGGCCATTGGGCAGATAAGCTAACAGGAAGGTACATTTTTCCAGTAAACCAAACCTGTAAAGGTCACACCCTGAAATACTCCTATTAGCTGGTGAGGTCAGGTATGAGCGCCAATAAAACCAGCGTCACTCTTTATCAGTCCCAGCAGGCAGTAAAAGCGTCCCGCTCACCCAGAGCTCCCAGCCAGAGTGGAGGAGTGAAACGAGGAAGTGAAAACATCCCGCTGGCACGGGTGTGTTTTCTGCAGGCTTGTCGGCCATCGCTCTGCGCTCGGAGAGTTTCCGAAGCGAACGCTGACACAGGCTCTGTGGATGGCAGATGCTGGATGTGGTCCAGCTGAAAGTGGAAAGTAAAGTCAAGCTGAGAGGTTACAGATGTGTTGAGCCAGAATAACTGCTGAGCTCACGGTTTTCTAGAGGAGAGTCAGCATCTCGCTCTCAGACTGCGCTCACACATGGTCCTTGTTCAGCAGGCCCGTTGAGCTTCGGCCTCCAGTTCTCCACCTCCTCCGTCTTGTGTTGGCCGATTGTGACCGTGTCTCTGCAGCCACCGCGTGTCCACTGTCGGAGTTGTCAGCAATCTTACCTGCAGCACACAAACGAGTCGAAAACAAGACTTGTGAAAAACAAGGAAGGAATTTTCACGAGGGAGTCGAGCTAAGAGGTCTGTTTGAGAGCAAGAGTGCTTCATGTTCTGGTAATTTACGGAGAGCACAGAGTGTGTCTCAAGTCGAGCTTCCAGAAATGTCTGACGAATCAACATTGAAATAACACGGGTAAGGGTGTAAGCAGTTCTTTCCCATAAACTTTTCCTAAACCTTGTGCCCAGTTTTTTGGGCTGGAATGTTGTTTTTCTCTAAAATGTCTTCCGATGCACCCAAGACTAAATAAATAGATATATACATATTTATTTTTAGTTTGTTCCTTTAAATTTTGAAAGTAACAAGCTTTAAGGGTAAAACATATCAAGTTGTATTTTCCTCCAAATACAAAGTTGTTTGGAAAACATGCATCAGTAGTATTAGTCTTTAGAGGTTACTTGATGTCACAGTATATTTTTTTTTCACCAGCAGGAGTCCTCTAGTAGAAGGAGAGACTAGATTGGTCGGCATGTTTTCTATCTGCCTGCCATTTTGGATTTCACAAATATTTTCTAGCACTCGCAGTGGATGGACAGGAGCTGATGGTGCATTGCGTGATGCACTAGTGTCCACTTCAGTGGTTTGTGTGCATTTATAACATAAAAAGCCTCAAGAAGCTCAAGAAAAAGGCTTTTAGAAAGCTGCCCACTGTAGTGACTGCTGCACACGAAAGGGTTGTAAAACGAGAACCTGTGAAGCGATTTTAAAGTGATTAGTTCTCTCTGATGGAGTAAAGACCCCGCTGTGTCTCCCCTCCTCAGACAGAGTCCTGGAAAAGGCCATGCTGAAGTGCGTTCTGAAGCCCCTGAAGCTGCCTATCAGCGCAGCGCTAAAGGAGTTCCAGGTGCGCAGCGGCAGCTGGCAGGAGCTGAAGGAGAACCTGTCGTTGGCCAAGGCCCGGCGACCTCAGGAGATGGGCGTGGCCGACGCTCTGCCTCCCGACCCCGTGGCCATAGAAAAGATCAGGCAGAAGTTCCAGACCATGTGTAAGCTGTACTCTCCAGAGAAGAAAGTCTGCATGCTGCTAAGAGTCTGCAAGCTAATTTACACCATCATGGAAGACAATTCAGGTAGAGATCTGTGAGGAAAACAGTTTTCCACATCTAACACACCCGGTATGATGAAGCACGTCAATCCCTTTTGTTTCAGGTCGTTTGTATGGAGCCGATGACTTCCTCCCCATGCTGACCTATGTGCTGGCCCAGTGTGACATGCCAGAGCTGGACAATGAGATCCTGTACATGATGGAGCTGCTGGACCCTTCGCTGCTGCATGGAGAAGGTGCCGGTCCAACACTTTCCCTGCTTTAAACGCATCATTTTGTTTCTCCTCAGATGGCTGTTACCGTCGTTTCTGTGTGTCCAGGTGGTTACTATCTGACCAGTGCCTACGGAGCCATGTCCCTGGTTAAGAACTTCCAGGAGGATCAGGCAGCCAGGGTGCTGAGCTCCGAAACCAAAGACACGCTACATCAGTGGCACCGGCGGCGCACCACCCAGCGTTCTGCGCCGTCCGTCGATGACTTCCAGGTGAGCATTCACTAACAAACTAACTTACCGGACAGACCTCTTCTGTGCTTCCTCAGAGAGGCGATCTTTTACCTTCACCTGATGATGACGAGTGGTGTCCCGTTTGTCTCTCAGAACTACCTGCGTGTGGCGCTGCAGGAGCTGGACAGCGGATGCACGGCTAAGACTCTGCCAGTGCGACCGTACACCACGGTGGAGGAACTGTGCCAGCTGTGCGCCCAGAAGTTTAAGGTGTCGGACCCCAAGAACTACGGCCTGTTCCTGCAGATGGAGGGCAGCATCCAGCAGCTGGCAGCAGACACCCACCCTCAGAAGATCAAAGCCGAGCTTCACAGCCGCCCACAGCCGGTTCCCTTCCACTTTGTCTACCGCCGTTTGGCCAAAAACGGCACGTTGTCAGCATCTCTCCCCAGCACCCCTGCTGACCTCAGTTGTCTCGCCTTGGCCCCTGATCCCCAGGCCAACCTAAACCTCCAGAGCACGGACCCTCAGGCCTTCGGGAGCGGCTCCATCTCTGTATGATCACGGAGGAACTCCCTCAGACCGTCGTCCCCTACAAACATGCTTCCCTGAGCATGCGCCGGCCGGATGTCGAAACAGTCCAAGTGGGGAAAACAGCGTCTCGTGCCAGTCTTCACAGAGCCGAACTTCTCCTTTCAGGCGACACATCTGTCTCAACCAACATCCCCTCGCTGTCAGACGGACCCGGCCGACAGAGGAAAAACATGCAGTTATTTTTACTTCCTCCGGATTTGGTATCTGAGCAGCTGAAGGACAGAAAGCAATCTGTCCTCATTTACACTTCCAGTCATTCGGTGTATGTGTACATAAACATAAACAATTTACTTTTGACAGTTGCTGGTCACCTGTTACTTTATTGCTTTTAATGGGTAAACTTTTAGATTGTCTATGAAAACAGATTTAGTGACACCTAGAGGTCATTAGTATATATAACAAATTTCCTGTGATCCTTCAGGAAATCTTCTCGTGCCTCCCAATCAGACGATCCGCTTTGATCAAACGTAAATTAGTCTGATGCTTCCGATCATCCTAACATGCATTGTTGAGGTCAACATTGTTGACCTTTGGAGTACGACGTCCATTCTCTCTTTCCAATAGAATAGCGTTAATATAGTAAAATCTTTGTGTTTAAGTTTAAAATTAAGAAGCAGGTATTCGCTGTTTAATCCTTGTGTCATATTTTCTATTCACACCGACATGTGACAGAGGAACTGCTGTGATTTGTTAGCTTGTGTGGCCTTTTTAGCTGGTCTGAAGTGCCACACTTTGCGATGCGCTGCACGGTGAGAGTGCAGGTTGTCTAGAGGAGAGCGAAAATGATTGACATCTTGCGAGTTCCACGCAGGGGAAACGAGCAAGGAGCTGTCCGCACAGACGGAGAGGAAGTGCGACGTGGCTGGAAGAAAAGTGAGAGCCGTAGCAGGAAGTTGGGCAGCGTTGTGTCAGTAAGGGGGAACAGGCGTTCTCCTGGCATGTTGTTGTTAGGAGCTGTTGTATTTATGTCTGTGCTGGGATCTTTCACAGATAGCCTCCTATCCTCAATATTTTTGATGTTAAATTGTCACGAGACACTTTTCCTGCCTGTCATGTATGAGAAACATTTTCTTCTGCACTTAATAAACATTGAATCTGGAAGCAAGTCTGACTACAGTTTGTACAAAGGTCCGTTAGCGTGGCCGGCCCCTCGGCATATGAGGTAAGCTGCTGCTTGGCAACCCCCACGCCACCAGGGGGCCCCCAAGAGCAATGAGCTAGCATGATAGAAAATAATATATTTAAAATAATATTAAATAAAACAAACTAAATGCTATTACTATATATATATATATATGTGTGTATCTGCCTCTGTTGGGGAAATATAAAATATTGAATTTAGTATTTATCAGTTGATGTTACCTTCAAAATAGTTCAAATAACTTAAAAATCACTCTGCATTTTAAAATCCAAATATGTATGTTTCTTGTTACTCCTGTAAAGTTGAAATAGCCATAATAGTACTTGTATGATGTATGCTAAGTACAGATGACGCCAATGATGGCAGGTATGTCCCACAGAGTAGTTTAGGAATTATAAATCTGGTGTTGATGTATTGGTGCTTAGGGCCCCCCAAAAATAGGCTCGGTCCGGCCCTGATCGTCAGTCTTTATGAAAACCTGTCAATTTCACCTTAGTTTATTTTACATAAAGGCGACTCACAATGAATGTTGTCTCAAGTAATTCAAAAAGTAATTCTTTAGTCAGCTCATGCAGACAGATTTACAGCCCAGTCCATCCATTCCAATTCAACTTATTTCCATATTCAGGTTCCTCTGATGTCCAGTCCCAAAACTCACTCCTGCACTTGTTCCTGCATTGTGTCCTTCAAAAACCAAATAAAACATGTGTTCAGTGTGTAATAATGTGAAGGGGTCTTAAATTATCTGAGTTTTTTTTAACCAGGTTTGGGTATAAGTGTTACAGTGCCCTGCTTCATTGTGATTGAAAATTGCTTACTGCTTCTGATTACACAAAAGTAATAGTTGCTTTTGTGTTTCCTGAGTCACAAAAGCAGGCGCTGCTTCTTTCCCTCTCCTCCACCCATTTAGCCCTGGAGCTTCTGTAAGCCCATTCAGCTTTCTGCAGATAAATATGGAAACGTGCAACAGTTAGCATGGATTTAAATCAGCGTCCTGCATCAACGAGGAGTTGACAGAATGTCGCCTGTGTTCTTCATATCGAAGCATTTCGGGTTCCGGTTAGGTCGGGATGGATCAAGTCTCCATACAGACACAGTACAGGGGCAAACCATGAAAATAAAGCATCTTAAAAGTCAATGATTGGAAGGTGAACTGTAGTTAACAAAAAGGTACACAAGAGGGCGCCAAGAAAGAGTGTCTGAAACTGACATTTGGACTTTTTAACGCAGCTCATTAAATCAGAAAATCCTCAAAGGTCTTTTAAATCAGCGTTGAACTACCGATACAAAATAATTCACCCCAACATTCAGTGAGAAAATTAAATATTAAATCAGTGAAATAAGAAAAGTGTTTTAATCCAGAAATGTGGACTTACTGAAGAGCGTGTCCATGTGCTGCATGTCGTCTGCTCTCAGGCTCTGTGCTTCTTTTTCAGCAAATTACTGCATCAGTACCGCATGTGGTTTTCACTGCAGCCTCCCAGGATGGTGATGATGTGTTGGTTTGAACACGGCCTGCTCAGAGCAGAAGAGACCAGAAAAAAAAGATTAAATGATGGAGGTATTGGTAATGCTGCCACGTAAGATTGTTATTGCAAAGTGTCCAGATTGTATCGCTGGCCAGAATCGAGTTAGTGTAATAAGGGAAATGTAGCATAAGAAAAACGCTATTTTTGCATCGTATTTGTACATACAGATACATAACTGTATATCCTTTGTATAGCAAAACATGTTAAATGCCGTTGGTTGGTCTGACAAACTCTTGCAACAAGCAGAATGTACTCTTTAATCAAAGACAACTTTATTGATGCAAAATGGTTTCTGAAATTATATTTGAAACATTTAAACACAAAGTACTCAGTTTTGTTAAATCCATGTATGTGGTAAGAGGTACTAGCTCTGACATGCGAAGGACCATGTCGTCAGCAAACGCTCACAGTCGCTCATCACAACCTGGGGCGAAAGAAAGAGCAAGCAAAACCATCGGGAATTCAACCTGCATCCAGTGCTCTCTCTGAAACCGTTTGACTCTCATTTCAAAGAACATTAAGATTTTCCATAGATAATTTGACATTGCGAAATATCTCCATGCATGTAATCTAAAAAAAACAAACAAAAACAAAACAAAAAAACCCCAAAAAACTTAAAAACAAACGGCGCTTCAAGCACATGAAAACAAGGGGAGAGTACAGGAGATACCTAGAATCTATGAAAATATATTCCCACACATATAGTCAGACAAAAATATATGCATATATATAAATACATTTACACATATATTTACACATATATACATAATCAGTGTTTCACCAATGTGAATATCACAAACTATATAAAAATCTTCTTATAAAGGTACCTGGTATCACGATGGGAGTCCTTGGTGATTTGGTCGATTTCAGACACACTAAAGTGCAGAGCAGTGACGCTTCCGCACTATGGCTGCGTTCACCTTAAGTGACCCTGAAGTGACCCAATTCAGACTTTTTGAAGAGGGCGCCGTGATGTCACACAGAGGCGTGCTTCATGTTTTGCCAGCCGCCATAGAGAATAAGAAGAAGAAGAAGAAGAAGAAGTGCAGCACAGCTTATTCATTTGAAGTTGTTCTCCGACAGGAGAGAGAATATTAACAACTTAATCCTCGTTATGGTCCGTCATGGTTGCTGCTGCGTGTCAGGACGCAGAATAGTGACAAGTATCGGTATCGGGTCACATTTGAATCGGATACGTATCGGATATCAGGGTCACATTCGAATAGAATCTGATCTGTGTTGTTCGGACCTTCATAAAACGATCATATTCAGGATGCATTAGGTCAAAACAAACAAACAACAGAACTAAATCGGAGTCGGGTCACTTTAGGCTGCAGCGTGAACGCAGAAGTCCACTGCTCTGGACTTTTCTACGCCTTCATCAGGAGTAGGTGTACGCAGTGACTAGCAAACACAACAAACTCTACACACCCAGAACAGAGGATTGGTAAAGTGCATGCTGCAGCTGATCTTAGATACATATGATAAAGAAAGACAAGCTAATCACTATAATGCAGTTGCTGTTGGAGATGTCTCCCAACACTGAGAGAATACCGTGCAGTGCAGAGACTATGAGCAGTGTTCACTGTCAAAGCACTGTACGTTTTCAGAATTTAAATATATCAGATAAAATAAAAATAAAAAACAATAAAAAAAGAGTAATTTCATTCCACATATAAGCGTTTTGTGGCAGCTTCACACAGGATGGTGGAACGGACCATAACCGCAATGTGGCGTATCAGCGTTTTGGGTGGGTTGCAGAGGAGATATGGAAGAATATGCAAAGTATCAGTGGTGCGCCAACGCTACACGCAGCAGTGAGGCCTGGTCCTGAGTGCCCTGGAAGAACCCCATGAGTGTGGAGGGCATCCCGATGCAACAAGAGTTTGGCAATACTTTGTGGAATAGCCACGGTTCTGACACATAAGAGTAAGGTGGAGGTCGAGGATGATGGGGAACAGCAGGGGAAATTGTTCTTTACTGGGCGGCCGGTAAAAGAACGTGACGGCATCGCTGATAGTTTTCTAAATTTGACTCAAACCACCACGACCCTGAAGAGTCGCACAAGCAGAGATCAGCTGGAGCCTGGAACTGGATGATTTTTTTCAATTTGATCAGTCCTGACTGACCAAACTCCAACCTGCTACAGGTGGAGATGACAAACAACATGCGCCAGTGAGGGATGAGAACTTTTCCCTATCAGCAAGGTGTTTAACAAGGAAATCAGAGGAAGCACAAAGACATGGCAACATTAAATATTCTATTATATATACAAAAACGTTAGAGAGGTTGAGACTCACCGTCAATTGAGCAAAAATGAAACTCAAAGTTGTTTACGGATCATTAAGATGTGAGTCAATGAGATTTTCTCTAGGTTTTAACAAACAAAGCCGTCGTTGACTAAGGAAGGCTTAAATCATCTTTTGGCAATGGAGAGGTGGCTTTTTCACAAAAATAACTTATTTAATGAAGGTGACGATTTGTGTTTGGAACTCAGTCATTCTTTACTTTCTAACTGGACTTCCTATTGATACAGCGGGAGAAACTCTGACATTTGAATCAGACCGATCATAGCAAGAAGATGAATAATATTTCATCATGAGTAAATCAATAAATATCAAAAGTCGACTTGATTTCTACAGAATCCCACATGACAAGAGCTTTCCACGATGGAAGCTGAATTTGCACATGTAATCTGTGACATTTAAAACTGCGTCTTTAATCCTGACAATCCTGTTGCAGCCACCCTTGAGACTCTGGTCATTAGACTAGCTGACAGCACACAGGTACAGAAAACACTGAAGAAACACGGCTGCTAACAAAGCTAAGGTTAGCATCTGCTGTCCTATTGGGGTAAAACTAAAGGGTCATTTCATGGTGTTCCCAATGCATCTGTATCCTCTTCAGTTTAAGGACTTATCTATCACCAGGACTGGCTTTAACACTGAAACTTAAAACTAAGGGTGAGCTTCAGGAAGCACAAGGCAAAGAAACCTTTTACTGTTTGTGAAAACAAAGAAAATTGGATTAAAATTTCCCAAAGATATTGCTGCCATCTTGTCTCATTCTCGTGACCTCAAAACCGCGTGTGGCTTCGTCTCAGATTGTGTTGTCAGACCTCTCGTCGTCTTTAAAGCTGCAACCTGACAAGGGAGTAAGCTTGTAGTTATTGCATTACTTAAGTTTCAACCCCTGTTTCCCACTCAGAGCAATGAATATTTACAGAAAAAAAAACATAAAATAAACAGACAAGATCCTGTCAGACACATATTTCTGACTGACGCACAGACAAAAATGTGCGATTGGAATGAATTGCACATTAAAACACCAGTTGATTTGAAACGGGATACCACTGATGCGTGAACTGGATCCTGAAACAGTCTTGGTTTTGTTGGATTAGCTGTCTGGACTGACGGAGTCACCAAAGCTCATCTGTCAGAAAGTCATGTTTGGTCTCACAATCAGCCGCCGCCTCTCGAAGGACGTTGTCGCCCTTCACGGCTTACATTAAATCACAACAGTGCATGCTCTAACTCTAGGACTTTTTGACTCATCACAAAACTTAAGCGGACGAATCCAGACATTTGTCAGTACGAAACACAAAGAAGTCCCAAAATAAGACGAGTCCAGAGCAGAACGGTCAGCCCTGGTCCAGTCTCAGTACTTTGAACCCATCTATATTGTGTCTGTTAACTTGGAGTCTATAAGAGGACAAAAGCAGCAAAGTAGTAATAATAATAATTAAAAAAAATAATAAAAAATCAAGATCCTCTTCTTTTTATAAGGATGTTCTTCGTGGAGCTGGTCAGTGCAAATCGGACATTTCCACACGCAGAATCCCAGATCAGAAGTCGTTGTGCTTGTTTTGTGTTGAAGTGGAGTTCTTCTGTTTGTTTCTGTGACCTCGGGAGAAATGCAAGATGTGTGTGTGTGTGTGTCATCAATAAATAATAAATAAATCATCTGGGGTCTATATACAGGAGGAGGGTATGTACAAGAAGGAGTAAAAAAACAACACTACAACTGTGAGTCACTTCATAAAAAGGTAATGCCCTGGTTGTCTGTAGTTTCACGTCTAAAAGCAGAAGAGGAAGACTGTCTCTACACACGTCTATACACGCTTGAAGCATGAACAAAGTGACTCTGACTGGACATAATGTGCACATGTGCATAAACTGGGTCTGTTTGCTACCGGGAGACTTCCAACAACCCAAACAACTCCTCTGCAGCTGAAGCGCTGAGCTGAGACTCCGCCCGCCTCGTCATTGCTTTGATCGTTTTTACTCTCCTCTACGAGGAGGAAGAGTTAGCAGCTAGGAAACGTCACACCTAAACACTTCAAAATAAAACATGTTTATGTGAGAAACATGCAGTAATATAAAGGTGTGAGTTTGTGTGTGTGCGTACGCGTGTGTGTGTGTGGGGGTGTGTGTGTGTTGAGCACAGTGACGGCTTGTTATTAGCCAATCTCTGCTCCTGGAAAAAGTCCCACACTCTAGTCTGATTGGGAGTAAACACCAGAGCAGCTCCATATTGCACCAAGCAGGAAAACAAGCACCCAAAAAAGAGCAGAGTGGGACCTCTCCAAAAACAAGAGACTCAGAAACAAGTCTGTTCTGACTTAGATCCTCTGTCAAACTCCGGCTATCGCCTCCGTAACACGACCTGTGAATTGGACTTTGTGTGTGTGTGTGTGTGTGTGTGTGTGTGTGTGTGTGTGTGTGGTGTGTGTGTGTGTGTGTGTGTGTGTGTGTGTGTGTGTGTGTCTGTGGCAATGCTGGTGCGTCTCAGTCTTCCCGACACGTTGGCAGGTTGACAAAAGTGAAGATGTTGTATTCGATGAGACAGGAGAAGCACAGGAAGATGGAGTAGAGCAAGAGACACGTGAGTCCCAGACGTTTGTCCAGCGTCCACTTATTCAGGTGGACTCCCAGCACCTGGACATGGCAGCAAGCAGAGGGACATGAGGCTCATGAGTGCAGATGCTGGACGGAAGAAGAGTCAGACGTCCGCGTGAGACACAAACTCACCGTAAGGAAGACAGACGCCAGCAGGAGTCCCACGGAGAAGATGAGCCCTTTGCTGTTCAGCTTAATCTGTGGAATAAAGAGACGAGACACGTTATCAGACACAATCTGGAGATCTTCCTGCACAAATTTCAATTTGGTATTATCACTGTTCCAGAGTTTGTGGGAATGAAACAAAACAACAAAGTCACCCTCTTTTTTTTAAACTACAACCTCAAATCCCAGAGGAACTGAACAGGAGGCTTCATGGATGCAGAGAGAGAAGGAGGAAGTTCAAACCGTCTCTTCCACTGATCATAAACAGCGTAGATCGTATCCCTGACTCTGCCCGGGTTTCTAACCACACGCACAGACAGATGGCTGAAGAGGACTGGCAAAAGCAAACGAGAACGTCGACCAGGACATGTTACTGCTGTCTCTGCTGCCTGGATGCTGACCTGTTCAAATGTCACGAGACCATCATGACATTTGAACATCATACTGCAAAGGTCTTCAGTCAGAGGCCCACTGACATTTGTTGCAAGACTGATTACTCCAGGAAATCCTTCCTGCCCATCTCATTACTGTCCACATTACCATTCTTGATCCTTGAATGGTACAAATTATGGAGACGTCAGTTTCCCTTTGGGATAAATAAAGTAATTTTGAATTCGATTGAAAAGCACAATATGTTGCTTCGGGTGGTTCTACATTAATAATGGGAATTTTGATGGTGACGACTCAGCACCATGCTTTATTCATCCAGCACGTTAGCAACCCAAGCACTGTACAGCAGGGAAAGCTGCAGCATGTAACGTTTATTAAAACTGTTTTTTTTTTTCATATTTGTTTGAAGTGTCACTATATCAAGCCAATATGTTATGAAACAGACAACCTGCGAAAAAACTGAGCGTCTCTGCTTTCTCCCAGTGCTAACAAACAACCAATCAGAGGTCGGAGGCGGGTCTTAGCGCTTGTCAGTCACAATCTGGCGTGACACTGACGGACAGCCACATGACGTTTTGGTGGACCACATATAGGCCCAGGCCTCGTGTTTGACACACGTACCTTAAAATAAAATAAGTAAAAAAAAACTCTAAAAATGATAAAAAGTGCCTGTCAAAGACTGTAGACATGTGAAATATATATATACATATATTTAAATTTTTTCTCTTTTTTTTTCTACATCAGAGCTGCATCAAATATTAGAACGCTGAAATGGGAACAAGAAGAAAACGCTAAAAAGGACCTGAGATCCCAGAAGTACAAACGCTGAATTCAGATTCAGGCATTTGTCTTTATTGCCAGAACTTATACACAGATCTGTTTTTAACATACATGATGTTTCTCAGATGATTTGAATCTATTCAAAGAAAGGCAGTTGGTCAAAAGGTTGACATTCAGACAGTCACAGTGGTGTAAATATTAGAAACTTTATAATCAGGAGGTCTACAGCTGGACTTACAGCAGAACCGTAATTAATGGCCAGTGTCTTCAGGGCCCAGGGGAGGCCGAGCCCTACCAGGATGTCAAACACATTACTGCCGATGGAGTTGGACACGGCCATGTCTCCCATACCTGGAGACAGCAACAGAAAAGAATAGACAGAATGAACGAAGGGCAGAAACGAAGGCGGGTGGGAGAGACAGAAGAGTTGAAGGTGGGTGGGCATGTGGAAGATTAGTGATGCTGACTGTGGTACTGATATCCAAAAGTCAAGTCTGTACTTCAAAAAGAAAAAATCTCTTTGTAGCCATGGGAAGCCCCCATGTGCTTGTGAGTCACCTGGCCTGACATAACCCACTTTCAGACACCCAAACCTGCACACGCATGCACACGCATACACACGCATGCACACGCATACACACGCATACACAGCCGCTTCAATATTTAATGGCAAGAGTGAGAATAAACACAGATGAAAGCAGGGAGGATGGGACTCCTGCCAGCTTGTTTTCCCTCCATCTTCTTTTAGCTTCCTGGCCCAAGATGACAGGAAACGCCTTGGTCGCTTGTTTCCATGTGATTCATCTGCTCCCCTCTAAACCTGTTTGATGGAGGCTTCTCTTAGACTCTGCTGTTTGGCCGTCGTGTCACGGTGGGAGAATGAAGAAGTCTCCATTTACACTCTGACACTTGATGACGAGTGGCTGACTTTTCAATTTGAGGTAGGACTTCTTGTGCATGGGGGGCAAAAAAAAAAAGAAAATGTCTGAACACAACCTAAAGCTATTGACATTCTCTGATCAGGCGAGAAATAAATAATTCTACAATAATTTAGAAATCATAAAGACTTTCAATAATTTGAAAAACACTGCATACCTGTTTTTATTTACATAAAAAGACATAGACGGATAGAAAAGTGTTGTAAAATGCTATGTAAGGAGTGTTTTCACTGCAGGAATCGAGACCTAATCTGGGCACAAATGAATTAGTACTTTAGTCAAAAGGATGTTGAAATGCCAAGGAGAAAAAGCCAGAAGAAAAGTAAAATATAAAAATGAAAACATTCACTGCACCTTGTTATAAATAACTGCAAAATATGATCAGATGAACTGATGACAGGCATGTTAACCGGAGAGCATCACAAAGTTGCTGTAGAATCGTCAGCTGCCTCCTAAATGAAAATTTACCATGAAGAATGAAGGTAGTTCTGGAGTTATAAGGAGACCAACCAACCCTATACTGGCAGAGGAATGTATGCCAGATTTAAAGGTGGGAAAAATGTTTCTATTTTCTAGAAACAGTCAATTAATGGGGCAAAATGACTTAAACTTGGAAAAAAGAAGAAGCTTCAGCATCAGAACCAGATATGTCAGCTATGCAGGGTTTTCCCTGGTTTAATGGCTTCGTGCCAAGCTAAGCGATTAGCTTGTTTCAATTTTAAATAGTGTTTTTTTATACACCAGTAAGAGCATAGTCTTTGCTGCAGCACTCTTCACCGGCAGAGCGCGGCCATTCCTGAGAGGGGGTTTGTACCGGATGCATTGAACTGGACACAAAATGGGAGGGACAGAACGGGACTCTAGTCAAGACTTTTGGTGCCTCTGCTCGTTGGCCGCCTCACAGGTGTCTCACCTTGCCGCGCCACTATCAGACTCGCCATGCAGTCGGGAACGCTGGTGCCAGCTGCCAGGAAGGTGATGCCCATAATCACATCGGGAATCCCCAGTGTGAAGCCGATCACCGTTACCTGACACACGGAGACAGAAGGTTGTGCCTTACGCCTGGAAGTCATACAAGAGACTTGTATGAAGGTGCAGACGGCTTCTAAACCTGACTGTGTTGAGGGGGTCATGCATTGACCCTCAACACTGAATGCAATACTGGGTTTGTCTTAGTTTGTAAGGACAAAACTCACCATCCAGACCATGATGTAGGAGAAGGAGGCAATCCAAAGGGTGGAGAAAATGAAGGAGACCATAAACCAGTTCTCCCAGCGTGGTTTGGAGCAGTTGGGGACGGTAAAGAACAGCACCAGGCACAGAGGCCAGGCTAGCAGCCACTTCAGCTTGTTAAACACACCAGCTGCAGACACACAGGCCAACACAGAACGAGAAGGCTCAGAAATAAATACTAACATTCATCATCCATAACAGCAATTTAATCAAAAGTGGTCAGCAGCTGAAAAAAGACTAAGATTTGCTAACTTGGGACAACAGAGGTGGAGAATTGCCTTCAACAGTTCACCTGGGCACTGGAAGGGCACAAAAGGTCCATCTCCCTCATCTTCCTCTTCCTCTTCATCGTTCTCATTATTTTCGTTGTCTTCGTTCTCCGTCTCGTTGCCCGCCTCTCGATCATCACGGCGAATGCTGAGGCGCCTCTCTGCCCTGGACAGCCCATTTTCGATGCCCCGTCTACCGCCTCCTTTGACAGAGACGTCTGATTCGCCGTTGGTCAGAGTCCGTGTGTTGATCAGTCTCTGTCTCTGCACAACACGAAGTAAGAATAAGTTCAGTTCTGATAGAGACGGGGTTTTATTCTAACTGGTAAATAGCGTTCAATTGCCTCTGCAACTACAACTCTTCAACCATAACCCCTATTGAAGGGATATGTGGTGACAATGAAAGGAAAACAACCCTTCAAGAGGAGATTAGAGCAGAGTTTGTCCAGCAATCAGTGTGTTGCTGGTTCAATCCCCGCTCAGACCATCTCTGTTGTTGTGTCTTTGAGCAAGCTGGTGGTGGTCAGAGGGCCAAGTGAGTTCGCGATGATTGAAGCTAGTGTGAAGCGCTTTGGGGTCCTCTGAACTTGGTATAACGTAATACAAGAACATTTCTCATCTCTTTCAACAATGACTTCTAGCCGGTCATCCATACGGTCAGATGACTCCATGACTATTTGTCCTGTGAACATATTCCCCCTTTCTCAGCTGTGGTTCTCTGCAGCACATCTCGTCACCTTGGGTCTCTCAGCTCCTTCCTTTTTTAACACCCTCCTTCTATCAATGTAAGTGGAGGCAGCCATATTATACCAAACTCATATTTTAAATTAAAATCTAACCCCACTCTTTTCTCCCTGATCTGTCTGCTGTGTTCCTCGGTCTTCATGGCACTGGCTGTTCTCTAACGTTCTCTAAAGAAAACCTCTAAAAACAGCTACATTTATTCTCTGACTCTCAATCCTCAAAGCCCACAGCTGGCAGGGAAGATTCTCAAGAGCTACAGATCGGGCAATGCCATAGCATAGCCCGAGCTCCCGCAGTTCATGTGCAAATTAGGATGAAGCAAAGCAGGAGAGAGCACTGCTTGGTACTCCTCTCGTGTCAGTACGGCCCATCATCCCACACTTCTGGACCCTATTGCTGTTGTAAAGATTAGGCAGCAAGAAATGGGCATTAAGACTTGGATCCCCTGCTCTGTCCTGCCCCTTCACATGTCTACCACAGCTACAAACCTCTGGAGGCGAGACTTCACAGCCCGGATGAAAGCAATTTGAGTTTCTGTGTCTTTGACCTCACCTCGGTGATGAGCATCCGTGAGGCCATGGTGAGTCGGGTTCTCGGAGAGAAGTGACTGGTGATCATGATCCTCATGCCGGCCTCAGAAAAGGTCAGCTGGTGGGGGTACGCAGAGAGCAGCTCGTCCACCATCAGCACAGATGGCTTTCTGTGGTGGTTTGCTATTAAGAGCCACACGCACACACAACAGCAGCACCATGACTAACACAGAATATGTCGACACCATTCAGCTGTTTGTGCTAAAACTCTCATAAACAACAGAGGATGGGCAACGTGGGCAACCGCCATGGTGGCATCTTGTCATGCAATGAGATTACACTTACTCTCATGCACCCTCTACCAATGAAGATTCACTTATTTTGGCATGCCACATACTTGGAGTGGCTCCATCAGTCTTAACTGCTTTCTGGTTAATTAAGCTCGATTGTTATTTGACCTCCTGGAGCTGCTCATATTCTGGAGCAGCAAGTATCTGTCCTCTCAGAGTGTAAACAACAGTTACTTTCCATTGATTCTGAAGACAGGTCCTATGCCTTAATCCAGAACCAAAGAGGAAATAAACTTTGAACATTCTGAACGTTTGGACGGGACAGACACGTGAGAGCTGCGGGCCGCGGCCCATCTCTGCTGTGGGCCGGAATCAGATACATGCTTCCAACACAATTGATGACACTGGCAACCATAGACAAGTTTGGGTTGTTGCAAGGCTATGCATCAATTCAAGCTTGCAAAAATAGAAAAGAAAACTTAGAAAATGAATTATAAAAATGAAAGATATTTCTTCTGAGAGGGTTCTCCTGCCCTATTCAGGATCCGAACCAATCAGACACAGAGTTAGGGTCTGTTAGTGGACCCATCTGGCCAGAAGAACCAGCCTCCTCTACAGACAAGTAACAAGAAGATTTTGTCCAGAGTTTAAAGGAGGCCGTCTGTGTACAGGACATTGAACTGAGGTGAACAGCAATCATTCTGAACAACTTGCTGTGAAGTCAAATAAAAGTTGTACCTTTCTTCAGCAGGACAGCTGTAGCGTCATAGCCATCATCTAGCTCAGCGTTAGTTGCAGCTCCGTTACTTAAACCAGATGGATTCTTCTTCTGTCTCTCGAGGAAACGAACAATGTAGCAGTTCAACCTGCAACAGGAAGTCAGATCATGTCCTTCATGTCCTCTGTGGACCTGCAACATGTCTCCTGTTTATCTCTCCGATCAGATTAGTTGTGTTTTAGCTTTCAGTTATTTACTTTGGTTATACAAAGTGTTGAGAAATACAGTTTGCTCCTAGTTTTGTCTGTGTTTGTCATCCCTAAGAGGTCCAGATCATCACACTAGTTACAATGAAAACTGAACAAAAGCTGCCAGACGCAAAGCGTCAGAATGGAAAGCTCTACAAAAAGCAGCGAGAGCAGCAGAGAAAATCATTTTTACTTTATTTCATTGGCAAAACTGACTTTTTAGTTGGCTGGACCACCAGGTTCTGCAACAATTTCATCCCACATTGAATACAAACCAATCCTCAACTTCTGCAAACCCTACATGTTCTGCTCCGTCCACACAACAAATTATAGTCAGGGGTTAGAGCATTAGCTTCTAAGTGGTAAAATGCTAACAACCCAATTGGCAGAAGACATGCCCCTCTTCATTTGCATAACGATGCAGAAATGCATACATTAAAGTAAAAAGAGAAGGAAACAAGTAAAAAGAACAAATGGAAGTGAAAGGAGTTGTGGGGCAAAAATAAAATGAAAAATTAATTCATGTAAGAATAAAAACAAAGAAGAGCTGAAAACAGTAAATGTTAAATGGTGTGGTGAAAATGAATTTTGTTGGAACAAAGCTGAAGAAATAAAAATAAAAAGTTCTCTTTTTTAATTAATTGGTGGCTTTTAAGAGCATTGACTGATTTATTTCTCCTTTTAGTGTTAATTATTTCAGTTTTAGTCCTCCACAGACTAGTTCTGAAATCTTTTGCTCTACTCTGTCAGACTCACACAGGTCCTTTATATGATAGGTTAGGATTATTAATCCAGATTATGCCCACATGGATACACAACCATCCATAAACAATATTAGACTACAAACATTAAACATAATGCACAGTAAAAACTTGTGACTGTTTCACAAAAAGAAAAAAATCACAATGGCATGTAGTGGTAGTGCTCCTCTGCTGGGAGAAGACGGCGCTCAAAGGGTGGATAGTGTTGTCTAGAACTGCCCTCAACTTGGACAACGTCCTCTTTTCCACCTCAACAGACTGCAGACTCAGTCCAACTCTGACTCCCAACTCCAACCCCAAGCAATGTTGACCCGATGGAGAAACGGGTCAGTCAGGCCCCAAATGTAGATTTGGATTTTTTTCTCCTTCATAGTAAACATTTCATCACTAAACAGAGACATTATTTTTTTGTATATTTCTACATAAACATTTATGATCATAACATTAATTAAACTACTGGAAATGAATGTACTTGTGGTATGTAGTTCCAACAGTTTACGGGAAACAAATATACAAAAAAATAACTCATGATGGGAGCAAACAGTTCTGTCTTGGGGATGCAGTGTTACAGAAACATGATCAAAGTTACTGTTAGGGGTCATGATGCCCAAACCCTTGGTTTTGATTTTCACTGAATACACAGAATGGATGTGATGAGGAGGAAGAAGTCTCTCCTGACCATGAATGACATAAAGAATACACAAAAAAATTAAGTTTCTTATAGTGAGTGGTTGAGTCTTAAACTTACTTCATGATCAAAATGTAGACGAAATACATCAGAATCAGTGTCAGAGCTTCCCACCTAAAGATTAAAAATACCAGTCAACCGTGTTTTACCCGGGTTAATAAAACAAAAACAAAAAGAATTCTACCAAATTTGTGGTAAACATCGAAACTCCGTCACTTACCAAACCACCTTTTCATCATATATAAACTTTTGCATGAAAGAGAGACGAGAAGCAAAGCATTACACGTGATGTGGGCTCACTCGGGTTTTCTGATCTTAAAAGAAAGCCATCACTGATGTGATTTATGGCATTTGATAGTAATATTTTCCCATCCAACAAACTGGTACTTTGGTAGAGAATACCATCAACACTCACCACTATGAGGGCAGAGATAGACAGTGTGTAGTAGACCGAGTCTCTGAGCAGAGGCCAGCGGGACAGACGGATGGTCTGAGACACAGTGACAGGAGGATTAAGATTAAATGCTGTGGTGACAGAAAAGCTCCACATATAGATGTTTTTTTCCCCCTCAGTGAACAACTCAAACTAGTGGACAAATTCATTTCAGGAGTTAAAACAGATAATCAAACCCAGATCATCATGCAGCCAAGACGTTTCTGTCTGTCACCTAATAAACTTGATTGCTTTATGAAGAACTTCATAGCGACAACAATGCACAAAAGCCATGCACCGTTCTCTCTGTGTGTGTGTGTTTTGTCTTGTACCTGCAAAGCGAATATGCCACACGCTCCAATAATGCAGAGAATGTTGAAGACGGCAGAGCCCACAATTGTGCCCACGCCAACGTCGCCTTTGGTGATGAACACTCCTGCACGACAGAATAAACGGCTGCGTATGTGTCAGAGAGATTACAGAGGCCACCATACGGACGAAGACATTCAGGGTCAGCATAAAGTTCAAAAAGCTACGCACCAATGACTGAAGTGAAGAGTTCAGGAGCTGAGCTGCCAGCTGCCATGAAGGTGGCTCCTGCCACGTCTTCACTCAGCTGAAGACGCTGAGAAGAGAGAGAGAGGAAGAAGAGAGAGAGAGGATTTTCTCTACAGGAAGACGAGCCTCAGACGGTCTAGAGATCCTCAGCAGAGGTGCAAGAGTGACTGGGATTGATGTCTTACCTCACAAATCTTCTCTAGTGAGGGGACAAAGTAGTCATCACAGACCAATGCCAGGGCATAAAACATGTAGACTGCCTACAGAGACCAGGACACACAATGAATACACTCACTCCACTAAAGCACCTGCAGAAAGACAATCTGTTCTCAACTTCATCTGATTCAAGTGGTTAGTGGTTTGCTAACGGTGCACTACTGCAAACCAGGCATGCATATCTTTCATCATTTGCTTTCATTTATTTGTTTTTATTATTTATTTACTTATTTCTAACTGGGTAGAAGTATAAAATCACTCACATGAACAAGGAATGCAAAAGACATATTTTTGTCCCACATTAATCTTGACACGCAAAAAAGGAGAAGGAAGACATATGAAATTTATGAACTCCTACATCATAAACTAATACAATATGTTCAGATGGACCCTCCATTATTAAATAATAAATAAAAAGACATAGGTTAATTAATTTTCCATTTTATCTGGCTTTACATATGTCTAAATATATACATCCATTCCCAAACACACATATGCGTTAGCCTCAATTTACACATTAGTGCTAACTCTCACCCATATTTCTAAGTCTCCTTATATTTCCTTTTAAATTGTATTAAATTTTGACTTTGTTTTAACTCCTCATTTTCATAATTTTACCCCGAGTTGAAATACAAAAGCTCTTTCTTGTTGTGCGTAAACTAAGAATCCTTAAGTCTGAGTGACCCCTTGAGTTAAATACCCCTTCTCTTTCAAAAAAACACTTCCTGTATGAGCTCAGGTAGCAGTTTAGCTGATGCCTTAGAGATAAACCTTTTAAAGATGTTTTGGAGAAATACAGAAGGCAATATTTACATTCCTTCAGGTGAGAACTTGGGCTCACTCATGTCTCGGGATGAACAGAACAGGGAGAGGGTCTTGCTCAGTGTAATGCTTCCACTTTCAGCCTTGCATCACTATTTATCTGAAGTGACAAACTAACACAGGCTTGTGTTGTATACATGCACTACAGCAATTTCTCTTGTTGATTCAGGACGAGGTCGGGGTGTCGCATCTGATTGTTGGTGTTCATAGCAACTGTCGCTCCACAATGATATACACCGCTGTACATTAACATTATGTATCAATTTATATTTGATGTCTGTCTTGGTGTGCTTTATTGTTTTGTATTTCTTAACTTTGATACTTTGACTTTCAGTTTTTATACCTGCAGTAACATCAATTGTCCATTTGGGACATAAATAAATCTGAATCTGAATCTGGAATTCAGATTCAGATTATATTTTGTAAAATTATTATTAATAAAATAGCCTGAATGTGATGCGCCAGTTTACTTGCACTTTGCTGCGACGCACTGCACTTTATGTTGCTCTGTCACATACAATCCCAACACGATCTGTTGAAGTTCGAAGCTGTGAGAGGACAAAATGTTCCAGGTGCGTGAATATTGCAGCCGCTGTAAATACGAGGTGAGCTTCTTCCACTACATTAGCACCTTGTCTACATTCTGCTCCTGGTCAACATGTCATGTAAAACTGAGTCCGTCTGGTATTTTCTAAACCTCTGGAGGCCCTGGGTTCTTAAAAAGCAGACGCTTTTTCACCACGTTGTTCATTTAAATACAGGAACTTCTTTGGAAATGCCAGGTCTATAGTAAAGGAAACGGACTTGTTGATAAAACAGAATGCTGCAGATGACACTTACACACAGAACATGGAGGCCCACTGCTCCCTCTGTGCGCTCCTGGTTGGTGAAATAATCTCTGGGGAACTCGTGGATCGCTGCAATGACACAAGAACAAAAGAAAGAGCCCGAATAAAGCTGAAGTATTCAGGAGTTTTACAGTAAGTAGTTACTCTACACCTCAGGGAAAAGGGATAAATAGTCAACTGGTTGGGAACATTTCAGTGAACAGAAACACCACAGTAATTTTCAGAGGAAAGATTACAACAAGAAAATGTGTGGAGCCACTTTCACTTTAATGAGACAAAAAAATAAATAAAATAACACCTGGAGGAAAGGTTAGCACTGATTTGATCATTTCACTTGCAGATTGTAATTCTAAACAGAGACAAAGAAGAAGAAGGAGGAGGAGAGAGGAAGAAGAAACAGCTGTGGAAGCCGTCATGGCTGGAAAAAACAACAGACATCAGACGCAGCAGATGTCCTGCTCCCACATATTTCCCAACAATTCTGACTTCTGCTTCATATCTGTTGGTGGTCTTTGGTGGTTATTGGCTGGGTAAGCCTCACTCACAGAATGACCTCTCTGACAACGACGATAAATAACAATTTATGCTGATGAACTTCAGTGTCTTTACAAGTCTTGTTATTATGTTACATATGAAACAAATTAGCTTAGTTTCCATGACACACAGCTTCAACAAGCGCTGTGTTGTTGCACCTAGTCGTAACAGAGTCTGTTCAGCGACCAAATGCATGGCATCGGCATTAAATCGCAAGTTAAAATAAATTCAACCTTTGAAAAACATCCGAATAACCAGACACAGATCGAATGTAAACTATAGAAGTTCAAGATGACCGTATTGATCAATAGGTTGCGCTTAAATAATAATAACAACAATAATAGAAACTTCAATTCAGCCACCTATGACAATGTTCACTCTACTTCTGTCAAACGATGTCTATAAAAATATTCACCACCTTGATAATTGGTACGTTTTACCCTTTGTATTACTTTTACAAATCAATCGTGACCATCAATATTTGGCTTTTTTGAAAAAATAAATGGCAAAAACTCTTCAATGTAAAAGAAAAAACAGAGTTCAACAAAATAATAACAATTACATGAACTATTTACCTTAAGAGATTGTGTAAATATTCAACCCCCACCTTCAAAGTGACTGAATTAATGCAACAGAGGTCCAGTCAGTTGGTGCCAGTGGTCTCACAATAAGTGGAAAGGAGATCAGCAGCGTGCACTAAGTGTGTCTCCAGTGATTGTAGTATAAAAATAAAAGCTCCATTCACTGGTTCATCAGTAATCCTGGCTTACAGCATGAAGGAAAAAAAAGAGAATATCAGAGAAAAAGGCTATTTAGAAGTAGAAATCAGGGCATAGCTACAAAAACATCACTAAGGAAACAAACTTCTCCTGGAGGTCAAGGTCAAGTTTATTTATGCAGCACATTTCCAACAGAAACACATTCACTTGGGTTTACATATTGAATGTTTCTGTTTTCTTTCTCTGTTTCCCAGGGTGATAAAATGACAACCAGCCTTTATGTTGTCACCAGTGCTCATATTAGAAGAGGAGGCCATGTTTAGTGGAGCCGTCAGTCTCGCGGCTCCTCTGTGTTCCTCTGACAGCACAGGAAATGGTAAACACGAACCGAAAATGCCCCGCAAATTTGTCCTTTTTTTTTTTTTTCACTGGTACGTTGACATAAGCAGGTTACATCAGTGAAGTGTGTTATTTTTTCAGTTTCAAAACATTTTTTTTAGTTTCAATTTATTTTTCGTTTGAACAAACTTTATGGACACAATTTAGCACCATAGAAATAGTTCATTAATTTGCAATTTGTGTGGGGAAAAGCAAGGTTCTGATTCGGTTCAAAAAGAACTGCAGATATTAGATGGCCAGGGATTAATCAATAAATCTGAGTGAAAGATGAATTGATCTACTGATCCTTCAAAGGAAGGATCAGTAGATCCTTCCTTTGATCTACTGATCAAAGGAAGGAGTGGAAGAGTAACAGCTGGATTCTGTCAACTTTCAAATCTTCATGTAAAATATCTGAGTCCCTATGCAGACCGATGTACAGAGTCTCTGTGCAACAGTAAATGTTTTTGTGACGACATTCACACGTCTGGCACATTTGCATGCTGTTGCTTAAAGCTCCAGGAACATAAACACTGCAGGGTTTATGTTTCTGCAGTGTTTATAATCCTGGCGGGTCACCAGGCTTTACTTGGTCCCCCACCATGCTAACCATTGATCATTTATTTTAAGGTTTATTTTTACGTTTGCATTTCATAATACAGTATGTAAGCATAAATCTTCCAATAACACATAATTATCAAGTGATATTTTCAAATTCCCTGTCAACTTTAATAGTTTTTTAACTCAAAAAGATGGCAGGCCGCTGAATGAATGACTGCCGCAGTGCCCAACCTCCGGGCTTAGCAGGTTTTCTGGGGGAAACCTGCAACTGGATTAAGACAAGAACTTCATTTATTCGATGTCATCAGGTCATAAAACCAAACTCCAAGGATGTGTTGGAGTTTGCCGTTGGCTTCCCATACATTAGAAGATGCTCCCAATCGCGGACACTTTTTCAACAGACATTTCTATCACACGTCCATTCCTGTCTGGTATCAGCAGCCAATCACAGCAAGCAGAAATGTGCTGCATCTCCGTGTCATCATGTGTGTTTTCCTGTTGAATGTGAGCGTGCAACGGAGTAGGCAGTTAAAAATAGCATCAGCCCACTGTCACTGTGTGTGTTTGGGATTTGCGTGGCTCTCTCTGCACCGGGAGGCTCTGTGTGCTCTTCCTCCACTGTGTGTCTGTGAGCTGAGCTTGTGCCCTTGTGTAACGTGAAGGCAACTCGATGCGCAGTGACATTCTCCCTTCCCTGTTGCCGAGAGCTCGTGAGTCAGGCGGCTGGAGCCTCAGCTTGCCCTGTGTGGCCCGAACACAACACAAGGCCGTCTGCTCATCCAAAGTGACAGGAGCACAGAGAGAGAGAGAAAGAGAGAGAGAGGGAGAGAAAGAGAGAGAGAGAGAGAAAGTCAAGGCAGAAAGGGGGAAGGTTTGCAGTCTGACATGATGTAGCGCTGCCAAGGAACAAGTGATGAAAGGAAGGAGAGAGAAGAAATGTGAATGGAAAGGAAGACCTTTGGCATGCATTTATCTCTTTTATTCACTGAGTCAGGACTCGGCTTGATGTTCTCATCTTTTTTTTTTTTTAACGGCACTCAGGCACCACATTTAAACCAGCGATGTGATCCATTACTGTGCCGATACGTGCAAAACGTAAAACAGTCAGTTCTGTTATCCCGCTTCAATCCCATGCTGCTGATGGGAATATTTACTGCAGTTCCTTTCACACCGATCAACAACTGTTTTAGTTTTCTGGGTTTATTACTGCCATTTAGGTCTCGCCATTTTCTATTTAATTCACTATAGTTATCATCACTAGTTGATGTGTAGGTCAGTCCTTTGTTTCTTTTCTATTTTTCATGTTTTGTGCATTTCAGTTTGTTCTCTAATGTGTGGGTTGGACTTTTTCCCTTCTTTGATTTACAGATCCTTTTGTGTCCAAGTTCAACTCCTTGTGCATTACGTCAGAACTGAATCAGAAATATCACTTGATATTTCCGTGTTATTGAAAGATTGGGAGAATAATACCTGAACACCAACAATAAAGCCTTAAAAATGCAAACATTTTAAAAAGACCTAAATAAATTAGCAATACTTAACCTGGTGGAGCCACAAGTGAAGCCTGGTGGCCCACCAGGCTTATAATACACTGGGGAAAACCCTGCAAACCATGACAATAACACACAAAACTTACTTAACAGAAGATATATATATGGTTTTTAAAGACAACATGTGCTTTGAATCTACTTCAAAGCACAACATTAGAACAAGAAGTGACAATGTGTATTCAATTCCCAAAGCATTTTCATCTTAAAACATCCTGTAGTATCAGTGTGAGGAGATGATTTAGCAATTAACACAGTCAGTTCTAAAATCCCTGTGCTGAGCCTGTCAGACAGACCCGAGTGGAGCCTCTCGTTACTCCACAGTCAGCCCCAGCTCAATCTACACTGCTACCACCCCTGGTGGTTATATAATAACCCCAGCATTACATAATCGTAGTGTGCTCCTAACAAAGGCAGAGGTTCACGAAAGGAGAGAAAAATCCTCAAAATCTTATACATCGTTAATGGGATCTGAGCACATTGCAGTGCTGCAGGAAACACAACATTTCTCCAGAAATGATAAAGCATCTTTAGTTCTGGTGAGATGCAAACTTCTATCACCGGCTTTCTTCCTTGTGATGCTCACAGGTCTTGTCTTTCATTTTCTGCAGTCTCTGTACTGTAGATTTAATTTAATTTGCCTCTGTTTTGACCTGTGCTGTTCTTGTTTTAAAGGTTGGTGGGATGTTGAAGGAAATTCATTTGATCAATTCAACAAAAGTTGATATTTCACAATGTTTGTGAATATGAGGCAGCGGTTCCTCCACAAACATGTGTTATGAGACTGGAAACCCAAAAAATATTTGATCAAAACAACCCCCAGGCCATGAGAAAACTCATTAACCACATTATATGAAAGAAAGAGATATGGGTCAAAAATCTAAAGGTTTTGCATAAGTGGCGAAAAACAATAATGATGGATTCAGTTACTAAAGTGGTGTGAAAAGACTTTGCACCCTTCTTGATGTTTTTACTTTTGTAAAACCACTGTGTGTTTCAGAACATCAGAGAGTAATTTAAATATTACACACACACATATACATCTGCATCTGCCCTGTAGGAAAAAACTAACTTACCTGTGGTTTATCACAGTTTATCACTGTTCTCAATCAAGACAACTCTTAAAAAAATCAGCCACCTGACTGAAGTACACCAAAAGATCCTCAAAAGCTAAATATTATGATGAGAGCCAAAGAAATTCACACTCAAATGAGAAAGAAAGTAATTGAGATCTATCTTTTAACTATGCTGTACCCATACGTAGTTAAAACAAAGGTAAGTAAAGTAAATACAGTGAAAAGTGCTTCGGAGCGACTGGAGTCGCTGCTGG